TAAGCCGCTGTGTCGAATTTCAGACCATATTAATGCTGAAAATCTTAATATTGCCTCGTTTCATTTCCGTCACACATAACCAGAACAAATGTTTCAAACGTGTCAAATGTAATAATGCAATATGCATGCAGGGGCAAACAGAGGACAAGGATATTGCCTACAGAGCATGTCCTTTTTGTGTACTTTCACATTATAGCTGGCCATATGAATTTAATCACCTTAGAGTTCTCATTACATTAAGGTGGTCTTGAAATCCATGTACTCGTAAAACATCGAAATAACCACACAGCTAATTTCAATGCTTAATGCATTTGAGTAACAGATGCATTGGTCAAAGTGTATGGCTAGCTGCAGGTCTATATAGGGCGGTGGAAGGGTGTATTAGGGTTGGGTTTTCACGTCATATTTCTATAATGGTTGAAATTTTGTCTGTACTCTTGTCTCCAAAAAGAATTTGGTTCCCTTGTACCGGTAGCTCTGTTCTGAGTACTTAATTTACTTCTTACATTGAATACTGTTTTTATTTGCGGGCTCTTATAAAACTTCTTGAATCTTGAATCTGAGGATATTGTCAGTCTGGTCAGTCTATGTACTGGACGGCTATTTATCAGATGGAATGAAGAGGGGTGAACCTTTTCTGTCCTAGAACATTCGGAACAGTGGATTAACAGATCCACAGATAAAATATGGCGACCCACTAAAAAGCTTGTCGCTTAATTCAGGATTAGACACTGAATAGATTTCCTGCGGGGATTACGCAACAAGCATTCAAGTGGGACGGCCATATTTGCTCTGCGGATCTGTGAGTCCCCTGTTCTGAATGAAACCCTACACTCTCCACTTTTTTTTAATCTCTGCAGCCCTGACAGTAATTTAATCCCTGTAATCGCCAGTGTCCTACTGCTTACAAATGCGGCCTTTAAACTGCCATCTGACAACATTGAACTTGTAAGGCCTCCTGAAAGTAATCTACATGTAATTCTCTAAAATTACTGACAATCAAGCCTAGATTACAATTGCCACGGGCACCGTACGATGAAATCGTATACGATTTTCTGTATGACTTTTTAACAGCTGCAGCGAGTACGTTGACTTTACGTAAAGGTGCCTTGCCATTTCTTCGATATAACCTTTTTGTCACGGTTTGAAGGTGATCGTGCGGAACCTTTTCAATCTCAGTGTATTTGCCGTACGCCTTCCGTTTGGCTTCCTTGAATACATACATGTTGTCGGTTAAACACCTTTACTATTGTTATGCCACATGCATGAAACCAGTAAAGGGGGAAGGGAAAGAGACCAACAACAGGTGCAACCATTATCACGATCACCGCATGTTCACCGAACAGTACCCGTACGAGAACTGCTATCTACGATAATGGTACGACCAATGGGCTCACGAATTTCGAAATTTGTCAAATATTCAAGCTTTACAAAATCGTTGAGGCTACGGAACCCTTGAATCCGTACGATTTCGTGCGATCTCGCACGGCCACCGCCCGCCTACGCACAGTCCTACCGCACGAAAAGGGATTTATTGGCAGTGTACGAGCGCTGTACGGGCATCGCATGTCAAATGTAATCGAGGCTTATAAGCACACATAATGATGAAGTGGACGTATTACACCCTGGGGCTTGTGCAGTATGCCCCCACCCCACTAATTACATTACATTTACCAAATATTTTTTAATCAGTTATGTAATGACTTTGAAAAATATCTCTTATATTCCATTGATTTTTTTTTTTTTGTAAACTTCTTACTCCAGGAATGTTCACTCCAGGAATGACCAAGGTTATCATTATTTCTAAAAATTTGAGCAATCCTTCCGTAAAAGAGAGGGTTCAAAGCCGAAAGCCAAAGGAGAAGAAGGAGGTGTGAATAAAAGTACATAACTGAAATAATAAAAAAAGAACACTAAAAATGAATCATCCTTTAGTTTATAGGGCAGTACCAAAACCTAAGTACCAAAACTCTGAAAACGCGCGGGGGATACTGGCATCGAGGCCCATCTTTTTTCAAGAGACACTCACCTGCGCAAGCCGACTGCAGCGTGGTCGGCGTGACATTCAACATCTCCAAAATGGCGGCATCAAGCTGTGAGGGTGTCATTGAATCCGGTGTCTCCGTCCCGACATGATGGGACAAAGCACTATGTATGGACTTCATAGAAGTGTCATCTTTTGGGGCTATCTTGCTACTCTTGCCAAACCACGCCATCTCTCGTGAATATGGCGACCAAGGGAAAGTTCACTGAAAACTGAAATATGAAGTGTTATGTTCTGCTTCCCGGTTAGTGCTGACTGTTCATGCAAAAGCATGAATGTCCTGCTCATTTTGGTGTGTTGATTTAAATAACAGGTCGAAGTGAGTAAAAACACAATGAAAAACATGAACATACACTTATAAATAAAAAATACTTGAGAAATCAGAAATTTTTGCACATCTATTTTTAATGAATAAAAAATTGGTATTGATTTGAAATATATGATTGTGCCTAGTTCAAACCCTATTGCTGACCCCTGCTTTTTTTAATGCTCTTAAAAGTTTATTAGTCCACACCCTTAAAAAACAACGCCCTACATGTACCCGGAAAATTAGCCTTTATGCTCTTGAACATCACATGTTTAAAGCACAAATACATCTCGTCTACCGACTTTGTTTACAGACAGTCGCTGCTCGTTTACCATAATTTTTTCTAAGACAAGTCCAAGTACATGTTGTTGAAAACACCAAGAAGACGAAAATAGCATTATCACCTCAAAGCCGCTGCCATGACGTCATCAAATTAACCATACTTTTTCCGAAGACAAATACTGTCGAAAACATTATATAATATTATAGCAACCGTTTTTAAATAAACATGTTTTCTAGCCTGCTTTGGCTAACGGGCCGTTTTTAAATCAACGGTACAAATTTGCCCTTAGTCCTGTTTAAAAGAAAATCATGGGACGAAATTTTGCCTTCTCACTCTCTACATTGTTTGTAACAAAAATGTTATACTCTATAAAATATTTTTTCTCGTTTTTTTTTCATTCTAATTCTTCTGAATTCCAATTGTTGTAACTACGTTTTACTCAATAACCGACTTATTTAGGTATATGGACCAAATTTTTTGTTCAAAAATAACCCGCTAAGGAAACAGCCGCGTCAACTTTGCGTAAACGCCAGTCCGAGTTTAACATCATTACCTTGGTTCAGGAACTAAAGTTTTCCCCCGGGATACTCAAAGGAAATTTTCGTATCATTATTAAGTTATTCTAAATGGTACAGGCGACAAATGAATATTTATCCATTGATATTTTAACTGTAGACCTAAGTCAAAATAACATATACTATGTTTCATAGAAAGATTGTCATGGATTATACCACACACTGAAGCTTTCTGAGAAAAAGACAAGTCCATGACATAAGTACAAAAATAATCATTCAAAATCAATCAATCAATCAATCAATCAATCAAAAAATAAATTAATTAACTAATAAAATTAGATCAAAAATAAAACATTTTCTATAGACAATTCGCTAGATTCATTGTTTCAAGAACGATCGCTATTTCACAAGTTTAAAGGTTAGATATTTACTAGATCCGATAATTTCGTTGACAGCACCTATCAAGCGTGGTCACAAGTGTCGTAAAAACTTACCTATTTTATCAATTACAAGATCACTGATGAATCTATGATTCACTGAATCTGCATTATATTGGCATTAACACATAGCAAATGAAACTCTTCAGCGATATACCTATTTCGTTTACCGCACACTGCACGTTCTGCTTGTCACTTCTGTATTTTCCGCTGAACTGCACTGCCACCTTATATATATGCGTTTATTAAATATATGACAAAGAACTCAGAGTTATCCAACACCACTGCATGCAATTTACACTTGATTAAAAACCCAGGTGCTGCGTGCACAAAATTAGCGAGCCTCGCTAAGGAACCCAAGCAGCTAGTTGGTTTTAACTTTCAAACGCATTACTGAAGTCTTATTTGGGATTTGTGCAATCACCTTAGGCCGCATTCACATCGAGAAGAACCGAGGCTCTACAAAGCCGAGAACTAAATATGGCGGAAGTACATGAAAGGAAAACCGCCTAATCCTTTGATAGTCTCTCCGCCTCTCACACGCCTCCCCACGCGTCGTCCCAATGGAGCCGAGATTTAATGACTGTACCCCCGCAGGGAGTCCGCCATATTTAGTTCTCGGCTTTGTACAGCCTCGGCTCTTCTCGATGTGATTGAGGCCTTACAGACTAAAGGGTGTTGGACGCATTGAAGGGCATAAGGATATATTTGGCAAATTAATATTCACTGTTTCTGAGTCTACCACGTTACAGCTGAGCTTCCCTCCAATAAGCTCTAGATGTTCAGCCGTAAGTTAAGACTACCCAGTTCTTTTATGAACCCGGTCTTCTCCGGTTATCGGTTAACCGATATGAGAATTATGGGTTTTATTAGTAAGACAGGAACTGTCGTTCACCTGCGTCCTCGCAGGCAATCACTAATATAAGAAAACAAGTCCATGGCGTTCAATGATTTGAAGGAACGGCGTAACGGGCACTAGTCCCTTCCCAACTTCCAGGACGTTTCTCCCCCCCCCCCCCCCAAATAAGTATAACGACCGATACAAAGGCATATACACATATACATATATACACATATACATACATGCAGCGCTTTCAAATATATCTGACCCCGTTTTCCAAAATAACTCACTACGAAAGTTTCTTTTTATTATTGTTTTGGACCAAAAACATAAGTCTGAATGACAAACTACATCCGTAGCTTACACTTGAATGAATGAACTAGCGACTCTGGTTTAAAAAAACAAAACAAACAAACAAACAAAAAATAAATAAATAAATAAATAAATAAATAAAAACGTACGTCAGTCTTACATTTTAGACCGTCAGCTGCCATTTAAGTTTGATCATGAACCACTGCACATTTTGTCTTAATTTTGTAAACGTAAGCGTAATGTCTCAACAATACCTTAGACCCCATTCCCATAGAATTTAGATCGATCTATCTGCAGCTCCCGTTTCTTAAGATAGAAACGGCTTATGGTTGAAACATGCTAAAAATACAATAACAAATCAATTTTGATTTTTCTGTAAATATCAGCGGAATCGTCTGTGTTACAGATCACTGTGTTTTATAAAGTTCAATCCATTCGGAAAATGTCAAGCTTCTAAACCCTTATGTATACGAGTAGTTCGTTTTGTGTACTAGAACTTCTTATACGTTTACCAGAAGTAGACTTTGAACCACAAAGGATAAGACATGCATGTTGACGTGGAGTTAATGCAATGATAGTTATTAAATGGCTGTCATTGAAAGGTTGCGCAATCACTCAAGTCAGATGACCTTGACCGAGCCATCGAAACCTTCTCTATACAAAAAAGAGAGAGAGAGAGAGAGAGAGAAAGAGAGAGACTGGTATCGATGGTGTAAGCCAGAATAGGTCGATCTTACTTTACATGAACTGCACTGAATGCGGGACAGTAATGAATTTAGAATTGACAATTTATGAAGCTTTTGCAAATAGATCTACATGTATAAATGCCCCCCCCCCCCAACACACACACACTGCCAAACAGTATCATCTAGCCTTGAAATACTAATTATTAGTATTAAATATCTCTATCAATGGTTGACTCCCGCCCAACATTAGTTGACATGTGCTACATGTTTATATCACATGACACAGCGCGCGAAAATCTTTCTTTGTAACATAAAGTGATTTTTAGACAATAAACATCCCCGGTAGACCGAACATCATTGCTGACCGGGAAGCGCTTCAAGCTCTGATAACGTAAAACTGTATACTAGCTGAAACTTTTTATCCTTAAGGCCTAAAAAGGAACACATCTACATGTAGACAAAGGCAATGTAATCTTTATTCATTCGATTGGATAAAGACGAGGAAGAAAACATCCATTGACTTCAAAATTGCCAGTTTTAATTGGTTTTGGCAATACAAAAGTAGACTTGTTAGCTACCTTCAATACGTGTTGTGGGTGGTCGGCTTAGGCCCTAGTTGAATTCCACTTTACCAAAATAACATGATTCAGAGCTGGGCCTCTGAGGACGTGTGTTTTGGCAGCGCCCCCTGCAGAGTTGAAGGCAGCTTTTAGAGTGTGTTAGGCTTCTCACCTTCTTCTAGGTATTTCTACACAACTGGCCACTGCGCAAAATAAAGGCCCTTTTACACTGAGCTACGATCCCTTTGTCCCCATTCTAAGACCACAAATATGGCCAGGATGCCATGGTTGCCAAAACTAAGAAAAAAGTGGCCGCCTCTGAACGACAAAACCTGAATTTTTTCTATGGAACTACGAGAGACCTGTGTGTCCAATGAGCAACCTGACAGCCCGACCCAGGGGCGGATCTAGAGATATTTTCTGACAGTCTTCCAAACTATCTTTGTTTATCCATCTTCCATTTTTGACCGTCTTCCGACTTAAAAAATGGATACATGTCAATGTAAACTTGAAAATCTGACCGTCTTCCGAAAGACCCAGAAGAATGCCTCAATCCGCCCCTGCGACCCCCCCCCCCGGCTAACCAACGACGTCAAACGCCACAACAGACAATACGGACGACCCCAATTTCGGCAAACGATGTTTGGGCGAGCGTCGAGAATCCTCTTCGCTTTCTGTGCACTCTTTTTAAATGCAGATGCGAACCTTTTACCATGAAACATTTTTTGTACCTGGAATAAATTTTGCCCAGAAAAGACCTTTTCCCGAAAACAAGGTTGTTCTTTCTACCCCCCCCTTCGAGGATATTGTTTACTGGGAGGCATGGCAACCATTTGTAAAGATTTGAGTGGACTGAGCATTCATGTAGCTGTGGAGGATTAACAACCCGCACGTTTCCAAGGATTCTAATTAACAAGTTTGTATTTCCAAGTAAACAATACAAGTAGAATGATAACGCTGAATCGAAAAAAAAAAAGCGTAATAAAACTACAGCAATATATTGCAATCTTGTTTCAAATCTTGCTGACAAACGAAGTATTTCTATGAAGACGACACACAAAGCACGCACCAAGCGGCATGATTGTCCAATCAACGCGTCATAACGGACGGTTATATCATCAGCACACTGGTGCTCCAGAAAACAAGCTCTCTAGGCGACCTTTCGACCTTTTCTTGTCCAGGCGCGCGCCGGATTCGACCAATCAACACGTCTAGATACAGAACCAATAAAATCACTGATTTTACCATAAGATTTGCTGGGGCACTTTTGCGCATATAACAGAATAACAGAAATGACTGCTGAGGAAGCTGGCAGAAAAACTGCTGTGCATTAATACCGGTGGCTGTGTCCGCGATCAAAATGACACAAAGGTAAGCTCAGATGTTATCAAAATAGTCATATGTACTACGTAATTTTGTGTTATTTTGTGAATAAAACGTTGTCGGACAATTAAACCTGGGTCTCCCAACCAAGTCGCTAACGAATGATTATTTTCACATTGTTCTTAGAAGCCTTGGTTACGAATGAATCGATGAAGGGATACTTGTCTGAACTGAGAAAACAACATTCGTAGCATGTGATTTCTGAATATTGTATGGCATTTGATTTATAAATAAATGATAGTTGTTCACTTTGCCCATCTAAGTCATCCCGAGTAAAAACATTATCGTAGTATTTCATGTTCAGATTTACAACTCCGCTACTGAACAACGCAACTGCGTTTTTTTGTTTCAAAATGTCTAAGAGATGCAGTAAGATTGCGGTTTATAATATTACCTGTAATATATAAATCTCCAGGCATGGGAAGCTCGCACATTAACGCGCGGACGCGCGCACACAAACCCGTCTTCTTAGTTTATCACTTTTTGAGGTCCTCTTGAGCACCCATTCTCTAGGCGTCTTAAAACGGCAAATCTTTGAACGAAATAGTCTTTGCAGGAAACTGCCATTGATAGTTGAATAATCACATTGAGCCGGATCCCAAATTTCCTTTCCCGTAACTCCATACACTGTTAGATACAAAACCTTAATAATGGTAAACATTGCCTATTTGCTTTTTTTTTTTTGATATCTACTTTATTTATTTGGTTTCACATTATATGTCTATTATGTATTATGTAGCGCAGACAGCTGGCAAATGTGGCAATGTAATATTCACAGCTCAGTTAACAGTTATCTTCATCGTCATCATCATCATCACCATCATCATTATTCAATGTGCATTATGACCTGTGGATATTACATTTACGAATGCCGTGCTACATAAACTAATACATCTAAGCACTCTGCGTGAGATTCTCTTCATCATATTAGCTTAAATGTTTGCTTGCTTGACTGTCCTTGAACCTACAGAAAATGACGGGTAAGCTGTGTCTCCAATATTGTGGACGTAAGATTCAACGTGAATGGGGCACAATCCACAATGATTGCCACTCCAGAGTTTCTGTAAGTGATAATCCAATCGTGGACACATGATACACATGGCTGTCACCGTGCGCATCTGGAGATAGGGTGTGTTTACAATGTGCATATATACACAAATATTAATAATAAATAAATAAAAAACAGTTCAAATGAAGATTGACATTGCAATAAAGATTATCTGATATGGTATGAAAACTGACACGTGGCGGTATACAGTGAATATTTTAAAGAAGGTTTTAGACAGTGTGTTTTTTCAGATAGTTATTTTTCTCATCTTGATTCGTGGGTTGTTTCTTTTATAAACATTATCATCGTGAGACCTGACAACCAGTGTGATGAAGTTAATTTGTCTGCGATTCATTTTGACATGCTCGTTAGCTGTACGTTAGCATAAAGGCGGGTAACAATGTTTTTCATTGCCTTTCATTTCATTAGTATTTTTCAATGTCAGTGGCGTTGTCACATTATGTTGTTTTCTATAAAGTAGCCCTTCATATGTAATTTTTTTCCGAGAAAGATGTTGCCATTTCATTTCAAAAGGACGACTGTTCCCTCTGCGTGATTTTCAATACAATATTAATATCAGTTGGTGTTGTAAGTGGGATCTAAGACCTCAAATTAAGCCCAGATAATCTTCTTCTGCAGTGACCGTGTGTCACTAATACAGATAAAGATGTTTAATGTTTCACAATTGATTACTGCCATTTTGAATAAAATTCCAGTTTCAATTTAAAAAAAAAACTTCTTTTTACGATTATGAAGATATCATTTTTTGTTGTTGTTAATTAGTCTTGTTATACGAAATAAAAGGAAGCGAAGAATATTGATGTTCATCTGCTCTTCTTATTAGCATAGTTTATATTGATCATTATTTTGAAGAACCTTCATTAGTGATGACTGGAAAATATGCGCAGTAAGGAAAGACTTAATGAAGGTTAGCTAAGGACGGAATTTGCCGTGAGAGTGGGGGGTGTTGTTGCCCGGTGTAAAAAGACGGGAAAACAAAAGTACTAGGAACGAAAGAAGTTTGATGACATGTCTGGGATTATAGTGCCTCGTGAAAAGGAGATCGCAAAAAGCAATACGAGCCGGAAAAAATCACTTTTCACGTCCTGTGTCGTGTATATTATGAACGGTGAAGTTGTCTTTGCACGTCGTTTCATATGCACTGAGCGAAGCGACGCAAAATCTTGTGATCTTGTATCCCCCCTCCCCGCACACATACACACCTCGGCAAACCCATAAGTCCCATTGTAGCTCTTCAAATTAGACTATAATCTCAACACTACTGAGGCAGGTAAAACATATACAGATGCCTACGTATTATTCATATACATGTTTGTTCATTGTACATGTATGTATATACATGTGACAAAGACCCTAAAGCCCGTAGGAAAGAAATCGCTCTAAGTTAAAATGTGAGCTCTAGGTAGGTTTTATTAACACAAGTAGGCTTTGTTGAAAAAAGGTCCACCTTTTCAGAAAAAAAAACAAAAAACGCATCCACCTTCTGAACTTGTCTGATTCGTGTCTGGCCCCTTTATATTATAAAAAAGAATATACACCTACAGTGTATAGAGTTATCCAAGGAGATAATGGCTATACTCTTCCTTGATACAATATATTACATATGATTTCATCGAATAAGCACAATAAGGTCGTATTACATCTGCTGTCCCCATGTGAAAAGTGGTTTCTAAGAAACTGGTCTTTCCCCTTGGTATAACGTGGAATCACTTTCCTAGTGAGAATAACAATCGATAAGGTCAACAACGTCAGTGGTTAGAACAAAGAATCACATTTTAATGAAATAGCATCATTAAAACACCATCGGCGTATTTATCAGACATCCTCCATAGAAACTACTGTGTTGCCACCAAAACAGTATCGTTAATAAGGATGTGCATTTTTATTACGCGCGTGGAAATAAGACCTCATTAGTTAAACGAGAACGCACCCTTTAACGTACTTGAACGGTGCTTAAAGGTAAGTGATAATTGCGACATTTTCAACGAAAAACGATACCCCTTGACTCATTGTATGAAAGCTTCTCCAAACATTTGGGTAATGTAAGCGCGGCGAAAACAGTCTGGTTACAGGACTGGTTACATGACTGCTGGTTTTGACTGTTGGATTGCTGGCGCCAAAAATATTGTATTTTAGATCGATATATTTTAAACACGTTGCCGCTGTAACTATTTTGTAATTTTATTGTATTTTTATAGAGAGGGAAACGGATCCAAAAGCCCAATGAAGGACATTAAGGACGAGAAATGGGTAGAAAATATCATAAATAACAGCGTTACCTCACTAAATAGCCAAGATCTCCTGGAGGCGGCACTAAGGGATCTTTCTGGTTCTGCGGGAAAGAAGAGAGGCAATTTTGGTAGGTTTTATATTTCTGTATTCGCTAACGATTTAAAAATTATCGTTTATTTTGATGGGAACAGTACAGTCACTTCTAATAAAATTACATTGTCCCGTTTGAACAATAAAAGTACTCTTTTACATAATTATATTATTATTTGGGGTTTCAACCAATATAGACATGATAAGAAATGTTACAGACACATTTGTACATCAACACTTTGGCCTTACACATTTTCTCAAAATGTAATCGTTATCGTGTAGCATTGAGTTAAAACACGGCATTCCATATCTATGTGGCATTTTATTACAGGGATATGTACTGGCGAGCCTATTTCCCAGTCTGGGAAGAGAAAACAGCTGGCAAAGATGTTGGCCTTGACCTTCCTTCCCATCATCTGTTTGACTGGTGTTGCCGTCTATTTTCTGCAGGACACAGTGGCGGCATTGGAAGAGGGGCAGAAGGTAATGGCGTGCGTGTGTATTCGGATTATATACATATTATATTCGGATTATATACGTACATGTTGTAAAATCCATTTTTCGTTAATGCGGCTCCGACTAAGTCAGGTTATTACAGTGACATACGCGTGTGTGAGGAGAGTCTAGATTCAATGTAACACAAATTGATCACTAGTCTGCTACACACAAATAAAGTCCACAAAGGAATAAAGGATAAAAAAACTGATCACCAAGGTAGAAACAAAAGCTTTAGAACTGCACGTTCCTATAATATCTAGCCATAAATCTGAACACTTTATCCGTCCCTTCAGTTCCGTTAAGTCCACCAAATACCAAATGATGTGATGATGTATGGTGCATTACTGCTGCGCGAGCAATAACATTTGTTCAATTAAGCTGGCGAAAACGACTGAGGGTTTTATAAATTTCGGTATTTCGGTTGACATGCGACTTATATGAAAGAAACGTGACACTATATTGGTGTAACCCTTACTTTAGTCTATCACTCTCCTTTAACTTAAATGTTATTCCTACGTGCATGTCCACGGTACTGGGTAACAACAATGGGACATGGACATCAAAATTTCAGCATGGCGCCGATCTTGTGAACACGCTTTCCGCTTAGAATATGCATCGTGTTTTGTTTTATATTCATAAATTTTGGAAAATGTAGGATTAAACACATACAAAAATTATCAGGGAGGACTACACTTAACATATGGCGGAATCGGCTGAATGGGCGGTTAAACAGCTATGACAGCGGCGGTTAAACAGCGTCTCGCGTACGTTTCACGTCAAAAAGTGGGGACCGGGTATAGGTTATTTAATTAGTCTCATTTGATATTCATATGGTTGGGTCATTACGTGATCAATCGAAGTTTCCACTATGTACGCTAGGCCCCTGGGCCGAATCTGAATGGGGAAACGAAACTACACGTGGGCCGAATCTGAATGGGGAAACGAAACTACACGCTATAGCTGTGTTTTCGCTGTCGTGCGTTTCTGAAGGAATCAAAACAGGATTGGGTCATAAAATCAGTGATGACAGAATTTCCTTACACCTTGTTGTTTTATGAAAAGCAGAGCGTATTTCAGGTATTTAATTCCCGAAATTGAATAATTTGTGTACTTGGGAGTGCATGGGAGATCATACTTTGTACTGAAGTTAAAAACGGAAACGATGGTAACGTACAATGACCCGTTTTCTTCACCCATCAAACTTTGCGACGAAGAACAATTTTTGTATTTCCCTAACGCTTAAATGATCCCTGAGATGACAAAAAAAAAAAAAAAAAAAAAAAGACAATAATATTCTGAAAGCTTTCTTTTCCATAATGTACAACTGCAAAACAGACTGGTATGTCTGTGTCCCAGATTTAAGCACTGCTCGAGTGTCATTTTCGGCTAAGAATAAAAAAGTTTAAGATACACAGCAATGTTTGGAAATGCGAAATTGTTTGATGTAATAAGACATATCTATCCCCTTTCACTTGAAAGCACCCTCATTGTAATCCAACACGTAAGGATATTTTGACAGACTTTCAAAAATGATAAACCAATTGTTGTTACCCAGTAACGTGGACGTGCACATCTGTACTTATATATTCATATACGTCTGAATATGGAAAACACGACGCGTACTGCAAGAGACAATGTCTGTATACCTTTTGTTTACATTATCTAAAACGACACTTGTCTATGAACAGTTCAATCATCTTATATAAGACACCATGAAAAACCCCATCCTTTTGTAAATCTTCCATTAACTATGAGGCCAGTAATATATCACAGAGAGAAATCCCCATAAAAAAGCTCTACGTACTATTTAGCAAAGAAACTTATGGATTTCACTCCAAAGACTCAACTCAAATATGGCTGTGCTTTGGAACGTACTTACATATGAACTAACCGAAATTTGTAACAACAAAGATGCTTACCTGAAAGAATTTTCTGACTTCTCTCGAACAGGCTAAGAACTTGTGCTATATCTTAAATATTGCGAGACAGCTCCGAAAACGTCTTTTTCAGCGACAGCACCAGAAAAACGTCTTTTTTCCTTATGTAATCCGAAATAAATAAGAAAGAAATAAGGTACAAGTAAGACTATAAGAGGTTTAAAACGACATGCTCACCAATGGAAAAGGATTTATTGCTGCCTCTTCGTACGTGATAATGAGAATCATATTGCTATGCTAACAATTAAGGATACGCAAACAGAGTGTGATTAATATAACGGAAAATGTTTGCCAAACTCGCAGTGATTGGTGCGTATTTGTTAGCAGCAATTTTTTATATGTAATATTATCATATGTTTTATTCTGTTGTATTGTATATTCAGTACTACATGTATTGGATTCAATAATAATATTTATGAAATCGCGAATGGATTTAAGTCTACTTGTGCTGTGTACTAAACTTTTGGCTTCGTTCACTTCTGTAATCAATTTGTACAGGTTCCAAAACGGACACTGACTGGGAAAAGAAAATTATCATGAGTTAAAATACTGCCACAGTCATCTCGTTGAAAAGAACACGGATTAACTTTGCCCATGACGGTATCTTTCAGTGCTCCTGATTTGCACATTTTTCCCAAATGTCACAAACAGACACTTTCTATTGTATTTCCTGAAATGTGTAATCATTGGGTTTCCTCTGCTTGTGGCAAACGAAAAGAGACATTTTGATCGAGGATTGAAGATTACATTTCCATCCCCCCCTTGTGGGCACCCTGAGCTTCAGAGCTAACTTGACACTAACCTTTTCACTGTAGCCAAGTTAGCTCTGAAGCTCAGGGTGCTTGTGGGTTGCGTGCGCACTGTTTGGAAAAAAAGGATCTGACATATGCCATAGAATTTGTGAGCGTGTTTGGGAAAGTAACAAAACTACTTGAACTAATTCACCTGCCTGTCTTTGAAATTTTACTTTACATACTCATTGGTGTACCACAATAGTTCGTTTTGTGTCATAGGCACGTTCAAATTGGAATGTCTTATATATAGTTCTTCCTAATTAATACACACTGTAAAACACTAATCCGCTTACGGTTTTCCCATTTTTATCGCTAGTAAGATCACACTTGTCAGAGTTCAGGCACGAACGTACATGTAACATTTCAAAAAGGACGGGGGAGGGGGGGTCTTTTTCTGAAAAAATAACCATGAAGCCACGTGTACCTGGGCCCAAATTTACCCAGAGCGGACCTTTTCCCGGCCAAATCCCCGTACTCTTCCAACCCAGCTCCGGGCCTGGCCGGTGTAACTTGACAGAGAGTCCCCCACGATATTCATTTGTACAGGTGAGCCTCACCCTAGATTTTGACCCACTTGGTAGTCAGGTTAACCCTAACCCTTGTAACTTAATGGAGGGCGGACTGTCTGTTACACGGACCCTCTGTTTTGTTACACCGGCAGTGATAAAGCATATCACTGTTTGCGTTCTTTTCAAGGTACGGACCTACGTAGAGTTCAGCACGCAGCTGGGGATGTTCCTGCATTACCTCCAGAGAGAGAGAGATCAAAGCGTCCTCTATATGAGCGACATCGGCCCCTCTACCAAGTCGTACCTGGCAGCCAGATATCCCGAGACAGATAAATCATTAGAGGATCTCACAGGATGGCCAGGTAAGGTTCCCTTTGATAAACTCCAACGTTCAATTGTGTGGTTTGGTACACGTATTTTTCCCCAGGCTTGGAGTATTGTCTTTATTAGTCCATAAATGTGGGCAATGTGCATGTATCTTGGGAAACAGGTGTAGCTTTTTGTATAATGCATTTATTTCGACTAGGTAAGTTTCGGATAAATATTTATATTGACCCAGACTTCATCTTACTGATCATTTTCTAATACATTCATGAAAAAATATATCCATCCGAAAAGCTTCTGTTAAGAGTCATACAAACACCCTTAATTCATCGCAGATTTTTCTTTTTTTTTCCAGTCAACGCAAAGATCATCCTCAGAAACCCAGAATTTCGCAGTAAAAACGTATTCCGCAGCTATTTAAACGACCACCGAAACCGTCTAGATCTCCTGAACAACACTATATTGGAAGAGCTTCTCTTTTATACCAGCATTATTGATGTCATCGGCAACTGGCTAACAGATTCCATCACGGAGAGCAAATACGGCACAGTGTGGCGATCCCTTGTCGCCTACCAGAAAATCATCTTCGTCAAGGAAAACGTCGGCCTTGAGCGCGCTCTTGGTCAGGTCTTTTTCGTGCGCGGACATTTTGAAAGCAACGAGTACTACAGTTTATACAACAGGGCCCTGCACACCGCGAGAAATGAATTCCGGATGGCTCAGAATTTCTCCCCTATGGTCATCCCGCTTACGGAGCTCGATATCGAGGTCAAAGGGAACAAACTGTCCATGGTTTTGTCAAACTACAGAGAGGAGATCCAATGGAGAAACAACTCGGAGCCGAAGGGGGACCTTAAAAGGAGCGCACACTGGTAAGTACATATGTACATGTACATGTATGTACCATCTTTGCTCGTTGTCGGTTCTGTTAAATGAGAATTGGCCTTCGTATCTTAGGCCAAAATTGTAATCTTCTGTAGTTTGAGCCAAGATAATTCAGTGGCTGTTCACTTTAATCAACTGTTTTCTTAAAAAAAGAGGTGGTATGGTTTATGTTTATACCAACAATTTGTTAATGTTGACTTCACATATCACCGGTCCCCTAAAATGCGAAGTCGGCACGGGCCTCGTCACTTTAATCTTTTTCACATTTTGTGGCATATTGACTTATGCATATTAAAAGGCTCCTATGGCCATGATGCCTTTAAATCTTTCAATTAATTATCCAATATTTGACCCAAGGTACGACCAGATGACCATCTTCGTCAACAAGCTTTTGGACGTCCAGCTGGAGATCAAAGACACCATCAGCTCCATGATTGAGTCCGACCTTAACGCTCGGTACATATCAGTGGCCGTGAGCAGCATTTTCATTCTCCTGGTGTTTGCCTTCTGCCCGCTGGTCATTCGGTCCGTGGTCAAACTGACCACCAACATCCAGTGCTACGCCATCACCCTGGCGGACAAGACGAAGGAGTTGAACAGGGAGAAGCATCGGACTGATTCCCTGTTGTATCAGATGCTGCCACAGCCGGTCGCCGGTATGTGTAACGATTGGTTTTAATAATAATAATAATAATAATAATAATAATAATAATAATAATAATAATAGGCATGCTTCTCATTAGTTCTTGCAGAACTGCATTGTTTTGTTACATACATGTAAATATGTGACACAAATTGGGTCATATGGCCCATCCCCATTCTGCGTAGATCGATCCAACTGTCCGGGGACTCTCGCTGAATGCAATCAGCAGATTAACACGCCTCCTCCTGGTGTTGAGTATACGTAGAATGTAGAAAAAACCTGATGATTACACGAGTACGTTGGAAAGAAGTGTAGGCGTGCTAAACCACTGAACTGCTTGCATAAGGTTCATGTAATGCACTGTTGTATAAGTTGTTTTTTTTGTAGTGCGCCTTTACCACAGCCAGTGGATGGCACAGTGTACTTCCTGGCATGGATAGGTGTACTGCTTGTTACATTAAATGAAGTAACTGGATAGGGATTATGGTTTTAGTATGTGAGTAGGAAGGATTAGATGCAAGATCCCAAAAGCAGTTTTTTTTTTTTGGACAAAGATCATAAGATTGAACAAACACGGTGTTCATTAGTGTCAAACGTGCATATCAAACTTCTCACGATTCTCATTCTAGATCAATTAAAGTCTAAAACGGATGTTAGCGCAGAATACTTCAAGGAGGTAAGAAATATAAATCTGTTAGCATCTTTTATTTCTCGGAATGCCTTATCCAATTACCGGTGGAGTTTACATTTGCGTCAGAACAGGCATTCATTCATTAGTTTGTTTTCTCTGTTTCTCTTAATGCGTGCTACGCTTGTTGGTTCCAATAATAAAATTAACTTCGAAATGTGCATTGAAAATTGTCTCACCACAACATCAAGTACATGTATCTAAATTGCAACAATCATTCCAATATTATTTTCAGATCATCGTATACATTTGAATACACAATGCCCAACTAGAATGCTATGAAGTAGCACTATATCCGTTATAACTATATTTGTCTTATGAAAAACTTAAAAACCATCACACATACTGTCAATGCGTCTTTCTTTTTTCCCGAATCCTAGGTAACCGTATTTTTCTCCGATATCGTCGGCTTTACCCGAATATCGATGCAGTGCACTCCAATGGAGATTGTCACGATTCTGAACACCATCTATCGTCTGTTTGACGAACATATCGGCCTATTTGACGTGTACAAGGTGGAAACAATTGGAGAGTCGTACATGGTGGCATCAGGTGGGGTTAACTTTATCTATCACATGATTGTTCAATTTGCAAGTTACAGTTTTATTGGTTATGAACAGAGAATATGTAGCCTAAATCAGAATGAAGACGGCGTACCAATAAATAAATAAATAAATAAATAAATAAATAAATAAATAGGCCTAAATACCAATGTAAAAAAAACAATCATTCCTGCATTATTTAACATACTCTCTCTCTCTCTCTCTCTCTCTCTCTCTCTCTCTCCTTGTTGCTTGAACAGTAACACACATGTTATGCTGGCATCTTCACACAATTGCATTTCGCATATTTTCTAGGTTTGCCAACACGTAACGGCAACAAGCACGCCAGCGAGATCGCTAACATGTCCCTGGACCTTCTGAACACCTGTAATGATATCGAGTTCTCCAACCTGGCCACCTTCGAGGGCAAGATACGGCTGCGGATTGGGGTCCACACAGGTAGGGACAGTCTGTAGGCCTACTCTCGTAGTCTTATGCGAGATCCGTTGCTAGGTGACGGGGTTGTAGAAGGTGTTCTGGGCCCCGTAACTCGAAAACCATCGCGCATTGCGACCAAGCGCAAGCGTCTCGATTCCATAACTCGCCCATACTCGCCCCATATAATACACTGGAGCCTCTATGTGAAATCGCTATTCGCAATACGCGATGCTTTCGAGTTACGGGACCCAGAACTTCATTTTGATAAACGTAGAAGCCGTAAGTGATGGTGCCCTGTTAATGACGGTTTTCCACGGTACATGTAACTTCTTGGATATATATTTTCGATAGGCCTACATTGCATTGTATTTTCGATAAATACATTTAATGTGATACATACAGGTACAGTTAGTTAATTCATGCAAGTTTTCCGATTCTGACTATTGCTCATTTTTGTTTGCGAGATTACACTGTATTTTTGGTGGCGCACTCTAAAAACCTTGCTTGCTTTCTGATCCATTTGTTTGTGAAATAGGCAGTTACCTTGTTGCTCGATTTAAAGGTGTGGATCGTTTTTGCACTGTTGCCACGGGCAACTATCACACTTTCCAAAAAGGTCCTAATTATTCTCACTTGTGAGCCATTCACTGCTATAACAGACGTGACAGGTCAATCACAGTGGACCGCGTTCAAAGGGTGATAGGTCCTTTGGGAACAATTGAATGGTTATTTATCATTTTTAAACATTACCCAGTAGGGCAAAAGGGAAAAAAATAAGAGCAATCAAAAGGCCATAAAGTGAGGCACCCCATTAGCCCCCCCCCCCCCCCCTCCCGTAACGAAACTGAGGCTCCGTGTAACAGAAAGTCCGCCTTCCATTTATTTATACATTGTAATGGTTAAAGTTAGCTAGGGCGAGGCTTACCCGTACAAATGGATGGGAAACGGACTCTCTGTCACGGAGACCCTTCTGTCACGTTACACCCGTAGCCTACATAACATGTGCGTGAAGGCAGAGAAATAATATACGCGACTTTCGCTGAATCTACAGGCATCATTATACTGCTCACTTAGGCCTTTACTGGTCAACCAGATTCTTACGTTGTCCACACCACAGATATAATTACCGGGTTCTTGTTAACAGTTCTTCATTTCCGCTATCGAATGGAGACGATAATCGAGCTTTTACCAATAATGTCGACAACAGCGTCTGTGTTGTATTACAGGGCCCTTGGTCGCTGGTGTTGTTGGCTCTAAGCTGCCGCGCTACTGTTTGTTCGGAGACACCGTCAACACAGCATCCCGAATGGAAACCTACAGTCTCCGTAAGTATACATGTAAACTGAAATATTTGTTTTAGCACACCGATTTTTTTTCTGCTCAGCATATGGCTGGCAAAAACGAAGACAAATTTAACTTGACAATTTTCTTATTGACAGCATCAACAAAGCAAATTAACCCGGGGTGATACGAATCTCTTTTATATTATTGGAACAATTTTCAGTTCCTTTGTGCAATGAAACATGTACATGTAATGCTACTCCATTCACACATTGTTTCTGATTTATTTTATAACATTCCATGATATTAGAGAGGCAATAATTAATATTCCATTCTTTGGGATGAAAACGGAAATCAATTTCCTAAAATTGACGAAAACAAGACGGTGATCTATTTCCTTTGAGCAGTTCTTATTCATATCATTTCACCAGACCGGAGGAAAATAATTCAGTTTTCGGATATTGGAGATATACACTGTATTCACAAAATGATGCAAACAAAACGCGCTGGCAGGGTTGATTATTCTTATATGTCGCTCGGGTGACAGTGTATTATCTCACACTTCCCGGCAATTAATATCAACCCTGTTCTAAACGTTTTGTTCTGCAGGTCATAATGGGCTTATATTCTCTTTGGTTATAATAATTCTTCAATAACAAAGTCATATTTATGGTGAAAAGATTGGACAATTTCCAACAGAGACATATTAGAGTTACAGTTTCATTTTAATGAGGCTTAATTTTGTGAATGTATTTTACTTTATAAGTACCTTAGGGCGTCACATTGCAACACACGTAGTATCATAATGGTTATGGAAATAGATTTATTAGATCTGAAAACAGTGTTATATTGATGAACATTTATGTATTTAAGCTCCTTACTATTTTGGACTCATTAAGCTGTGAGCCAATCTAGATTAAATTCAGAGGAAAAAAATGTCAACAGATTCACCTCCCCTCCCCCCCACCCCCGCAAAAAAAGTATGGAGCTTTTTTTAACAAAAGGCTTGTTTTTAATATTCCAGCCCATCGAATCCACATCAGCCACACCACCTATCGTCTGCTGGACAAAACTGGATGTTATATCATGCAGAGGAGAGGAGATATAGAAGTCAAGGTAAAATTACTTGTTCTGGGCAGTGATTCGTTTCCTCGAAACGTGAAGATCGTATAGCGATTATTTTCAACAAAAAAGAGTGTTTTTAGATATACGGTTGAGATTGTGGATGAGTGAACTGGTGATATATTATCTGAAGCATGAGAAGAATGCGTGTAACTGCAACTCTTTTCTTATTGTGGATCCATGACAATTCTACTTTCACATATTTTGATAAGCGAAAGAAATTATAAAGCTTATGAGATGCATGTACATTGGAAGATTTTTTCTAATTTCGAATCATTTTGAAGTGGTTCTATTCCATAGTGATTTTTACAAGCCAAACTGGAGATTACCAAATTAGATCTGGGATTTAAACGCAGTTATATTGCTGGATCAGACTCCATCGTCTTGAATTATGCATGTTTGAATCTAAAAGATACCGCGGTAATCAATATCAGTTCTTCATTTTACAGGGGAAGGGGCACATGACTACTTACTGGCTTATAGGGAATGTCAGCTCGCCTAGCCATAACACTGACGATGTTTCAAAGTCAAACTCCGCGTTGGACAAAACCCGCCGCCCCGTCGCCGAGCAGACCCAGACTGTGCTGCCCAAGAACCCGGTTTACGGCATCACCAGGCCTGAGCTCCACAACGAGACCAAGCCTCTGGAACCGCATCTACAGACCCTCTCCGTGGCCTCGGGTGCGCCGACACAGAACCCTCCAAGCTATGCCGATATCGAGGCTATATTTGAGGAGGAGAGGGGCAGCCCCACCATTGTTCAGCTGACGGAGGGTGTGCATTATTAATGTCACGTGCAAGAGAGTCACCAATGTGATGTACACTGTAGGGCCCGTTCCCCGTTAATTTGTACAGGAAAGCCCCGTGCAATATGTTGACGCACTTACGTCACGCTAAACCTAACCTGTATGGATCTAATGGAGGGCGGACTCTCCGCTACATAGATTCTCAGTTTTGTCACACTACCCGCACAAAGGTTATCAAAATTGTTATCATCACGCATTGTGGATCTATCGTTCATCGTATTGCACGGACTCAAAAAGTTCTGTTCACAAGAAGACGTATAAGCGTAAACATTAAACAGTGTGCCTGAATATACTCTGGAACATGACCAGTCTCATTGTTCATGAACAAGCGTAACTTAGACGTTTGTAACTACAAATAACTGGTGTGACAGGAATGGTTGTCCTAAGAATGGGAGTCCGGGGTACCTTATGATTACTACAGGTTAGGGTTAGTCGTAGCATTGAGCTCGTATATGGGACGAATGTCACCTGTAGAAAGTAAAGGGGAACGGACTACCATTCCTGTCACACGGCCAATATCCATAGCATACTCCTGGATAACACAAGCCTGTGGCCAACAATTTCAGAATATTTACTGATCTTTTTTTTCTAGATCTCTTACTGTAGTTCGCCCGATTAGAGAAAGAAGAGGGTGGGGGTGGGGGCGTGAGAGAGAGAGAGAGTATGAACCTACTACTAGTAGATCAATCATTCAGAGCAGGCCTTTTCAGACTAAAAGGGTGCAACCCTCGCACCCCAAAACCCTCTGCCACTTAATTGACCTGTAGAGATATAGTTAAGGCAGTAGTGTATGCTGGGGTGCAGCGTATTTCAACTCTCTGCAATCATACACTTTTGCCTCTAGCAAGGCCACGCAGGGAGATTTTTTCAATTAGATATTAATGGATAGTTTCTCTGGTTTATGGTGTGCACACTACTGAACGGTTTAGCGAGAATTTTTGCACCGTCCTGACGTCATCACCCAGTTGGGCTCTTGTTCAGAGAACGCAGACATGTTATTAACGGGATTGTTGTTCCTTAAAGTGCTAAAAAGGCTCTGAGTTATGTCAGCAAAAATCGATGAAAAAAATTAAATATAATTGAAAGTACTGGTAAACATCTGACTGGATAAAATGTGAAATATTTTCTTATGACTTTTTTTATACCATGGTGCATTTGCATCAAATATTTCGTTTTAGAAATGTGACGATCTCATGTAATGAAGCCTTTGTTCGGCCGTACATGTAGTAATCCCAATATGTAGAATCTTCTTGATATATATTTCAGCTACGAACGTTTACTTCAGTTATCGCTAGATGATTTGTTGAAGGGAATTTGATAAAATCAGAATCTAAAATCTCTCTTTGTATATACTACTACAGAGAGGTGATAACAGTATTGCACCATTTTGCTTGTAGGTGAACAACAGGTACATTTGCAAGGTTTTTCAAATGGTATTTTATTGAAAAGTGGTTATGTGAAGTTACTATCTTCTTTACACGTTTACAGACCAGTGATTTGCCCTCCAGTGTCCCCCATCCTTCTGTGATCTTGCTTGATAACAGTATTGCACCATTTTGCTTGTAGGTGAACAACAGGTACATTTGCAAGGTTTTTCAAATGGTATTTTATTGAAAAGTGGTTATGTGAAGTTACTATCTTCTTTACACGTTTACAGACCAGTGATTTGCCCTCCAGTGTCCCCCATCCTTCTGTGATCTTGCTTACCTTTTGTAGGGCACCCATGTGGTTTAATACGGCCACCGCTCTGGTGAAGGTTCAGTTAACGTTTTGGGGGGTATTGGCCCACACTCTAAAGATACTTTGGATCAGAGCATTTGCGGTAAAGGTAGATCCTTTGCCATTTTTTTCCAATCTTATTCCGCAGGTTTTCAATGGATCTGATGCCCACTCTGATGTCATGCAGGCAAAGCCGCTGTCTTACAGCCCTGGTCCTGTGGGATGTATACTAGCTTTATCATCTTGGAAAACAAACGGATGATTTCTGTCCCCGATGGTAAAAGCTGATGGTCGAGAATTTCAACGTAAAGTTCATGGTTCAGGTTTCAGTGCGTGAACATTAGTGCACAAATTCCGTAGAGGCCAATGCGACCACAAACCATTATTGAAGTGGATTGTCTAGTGAGGCATATTCTCTTGTATATGAGACATGGATGATGTGTTTTATACACTCATTTTTCCACCCACGTTGTTAGACTAATCAGAAAATACAAAGCGGCACCAGTTCTGACCTACTGTCCATGCAATGGTTCTTGCAGCCCATGTCACTCTTCTTCGTCTGTTTCCAAGGTGATAATTGGTTTTTACCCTGGGAACCCTGGTGTGAATTCCTGAAACACGGGGCTTTCCTTGAACTAATCTCAAGCTGCAAATTGCGCGACTGCAAAGCTAATTTGCTGCAAGGTTCAAATCCCCTAAGCCTTGGCTCTATTCCCATAGATTTTAGATCGATCTATCCCCGCGGGGAGTCTCACTAGATTACTTTCAGATAATCCGACTTAAATGTCCGTCCCGCCTACTACAAGCTGTAAGGGGGTAATTAACTTTCGTGTCCGTCCGGCTGACAGCTATTTAGCGTGAACCCCCAGGGAGTTAGGTCGATCTAAAGTAGGTCGATCTAATCTATGGAAATGGGGTGCTTGACACCATAAAAGGGCACCTGTCGTCTATGGCAATAGTCTTCTTGGGCAGCAACTTCGTGGTACTTAATTGGCATAACCAGTGTCCTCCATCCTTCTGCAAACCCCGTATTCGGTCTCACCAGACACACCATATATGTCGGCATTCTGGGGGACATCTATACTCTCCTCCCTCAAAGATACAAATTCTTTCCCTACTTCATTTCTGAGCTTCCTTACCTGGAGCCAGCTAGATGGACAAAACGCCTTCGATGGCACCCTTCATAGTGCACACAGATGAAGATTCATCACTGGTTGCGCGAGGAATGAACCGCGAGTCACTCTTTTAGGGCGTATTCCCATATATTTTAGATCGATCTATCCCCGTGGGGAGTCTCACTAGATTAATGTCAGATAATCCGGCTTAAATGTCCGTCCCGCCTACAAGCTGTAAGGGGGTAATTAACTTTCGTGCCCGCTCGGCTGACAGCTATTTAGCAAGAACCCCCAGGGAGTTAGGTCGATCTAGTATGGATCGATCTAATCTCTGGGAATGGGGTCTTAGTGTATTTACGAACGGATCCCCCATGGCGCATACACTGTAGCGCACTATTCAGACAGACGGTGCAATACTTTTGTCAACATTGTGTACATGTGTTCAGCGTTCGTTGTCAAATAATTAAGCGGCTTTTTCCTGAAAGTGGTTGTGTTGTAACGTCAGAACGTGAGCACAGCTCAATGGGCGTATTAGGTAAGAGTAGCACTGTGATATGTTTTTATATGGTTCGACAGCACAAACCTAGTGACAGTGAAAGATGATATTAAATGCCCTTTTATATTTATGATTGAGATAACACATCGTATCAAAAATGATAGGTGAATTGCATCAGTGCATGCTAGAATGTATACATTGTAACATGAAAGTAAATCTGAAAAAGTTTAGAGCTGTCCATGATATATACACTCTTTTAACTTATAGTATTCTTTTTGTTTTGAACGAACGTGTCAAAAGCAATAGTTATTCCTCTCAATTGGTAAAATTACTAGCACTGACCTTAGTTAAACTTAAGGATGATTTAAAAGAAATTATTACAAGTAATATACATAAAGGTTAAGCGTTAATTAGCCTTAAGCGAAAAAAAGAAAAAAAGAAAAATCTATTCAATTCACGGGGATTGCAAGCGGTTTTGTCATTTCTGACTTAGAAGTAATTTTTTTGTATTCTGTTGTTGGTCGTTGTTTTTATAATATGCGGCAAGAAACTGTACAGAATGTTGTTTGCAAAACATCCTAAATATCTAAATCTTATAGTAACCTGCATATTAAGGTACATTGTAGAAAATTCAAAAATATTAAAGCAGGAGAATTGCTGGGGTTGTTGTAGAAGGTAGCATGGTACGGTTTTTGCCTTTACATGTCATGCACTGTATGACATTTAGATTTTTTGGCCGCCCCTCCCCTTCTTAGCAAAAGAAATATAGAAAATTACGCACTCAGAGAGCGAGGACCTCTGCCAAGAACCAACATTTAATCAATTCTCATATTTTTCAGCCCATTTCCGCTCTATCCCGAGACTTCTATCAAAACCCTCACCTTTTGAGTTGGGCTGTTAACTAACACACCAGTGAAGGTAAAAACAACCTCCTTGGTGGAGGTGATAATGAAGCTGTACGTAAACACGGACAGGTCACCCCACACATGTAGTGATATTCTGACTCGATTCCTGCCCACACAATAGGTGATATTTTTTAATTTCTTCTTGCCATACCATGTCCGTTTAATGCGTTCAAATTTCACTTTTCACTTCTCGGTGTTAATTGCGTTGAACTGAACACAGATTGATATTAAAAATGTTTTAGAACTTCACAATAAAGGTTGGAAACCGCTGACTTGTCTGTATTTTTTTCTTCACAAGCGGATGCCAGTCGGGGTTGGGGCGGGCTTGATAATGAAAGTCCAATCGTTTTATAAAAATGTTCGCGGGAGACATTTTATTTATTTGTTTATTTTTATCATTTCTTTTTCACATAATACTTTTTCCATGAAGCACACATTAAATATTAAAAATAAAAAATAATGACAATAACATTGTGCAGATAATCGCCCAATCATATACAAGACTTTATTGTGCTGGATGTGCAGTCACAGCTACCGCATTTCGTTTTGGCTGGCGTCACATCTCCTGGTTGCGTACACCGCTTTCACAACTACTGCATTTGACAATGACATTTAGCTTTTTTCCTCCCTTTTTTTTGAATTTTTATTAAACATCATCTGTTTTTGTTATTTGAACCTGAACGAGTTTATATCTGACTTTCAACTCACTTTGGTTTGTTCCTCCTTGGCGATCATTGACCAAAATGAATGTCTTCAACAAAAGTACACATAATGCACAAAGGAAAATATCCCCTGTGGCAAACAGTGGACTTAAACATCTGACATCAAATTTTCTCTTGTTAACCTCACCGTAGTATCAACACAAAAGTACAATTTAGATTGCTTCAGTTTATCGTCAGCTGTACTAAGATTTTAAATAAGACCAGTCAGTGGCGCCCTCTTTCAGTGGCACTCAGGTCACGCTGACCTGCCTGTCAAACCCCTAGATACGCCATTGTTTGAACGCCCTGTCCACGCCTGCGACACCCAATAAACACGCTGTCATCATCCATCTCACTATGTTTACATATTATTTCTTATCAGACTCAAGTGTTGATTTCGTTTGTCTTGCAATACGGTAACTACTCATAAATGTCAAACACCTCAAATATTTCAATTTTCATTATTTTTCGGGGGAGGGGGGTACTGAAATGTACGGACCTTTTTTTACGTGATTAAGCTTTCGTTTGAGATATTTCTAATAAACCGTTAAAAAACATTTACTGACAGATACTAACAACTCCCCTTTGCGGAAATTGTGTATCTACAGTTTTGTTTGAACTTTGTGAGTTACCACCGTAGCTCAAGATGTCAGGTTAACACGTTAAAGTTGAGGTGCTGTTGACTGGAAAGGGTAGGGCAGTTATCATTCGTTTAAGATACAAATACCAATGTTGCACCTCGGTTACTTATCTTACTCAGTACATTCCACTTAATCAAATGTCCAATTTTGTTAATTTGATTCACTTTGTCNGTTTAGTTAAAGTTGAGGTGCTGTTGACTGGAAAGGGTAGGGCAGTTATCATTCGTTTAAGATACAAATACCAATGTTGCACCTCGGTTACTTATCTTACTCAGTACATTCCACTTAATCAAATGTCCAATTTTGTTAATTTGATTCACTTTGTCTGAGGTACAATTAGGTCCTAGGGCTGAGCTAATGGGGGTAATACTTAGTACATGGACACGCCATTTGAAGAGATGGTCCTGCACGAGAAATGGAATTTTTGGTTCAGAATAAGTTGAATATTATTTGTTTTTTTTTCTTATCAAAAGAATACAGCTGTGATGATATCTACATACATGATATCTCCGTATCTACATGTAAAGATTCACTGTAAATATTCACTCATTTGTTTCTGACTTATTCATGGCACATTTCTCCACTGTGACTGTTTGATGGGGGTATAATGCGTAATGACCCCGTATGTTTTAAAATGTGTATGTGCGTGCGCACGCGTGCGTGTGTGTGCGTGTGTGTGCGCACGCTTGTGTTTGACCTGTTTATACCCATTCAATGTCGCGATAACCTCCCACAAACAGAGGGTAGTTAATCATTAGCCGCTAAAGCGTTTACCTTGTATCCTAAGATAAACCATAGATCATTGCGAAATACTAGAATATAAAAGTCGCTAAAGTTTACGTTCATACAAAGAAGAAATGTCGCGTCTCGGATATAGATAGAGGTGAAAACCATTATCCAGTCACCACGTTTCAGGTCACACATTGCGAAAAAAAGTTGTTACGTTAATTGGACAAATTATCATCGAATTCTTCTCAATGTTTACTTTTCCTTCTATGTGAACTATAGACCATTGTGAAATGTACACTGGGTTTTTAGATAAGATACAGAGTGATCCAAATTGGTGTGCACGTTTGCTAACAATGTGTCATATACGGGTTGAGCTTGCCTGTGTCCCATGAATGCATAACGCAGATTGGTTTCTTTTTAAGCACTGTGTATGTTGCTAAGTTTAAATCCGACGTATTCTTCCAGGCCCGTTCAGATTGACATATTGCACCTCTGTCTCAACGGGCTCCATTAGTTGCTTGTGGTGTTTTGAAATCCTGACGAGGACAAAAATCGATCAGATCGATCAGAGCAAGACAGAACTCCAGGCGTCGTTATCCGTTCACTTGTGACTGCTCCATCCAAATTAACACACCTGGTTGTTTTTCTATCCAATTTTATACCCAACCCATGATGAAGGGCTGGGTCGCCGTCTTTGGTATTTTTGCCGTCTCAGCTACTTGTTTCACCCCACTGGGTGCGCAAAACACAACTGGCATCGGGAGTTTCCTGAGGTCGTTCGTAAACCGGGAAAATATCGTTGGAGTCCTGAATAGTATCCAAGGAGATCTGTCGCCCCAACTGAAAGCAATTTTCCAGCAAATAGACACAGATGCCATTGCCACTCAGCTGCTCAACCAAACGGATAGGATTTTTGCGGAGCTGGACCGCAGTAATTTCACCTTGTCCAACCTGGCTGCCTTACCCGCGGCACTTAGTCAAATCTTCGCTCCCGCTGGAAACAATGGCAACGCTGCCCAGAACGCGAGCGTCCAGAACTTTCTACAGAACATATTGGGGGCACAAGGTAAATATGTCATATGGAATTGAACATACGTAGAATTAAGCCAAATTCAGCTGAAAAAGATAATTGAAAATTCGCGGTCGAATCTATACTCTTTTCCTCAAAATGCCATTCGGGATGTCTCGAAACTTCACTTAGAAATGGTGGAAATGGATATTGATGAATATTATTCACTTAGCATAATTCCTCTTTTTTAAGATCAATCTTTCAGTTTATTGTGAATCATCTAAGAAAAATATGAAATTAACGTTTAGAGAAAGACCAAAGTCCTTACACATTTTGCAATTTTCCCCGCTACTGCATACCTGTGCATTGCTCGCCTAAGAGTGATTTCATTGTGACAATGTATCATAATTTGAAAAAAAAATCTTATTCCAACGTCAGCGAATCGTTGTTTTAAGTAGCATTCCTCTTTGCGTCATCATTTATTAAACATAAATAAACCATATTTATTTTTCAACCCACAGCGCCAAACATCGACACTTACAGACCTCTGATGCAGGAAGCGCTGCCTTTGCTTCTGGATCAGGTCCCTGGCATGCAGTTGGTCCAGGGTCAGTGCAAGAAAGACATTGGCTTGTTACTTGAGGGTCTGCTTACTGGACAGGCGTGGGCTATGAACAGTGAGTATGCTTTGTAAATAAATTAATTCATCAATTTGTCATTTCATTTATCTGTCCATGTATTTCTTTATTCATCATGGTGTGTACATCTAAAAGACCAAATAGAAAAAAGCAACAGTAACAGTTCTGTCAAAAGTTGATATGAGAGAGTGAGAGAGAGAGTGCATGTAGTCAGAATATAATCAATGCATAAGAAAAATGTGCATATTTATACTTTCATAGTGCTGATGAAGTTACACAACGTCTTACACTTTTGGAATTTATCTTCACTTTATTTTACCTAACCTCTTTAGAGAGCCGTGTTATTGCGCAACTCGCATGTTTTATTAGCCACTGACATAAGATCTGATTTCAGTCCTTTTGTAACAAAATAGATGTTCCATGAGATCATGACTGATACGAACTCTGCATCTAATCACAAAAATAAATGCAATTTGAGTCATCGCAGAAACAAGTTCGTTGATTACACATCTATTACAAATCATACATGTATGTCAAGACTTTTTTTGGGACATGCGCACTGAATGCTAGAGTTGCATTTAGACTCTGGTACTTGCATGAGGACCGTGGGCCAACATGTCCATGGGATGAAAAATTCTCAATCCATTTTCACATCTTGCGGCACCTTTTTTTTTTTTTTTTTTTTTTTTTTTTTTTTGTTTCGCACCATTCTGAGATATTGACTATATTTTGGGTGTAAATTGAACATTTTAAACATAGCCCACGTGCTCGTCACTGCCAGTTTACAGGATCAATTTTGATTGGTCCAAAAATTTGCGAAAATAACGTAATCACACGTTAGAACCAGTGAAAAAGGTTGCTGATGCCCGACAAGAAATAGCACCGTACAATGACAAAAGGGGCATATAATCAAACGTAATAATATTACAAGATTGCACAGATTTTTAAATAAAAACACGATCATCTGGTCTGGGCACTACACGCAATCGACTCGGGGTCTGTTTCTGCGTAGAAATGCGCCTTGAGATAAGGACGGCCGCGCCCTAGTTGCCGGGGTACTAGTGTATGTACAGATAGGATTAGGTGCTCTATCTATTCATTTCTTATATAAATCCTAATCAAAAACTGGCCCAGATATGTCATGTCATTGTGTAACCTTTTCCCTCGTTATGAAAGGGGCCAGAGGTGAAGGAATTTTTGGTGAGAGTTTTGGCGATAAAGACTGCGCAAACTACGGTCACCGCATTAGATTTCAATTTTTGTCTCGTGCCCTCTTTTGTTACAAATATCGCAGTGTCAGCCGTTGACGATATACGTACCCATTACAAAAAATGTCAAGATGATTACACTTGTATTATATGAACTTTGATAAGGCCGTAACTTTGTGATATCGTTAAAGTACTTGAAGTGATAAATATTTTGAAAGTGGATAATGAAATGTCTAAAAGGATAAAATTAATGAAATAAATGACTTGAATAACGATAATTTGGCTAATTTTATATGGTGTTATCTAGGACTGTGGAAATTTTATCTTCAAACTATTTTTAGGCTGTGTTATAACCCAGGGGTTAATTAATGATAGTTCAGTTATTTGTTTTATCATTGACGTATTTCCAGTGTGGTGTCATTAAACACAACTCAGTTTTAAGAGGCTTGTGATTATTTTTGTCTTGTGTATAATTTTCAAAAATGTATTGGCACTTATTTGTATATTCATTTTAATCTCAAGCTTTTGAATATTCGATACAGTGAAGGCCTCAAAGCAACCCTACAAATGAAATTTGTGCAAATTTGTTTGTAAATCATAATTTTTGCTGACTCGTTACATCATAATTTCTAGGATGATGAGTCTTATTGAATATTTGATATATTTTTTTATCCTCAAGGTCATAACATTTAATACAGGCAACAATGTGTTACGTTGTTAAATTTGTTAAAATGATAAAGTTACTGAAGTTATATAATAAAAGTAACCTTGTTTGGGCGAATATCGAACAATCGAAATTCCTTTTTGCCTTCTTTTTTCTTGTTTTACACTTGTTTCTTGTTGAAGTTTGTGGTACACTGGGAAAGAGGAAACACAAGTGGCCTCTTTATCAAATGCAACTGAAGTTTCGAATCTACGAGCGAACACGTAGGCCTACAGAAATTTAAAAACGAAATTCCTGTCCCCCGTCGACTCTGATGGTCAGGTTTAAAAAACCTTAAGTACAAGTGATAATATTTTTTTTTCAGTGTTTGACTCGTATGGCAAGCCACCTGCTGGGATATTGTACGGAAACCTCAAGTGGCTTGGACAGTACGATGAATGTATGCGAGTGGAGGCCACCATTCCGTATGTATTAATATGGAAATAGTTAAACTTGGGTTGTAGGCCTATGTGTGCTCTTTTTGAATACAACTACATTTAAATTACCGATATTGGTATACGGCGACGAATCGACCACTTTCACTTACTGGAAGGTATCTTTTTGTAGTTAATAATACTACTCTCTCTCGACCTGTCTCTAGGTTTCTCAAACACACACACACACACACACACACACACACACACACACACACACACGCGTACAAACATGTACACACTCACCTGTTATGATTTACTATGTAAGGGTTTTGAATTATCCAGAAAGGTTGGCTTGCAGAAAATCGACCAGCACTTCAAGGGGGAGTATTGCAAAGCTTATATCAAATTTCCAAGCGGAGTGGCTGCAGGAGCTGGAGGGGTAAGTGGTTTAAAGTATACTGTCTCACCTTGTCTTACCTTAACAATTAACAATTAGCAGTATTTAAATACATTAAGCCTCTCTAGCACGTGGAATTTCAACATATGTAGAAAGGGAGAGGCGAGGTGTACCCATGGATGCATCAATCTACCCTGTATGTTATATGTTTTACAGAATGCCGCATTGTTGATGGGAGGCGATCAATTCATTCAGCTAGGGACGTGTTTTCCAGACTCTTGCACATCAGCTGATATCACAATGTTCGGCCAAGGTACCAGTAATCACATACTAAGCTGTTTTTTTAGTTTTTCTTAATTTTACATTTTACTCGACACCAGCATCACAACATTTTTTTCATTGTATTCGCCAGTTTTGGCAAGAAGCATATTAGTAACTCGGCGGAATGGAAGTTTAGTTCAATCCATGCGCATGTTGCATACATATTTGAGATTATAATATGTTGTAATTATTTATTTATTTATTTATTTATCATTGTGATTGTTCAATCTTATGCAATTTCATCTGTCATGTACATGTATAGAAATAGACTATCAGTTTATAAACGCGCCTCACAAATATGAATATTAACTCAGCACCCCGTGACTTTCCCTGCGCCTCGTGCCTATCTGCAGGTAAATATCAAATTCATGTACGATTTTTTTTTTGCAATAAATCAATTATCTTTTATTCCAGCTTTAATGGGAAATACTACTTTCCCAGGCGCCCAATGTGAAAAGTCCAAAGTTCCCAAACTAAGCGAAGATCCAAAGGCAATAGCATGCATGTGAGTTCTAATTTTTACTGGAAAAAATGCCTTTTATCACATTGTTATGTCTTTTATATTTATTTCATACAACAAATTATTTGAATGGGATGTTTGTAATACCTTTGAGAATCTCAAAGTATACAAGTATATTACAAATTGTCTTTACTAGCTGTTCTCTTATTGAAAACTCATCAAATTAGCTTGCAGAAGCGCCATGCTGGTACCGCACAGGTATACTGTAGAAAATGTAGTAAATGTTAGTAAGAATTGTTTTGAATAAGGTCAAAATTTTGGCAAATAGTCCCCTACAACTTGAAGTCATGTACCTTCATGTTCTTTTCCCAGAGCCGTCGTCTCCGTTTTTGCGTTCTTTCTCGTGGTTGGTACTTTGATAGAAGGTTTCGGAATAGACAAAATAGTAACCCCAGCAAAACGCTCACATCAGATTGAAAACTACGTGAACGGCTTCAGTAATGGTGGGTTCGTCATGGATACGGTGGTGCCACTGAAAGAAAAGAATGGGCACATACCAAACGGAAACGACAGTCACGTGCAAGATGTCAACACTAAAAGTAGGCCAACCTTGATCTATAACAGTAGAAACCCATATATGTTTACGTATAGTTTAAATATTCTGGCATAGCAAAGGTTTAAGACTGTGAAGTTATATAAATTATTATTTTCTGAATCATCTATATGAAAGTTCAACTGTTGAACTGTTTGGAGTTAAACATCTGTCTAGTTCCTTTATGTGCATGTACATGTAAAAGTCGAAAAAGTTTAAAAAGTGCATTTCATAATTTTCACATATTTAACACGTCTATTTGTAGGCAATGGTGAAGCGGTTGGGAACGGCGTGAGTGTGAACGACGTGGTGGTCTCTGAAAAGACGAGAGTTGAAGAACCACAAGGTAAAGAAGAAATTTAAAAAAAAATTGCATAATAAAGGGTGACATTTTGGTATGGGTTTATAAATAAGATTATGTTCTGGGCCTTAACACATTTGACATTTTTTCTGTCACCCACGTACCCCGCTCCTACTAGTATGTGTGTATCTAATTGTCCCCGACTCCTTGGGCCGTGAATTACGTAGTCACTTTAAATTAGGATGCAATATACCCGGCCAACACATTTATCGTATACGAATTATTGCACCACAAGATGCTTTAAACGTTTGGATCATAAGTAACCCTGGAATGTGTTGTGACATGCATACGCCTAATAGTGGTGGTTTTTAAATGTACTTAGTACTGGCCACAAGGAATTCCTAACACTAATAATCTTTACTTCTTTTTATCAGCTCCCGCTCTCGTCCGCCTGTTCACGGCCTTCTCTCTGTACACCACTCTCCCCAGACTACTGAGCACTCACCAAGGAAGTGCCGCCATTACCTGCCTCAATGGCATCCGGGTTATGAGCATCGGATGGGTTGTGCTGGGGCACACGTATTCTTTTGGACTGGGCAATGTCGGTTAGTATTTGAATTTTAACGCCAGATGGACTTTAAGTAAGCTATGTACAGGTATGCTTAAAGGTACACTCCGTGTGTTTGAAAATTCCGAAAGTGCTTATTTTTGCCTTCTACAGCTTCTTATAAAACCTCACATACACACGGGAAAATCCATTTTGGCGGATATACATGTAGTATTCGTGAGAAAGGTCGCTTACGTTCTTCATAATTTACTGTTTAATTGCTCTAATGGTGATACATCTTGTTTTGTTATATTTTCGTGGATTGTTCTTGTATGACAAGGTTCATATATGACATACAGTTACGTTTTGTTGTGAAATTAAATTTTGAATGTGAAAAGAAAGAAATGATATCGTGGAGACCATTAAGGAATCGACAAATCAGTAAGATAGAAATAACTCTGCAAGGATGTTATATGTATCTGGTATGTGGGACGATAGCCTGATATATTGAAGATTTTCAGGGAACGAAAGGAAAGTTGCGCCGTAATTGATGCAAATGCATAATACTGTTTTTTTTTTCTCCTCAGACATTGCATTTATTAAACCATAACAGAAGAAAGAAATTAAAGACATCAAATGGCTTATTTCAGATAACATTGTCTTTGCCTTTGAGGAAACGAAGAGGTTTTCATTCACCGCAGTAGGCAATGCCTTCTTTTCTGTTGATTCGTTCTTCTTATTGAGGTACGTAAGCTGAGTGAGGCCAGTCGTCTAATCATCGCATTTTCTCACCATAGTGAACACCCTGTAAAATATTGCCAGAAACTTAACACACAGACAACCGCTAAGAAGTTGCCAATACACTTTATTTCATTTATTTTCATTAAAATTCCGTCTCAAATTAAGACTTGTGATTTCATTTATGGTACGTGTATTTACATGTAGTTGTATTCAGATACTCTATACTGCACTGCATTGCTTTAAGTATGCTAGTATTGCTTTGTGCTGTGTCAGCGCTGTGTACATTTGTAGTAGTTTTTTATTTCACTTAACCTTCACTTCTTATTCTTCACATTGCAGTGGTGTCCTTGCGGCATATTTGTTCCTGAGACAACTACGCAGAGAAAACGGCATCAGACCGAAGACCATGATCATGTATTACGTACACAGAATTATCCGGTGAGAACGTTTACTGGTACCTACTTATACAATGTTTCGTCTCTACACCCTTGATCCATCCCCATTTTTGGCTGTCTTCCGACAAAAAATAAGATGCCCGTCAATGTAAGCTTGCAAAATTCTGACCGTCTTCCGGAAGACCCAGAAGGCGCCCACCGTCCGCTCCTGGTATTGTTCTGATCTCCCTGTCACTGCTGTCTGCGTCTTTTCCAGGCTGTCACCTCTGTATTATATGCTGACGTTTATCTATGCCACGCTGACCATATACATGGGAAGTGGGCCGATGTGGAACGGTAAACTCCCCGATGGTGAATTCTGTGCCAACAACTGGTGGACTAACCTCCTGTATTTGAACAACGTTATCAATAATAGAGAACAGGTATGTGGTCATATAGTGCACCTTTGAATTTGGACAATAACTCTTGAACCCGTGCAGTACTTGCGATTTAGTGCGTGACTATTCTTAATGACACATTTTATTTAATAATTGATGTGTGAGAGCAGAACTTTTTCGGCGTAAGTCACGTGAATGGCGCATGCGCAGTAAATGTCAAAAGTTAGAAACGAGATCAGATGGTAAGGATAATAAATAGTTCATTCATAGTATCATGTTAGCACCAGTATACACCCACATGGGTAGATTGAAATGTACAAAAGATTTACGGGGGGTACAGTTATAAATACCAGTAAATACTGGTAGTGTATTTTGCAGTGATGTACAAGCAACATACTTCTAACTACCCAGTATCCATTTTTATTTACTATATTTATTATTGCCTATATTGTAGTAATTGAAGGACCCACTTTTTGAATATTTCTCCTGATTTTCACTTCCAGTGTTTCGCCCTAAGTTGGTACATTGCAAATGATTTCCAGTTTTACGTGGTTGCTCCATTATTCCTGATCCCACTGTATTTGTAAGTGAAGCATTTTACTTTATTTAAATTATAGGTCATAGGTCATATTCTACAGTAGTGTACAAACGCGCAATAAGCATACTTGGTACAGTGCAAACGCGCAAATCCATACAACGTGAATGCACTTTGTTTCAATTCAGTTCTGTAGTTTCGTATGTTAATGCATTATATGTGTGATCGAAGCACTAGTAGAACTAAGTGAATAGAGAGAAGTAATGAAGTTCATGCCTTGTGAACGACTTGCCCGTGGGACGACTTGTCTGGTCACGTGACGACTAACAAACACAATGTGGGTCTCATCAACGTCAAAGAAAGTGCATTATATATCGTATATTGTATGCATGTATATTCCTTTTATTTGTTTATTTGTTTAATTATTTATATATTTATATATTTGCAAATTATGTGCAATGGGTTTCATCAATGACGCTCTCTTCTACTGATGAACTGTGTGCACTTTCAGGAAGCCCTTGATCGGAGTCCTGCTCCTGCTGTTGGGTTTTGTGGGGTATGGCCTGGCGGCGGCATTCACATTGGCCGGAATGGAAGGAGGCGTGCACCTGTTTGGCAAGTAAGACCTGCAACCATCACTTGTAAATCACCGTCCCGTTATTGGGGTGCATATTACTCGGAACATGTACATGTAGCACGAGTCACGGCCGGGGAATTCAGTCATATGCTGACACAATGTATGGTTTCAAAGGATCGTGTTAGCATATATATACATATAATTTCCTCGTAAATGTACCTGTATGTTCCCTATCTAGTGTCAGTTGACTTCATTTTATTTCAGTCCAAATTTCTTCGCCGACTATTACATCATTCCATGGTGCCGTATTGGCCCATACTTGGTCGGCCTCATGGTTGGATTTATACTGTACAAGACAGATCTTAAGATTAAATTCAATAAGGTAAGATAGCGAGAGTCTCCACATACTAATAGTTGGATCGAGTTTAAGTCTCTATGATACCATATGTACATAGGTCATCTAGTCTTTTTTTTTTTACTTTAATAAGAGATTACGTTATTGGACCAGCAAAAGTCACCTGTATACTCTTTATTCCGACTTCAATCCGACTTTTTAAACGAGGACAACACAACACGTTTCTCTTAATTTGCTTGCAGTTAAAGATAGGAAGGGGTGTGGCTGAATAGTTCCCCCCGCCCTTCTCCTTACCCAAATCCGCCTGTTTACCAAGCCAATTTATGTAACCATTAATACTAGTTGATTTAGTCAGTGGCTTGTATCTTTTTGTCACCTTTTGAAATCCCGTTTCATTTTCATGATAACAAGGTTTAAGATTACAATGTTCCCCTTTATTATCACTTGTATAGTTCCTGGCTGCCCTGTGTTGGCTGGTGTCGCTAGGGGTCATCTTCATGGTGGTTTACGTCAGACACGACGAGACTCAGAATGGCCCCTGGGAGAAAGACGCCGTCATCGCCTACGAGGTGATCAGCAGACCGCTCTGGGCGCTTGCCTTGGGCTGGGTCATCATAGCCTGCGCCACTGGATATGGTGGTAGGTTTTTTTCTATAATTAACTTACTTGTTTGTTCATTTGTTTATTTGTTTGTTTCTTTGTTTATCTATTTATTCATTTATTCACCCATCTTTCCATCCATTCATTCATTTATTCGCTCATTCATATATTCGTTTCTATATTCATTTACTTTTATTTGTTCATTCACTTATCCACCCATCCATACATTTGTTCGTTTCTCTATTTATTTATTTTTATTTATTCATTCATTCAGTCATTTATTCATTTTTTTTGGTTTAGTCTTAATATCTCTGTATAGGCGAGGGAGCCAGAATTGGGCCATACACTTTTATCCATTTATCCATTTATTATCTGATGTATTTATTTGTTTGGTCTATGTATACCACTTCTTAAATCAAAACGGCTGTAAACAAGTGGGGACAAGAGGACGCAAACATTTTTTGCTACCATGCACACCTCCAATTGCTGCCTACTCTCTCTTTAATATACAGTTGTAAGTATAAATATAAACTCCCTTAATTCCAGGATTCATCAACACTATCCTGTCCTACCAGGCCTGGGTTCCACTGGGGCGGCTTACCTTTGCTGTGTATTTTGTACACGTCTTCATTATCACGATATACCAGAGTACTCGTATTAATGATATCACCATCTCTGACTTTACAGTGGTAAGTTGGACATTTACAATTATCACGAAATACAGGGCACCAGTATATCAGAGAAATCACTGTCTCTGACTTTACAGTGGTAAGTTGGACATTTACAATTATCACGAAATACAGGGCACCAGTATATCAGAGAAATCACTGTCTCTGACTTTACAGTGGTAAGTTGGACATTTACAATTATCACGAAATACAGGGCACCAGTATATCAGAGAAATCACTGTCTCTGACTTTACAGTGGTAAGTTGGACATTTACAATTATCACGAAATACAGGGCACCAGTATATCAGAGAAATCACTGTCTCTGACTTTACAGTGGTAAGTTGGACATTTACAATTATCACGAAATACAGGGCACCAGTATATCAGAGAAATCACTGTCTCTGACTTTACAGTGGTAAGTTGGACATTTACAATTATCACGAAATACAGGGCACCAGTATATCAGAGAAATCACTGTCTCTGACTTTACAGTGGTAAGTTGGACATTTACAATTATCACGAAATACAGGGCACCAGTATATCAGAGAAATCACTGTCTCTGACTTTACAGTGGTAAGTTGGACATTTACAATTATCACGAAATACAGGGCACCAGTATATCAGAGAAATCACTGTCTCTGACTTTACAGTGGTAAGTTGGACATTTACAATTATCACGAAATACAGGGCACCAGTATATCAGAGAAATCACTGTCTCTGACTTTACAGTGGTAAGTTGGACATTTACAATTATCACGAAATACAGGGCACCAGTATATCAGAGAAATCACTGTCTCTGACTTTACAGTGGTAAGTTGGACATTTACAATTATCACGAAATACAGGGCACCAGTATATCAGAGAAATCACTGTCTCTGACTTTACAGTGGTAAGTTGGACATTTACAATTATCACGAAATACAGGGCACCAGTATATCAGAGAAATCACTGTCTCTGACTTTACAGTGGTAAGTTGGACATTTACAATTATCACGAAATACAGGGCACCAGTATATCAGAGAAATCACTGTCTCTGACTTTACAGTGGTAAGTTGGACATTTACAATTATCACGAAATACAGGGCACCAGTATATCAGNACGAAATACAGGGCACCATTATATCAGAGAAATCACTGTCTCTGACTTTACAGTGGTAAGTTGAACATTTACAATTATAACGAAATACAGGGCATCAGTATTAGAGAAATCACTGTCACTGACTTTACCGGTGTAAGTTAAACGCGTACAATCACCAAACAAACATTTTATTTATGAATTTGGCAATTGTGGTGAGCTAGAGTTGATGTGTTTTGAACGACTTGGACTCTTACAGCTGTTACACAGTACCTGTAGATAACTTAGGCTGTATTCCCAGAGCTTTTAGATCGATCTATCCCCGCGGGGAGTCTCACTAGATTACTGTCAGATAATCCAGCTTAAATGTCCGTCCCGCCTACTTCAAGCTGTAAGGGGGTAATTAACTTTCGTGTCCGCTCGGCTGACAGCTATTTAGCGTGAACCCCCAGGGAGTTAGGTCGATCTAAAGTAGATAGATCTAATCTCTGGAAATGGGGTCTTAGTGTTTCAATTGTACATCAAGCAATATGTTTTAATAACTTTGATTCACGCAGTTGCTACAGATGTTTTAAAACGTCAGACATGAACGTGTTTAATTATAAATTAGAGCAAGACTGGTAAAATCAAATCGATAGCTTGAGACCCGCCCCTTTCTAACTAGGAGCTTTCTAATCTGCGATATCATCACCTGGACATGTTCAAAAGGTGTTATATATTGTCTGTGTTTTTTTTTTTTTTTTTTTAGTTTGACTTAATTGTTTTAAATTCATTTCAGGCTATCCTGTTTACGGCCTACATCACGCTGTCGTACGTAGCAGCCCTGGTGGCGTCTTTGCTCTTTGAAGCGCCGATACTCGGCCTGGAGAAAATGATCCTGAGAAAGTAGTCCCTTCGACACGAGGCAAAAACGGATTTTAATAAAACTGTTGTTCTTCTGTTTAGTTTTTCTCAAATCTTTTTTTTTTTACCTTGGTTGCACACGATGTACAGCTCTTGTGAAGTAAAAGTGTCTGATACAGGTAGTTAAATGTGCGAGTACCAGTATATGTATGCGGAAAACTTATTGTTATATAGGCCTACCGTTAATGCCACAAAAGATAACGTATCTACCACAAAGCAGAATGAGGACTACTGGGTATCTTTAAGCAAAATACATCTATTGTAATTTGCAAGAACCAAAAGGACTACCTAGTTTCATTTTTCTTGTGATCAAAATGTATTTGCATTTAATCTCACTAATATATATTTAATTCAGTTAAGTAGTATTCCAAGTAGTAATACTCACGTAGAGTAGTATATAGATAAATATTTAAGCGCATGAATTAAAGGATCACATTAAAAAGGGATGAATACACGGTACCCTAAAATTGTTCTCTCTCTTTACCCGTTACTCATCTATGTTGTTTGATTTAGAAGATTGTTGACAAAGATACAAATCTAAAGGATTTATTAAAGAAAATAACATCAAAACGAGAAAATAAGAAAACATGCATGTTCTCAAAAACCTAAATTATATAAGTTATGTGCAGTCGAAGAGTGAGTTCATGTTTTTTTTTTTTTTTTTTTTTTTTTTTTGGGGGGGGGGGCATCATGTATACGGCTGCTAGTGCATACATGTACATGTGTAGCAGGTTTACAGGAGATCTGCGTATCATAAAGAAAATTGTACAAATTTTAATCTGTGAAGCTGTTCAATAGTAAAGAAAAGCTGGTTATTACTCTCTAAGATGGCAATACCTCTAGCTACGAGATTGGCAAAATAACTTCAGTCGAGTGCAAAAATTATCTGAGCAAATAAATTAAAAAGTTAATTAATTAATATCTCTTTCCTCGTCTGTCTTGATTTAAAATGTTGCCTTTATCTTGTTTTATTTCATATTTCAACCAACAACAGCACAGTTGTCTTGGGCCATCGTAGTAGTAAGGAATCAGGCTGAGGGTTACTATCGGTGGGTGGATTATGGGTGGATTGTTTGTCTGTTTGTTTGTTCGTCTGTCTGTCTGTCTGTTTGTTTATTTGTCTGTCTGTTTTCTGTTTGCTTGTCTGTCTGTCTGTCTGTCTGTCTGTTTGTCAGTTTGCCTGTCTGTCCGTCTGTCTGTCTGTTTGTTTGTTTGTTTTTGAGGGAGGGGTTGCCCAAAATTTACTGTACAGGACGCCCGCATGTGCGCTTAACTGTTTGTAATGTACACCATTTAGACATATAGAAATATTTGATACGCCTGCTTGAATACAAGGGTACTTAAGCGATCAAATACGGACTGCACGTCTTAGCGTAACTGTTTGTATACCCGCTTATTGAAGCAAACTCTGCATGTGGTTATGACCGACCGTAGTTCAAGATGTCAGGTAAACACGTTATGGTTATGGTGCAGTTGACTGAAAGGGGTAGGATTGTTATATCATTCTTTTAAGATACAAATGCCATTTCGGTCACTTATCTTACTCAGAACATTCCACTTTATCAAATCACCAATTTTGTTAATTTGATTTATTGAGTCTGAGGTAGGACCCAATATGGAAGTTTATTGGGCCCCGGGTCTGAGTTAATGAGGCGTAATAGTCGGTACATGGACGCGCTATTTGAGGAGGTGGTCCTACACGAGAAAAGGAAATTTCGGTTGAGAATAAGTTGAACATTATTTGCTTTTCTTATCAAAAGAGTACAGCTGCAATGACCCTTATCTAAAGATATTTATACATGTCGAAGGCCTACAGGTACCCTTTACCAGGACCACAGAGTGAATTTTTTCACTAGATATTCAGATTTGTCCCTGACTTAATCACGGTACATTTCCCAACTGTGACTGTTTGATGGGGGTATAGTATGTAATGAAGCCGTATGTTTTAAAATTCAGTGTGTGTGTGTGTGTGTGTGTGTGTGTGTGAGTGTGTGTGCGCGCGCGCGAGCGCACGCTTCTCTTCGACCTGTTTATACCCATTCAATGTCACGATAATCTCCCACAAACAGAAGGTAGTATGTCATTAGCCGCTTAAGTGTTAACCTTGTATCCTTAGATAAACCCTAGATCATTGCGAAATACTAGAATCTAAAAATCGCTATGTACACAGGGTTTTTAGATAAGATACAGAGTGATCAAAAATGGTGTGCACGTTTGCTAACAATGTGTCATATTCGGGTGGAGCTTGCCCGTGTCCCATGTATGCATGACGCAAAGACCGGTTTCTTTTTAAGCACTGCGTATGTCGCTAAGTTTAAACATGACCCGGCGTATTTTTCCAGACCCGTTCAGATTGACATATTGCGCCTCCATCTCAGTGGTCTCCATTCAGTGTGACTTGTAGTGTTTTGAAATCCTGACGAGGACAATAATCGATCAGAGGAAGACAGGACTCCAGACCTCAGTATCCGTTCACTTGTGACTACACCATCCAAATTAACACACCTGGTTGGTATTCTAGCCAATTATTACCTAAACCATGATGAAAGGCTGGGTCGCTGTCTTAGGTATTTTGGCCGTCTCAGCTACTTGTTTCACCCCACTCGGTGCGCAAAACACAACTAGCATCGGGAGTTTCCTGAGGTCGTTCATAAACCGGGACTCTATCGCTGGAGTCCTGAATAGTATCCAAATTAGAAATCTCCCACCCCAACTGAAAGACATTTTCCAGAGAATAGACACAGATGCCATTGCCACACAGCTGCTCAACCAAACGGATAGGATTTTTGCGGAGCTGGACCGCAGTGATTTCACCCTGTCCAACCTGGCCGCCTTACCCGCGGCACTTGGGCAAATCTTCGTTCCCGCTGGAAACAATAGCAACGCTGCCCAGAACGCGAGCGTCGAGAACTTTTTACAGAACATATTTGGGGCACAAGGTAAAAATGCTATAATGTCATATGGCATTTAACATGCGTAGAATTAAGCCAAATTAAGCTGAAAAAGATAATTAAAAATTCGCGGTCGAATCTATACTCTTTTCCTCAAAATGCCATTCGGAATGTCTCGAAACATCATTTAGAAATACTGGAAATGAATATTGATGAACATCATTCAGTTAGCATAATTCCTCTTTTTAATATAAATATTTCAGTTTAATGTGTATCATCTGAGAAAAATATGAAATTAACGTTTAGAGAAAGTTCAAAGTCCTTAAATGTTTTGCAATTTTCCCCGCTACTACATACCTGTGCATTGCTCGCCTAAGAGTGATTTCACTGAAAACAAAAATCTTATTCCAACTTCATCGAATCGTTGTTTTAAGTAGCACTCTTCTTTGCGTCTTCATTTATTAAATCTCAATAAATCACGTTTATTTTTCAACTCACAGGGGTAAACATCGACACCTACCGACCTCTGATGCAGGAAGCGCTGCCTTTGCTCCTGGATCAGGTCCCCGGCATGCAGCTCGTCCAGGGCCAGTGCAAGAAAGACATTGGCTTGTTCCTTGAGGGTCTGCTTACTGGACAGGCGTGGGCTATGAACAGTGAGTATGCTTTGTAAATAAATTAATTCATCAATTTACCATTTCATTTAGACTATCCATCCATGTATTTCTTTATTCATCCTGGTGTGTACATGTTCTCTTAAAAGACCAAATAGAACGAAAAAGCAACAATAACAGTTCTATCACGATTTAGGCCGTCTTCTGGGTCTTCTTCTGGGTCTTCCGGAAGACGGTCAGGTTTTCAAGTTTACATTGACGGGTATTTAATTTTTTCTGTCCGAAGACGGTCAAAAATTTAGGATGGATCGACAAAGATAATTTGGAAGTCTGTCAGAAAATATTTCTGGATCCGCCCCTGATTAGTTGATATGAGAGAAAGAGAGAGTACATGTACATGTAGTCAGATTTTAATCAGTGCATACGGCATATCATGGAGTTACACAGCATCTTACGCTAATTGAATATTCCATATATATTTTTATCCCTACACTGTAAAAACAGTGTTTAGCTCCTAAACAACTTTCTAAGCGCGTGTTTTGTCTCATTTTTTCGACGCGTTTAGCTCCTAAGCACGTATAGGGTTTCAACAGTTTTAGCCACACACACACACACACACACACACACTCACACACACACACACACGAGGTCACGGTCACTGCTATATCTATCTACACAGTATAACGTGAACTGTCAACATCGTTAACTTCATCCCATCGCATTTACAGCTGGACTTGTTCATCCTCGTGTTAGCTGACCTTGCGAGGAAGTTTGCTGGAATATATTCCTGAAAAACTAGTTAGGAAACACGACTTAGTAAAGTCGACATGCCATGGGTTAAACTGAACAAATATCTTGATCGGCCATAAAAAGAGCTTTTGACTGCTCTTTTTTCTAAATGATTGGTCAGAAATTTAACATACTTATGTGACCTACTTTTCTACCCACTGTATATACAGGATAGTAAGCTATCAGAAAAATCCATTCGAATATCATTTTTTCGGGTACTATTAAACAATGTCCTTTGGTAATTCTTTTAATTTTATAGTTTAAAACTACTGCTGACATTTGGTTGGTTTTTGTTCCAAAAAATTGAATTTGCATGCATCTTTATTAGACCTATTTCAAATAAGCACACGTTACTGCAAGGAAGAACAAAGTGTTCGAGCAGGCTGCTCTACGCCTTCAACAGCTCCACACTTTTACACGGGGAAGTGTTAAGCGAAATTGTTGAGCCTTGTAGTTAACTTGGTATGGGACCATATGTTTAGCAGCTCCATGCACTTGGCAGGGGAATGTGCTTAGCCTTGTGATAAACTTGTGCTTAGCCTTGTGATAAACTATTATAGAGTCATATACCGATGACGCTAAACACATAGCTCAACGTGTAACACTGCCAAACGTGTCTAGAATTTTCTTCTGTTAGAAACCTGAAAAGCTATACGTGTTTAGCTATTACACATACTTCTAAATGCGTTTAGGTGTTATAAAAACCTGTGTTGCATGTGTTTAAATGCTAAACATTGTTTTTACAGCGTAAGGCCAGAACATTTAATAGAGACAATAATTTGTTACATTGTTAAAATTGTTAGAATACTTATGATAGTAGGGTTGTATAATAAAACCTGCCATGTTTGGTCAGATCTCGAACAATCGAAATTCCTTGTTGCCTTTTTTCTTGGTGTAAATGGGACTATACAGTTTTAGGTACACTGAGATGGAGGAGACATAAATAGCCTCTTTATCAAATGAAACTGGAATTTCAAATCTACGGGCGAACACGTACAAAAATATAAAAAAAATGAAATACATGTACATGTCCCCCGTCGACTCTGAAGGTCAGGTTTATAAACCTTCAGTACAATTGTTTATAATTTTTTCAGTGTTTGACTCGTATGGTAAGCCACCTGCTGGGATATTGTACGGAAACATCAGGTGGCTTGGACAGTACGATGAATGTATGCGAGTGGAGGCCAACATTCCGTATGTATAAATATGGAAATAGTTAAACTTGGGTTGTATGTGTGCTCTTTTTGAATATAACTACATTTAAATAACCGTTATTGGTATATGGCGATGAATCGACCACTGGTAGGCACGTTTTAGTTAATAATACTGCGACAGCATGGGCCTATATTCTCTCTCTCTCTCTCTCTCGCTCAACCTGCATCTACGGTTCTTAAACACACACACAGATACAAACATGTACACACTCACCTGTTATGATTTACTATGTAAGTGTTTTGAATTATTCAGAAAGGTTGGCTTGCAGAAAATCGACCAGCACTTCAAGGGGGAGTATTGCAAAGCTTATATCAAATTTCCAAGCGGAGCGGCTCCAGGAGCTGGAGGGGTAAGTCGTTTAAAGTATATGCACCTCGTCTTACCTTAACAATTAATCTAGCAGTATTTAAATACATTAAGCCTCGCTAGCACGTGGAATTCAATATATGTAGAAAGAGAGTGGCGAATTGTACCCATGAATCAATCTACATGTAAGTTATATTTTTTATAGACTTTCGCATTGCTGGCGGAAAGCGATCAATTTATTCAGCTAGGGACGTGTTTTCCAGACTCTTGCACATCAGCTGATATCACAATGTTGGGTCAAGGTACCAGTAATCACATACTTATAGCTGTTTTTTCTTTCTTTTTAAAACATTTTCTTCGAAACCAATATCGCAGCATTTTTTTATTGTATTCACCAGTTTTGGCAACAAGCATACTAGTAACTAGGTGGAATGGGAGTTTAGTTCAATCCACGCGCATGTTGCATACATATTTGAGATTATGATATGTTGTAATTATTTATTTATTTATTTATTTATCATTGTGATTGTTCAGTCCTATGCAATTTCATCTGTCATGTATAGAATGCCAATTAATAAATGCGCCGCCCAAACATGAATATTAATTCAGTTAGCACCCATTTACTTTCCCTTCGCCTCGTGTCTATCTGCATGTTAATATCAAACTCATGTTCGAATTTTTTGCAATAAATCAATTATCTTTTATTTCAGCTTTAATGGGAAATACTACTTTCCCACGCGCCCAATGTGAAAAATCCAAAGTTCCCAAACTAAACGAAGATCCAAAGGCAATAGCATGCATGTAAGTTCGAAAATTTTACAAAAAAACTGCTTTTTTCACATTGTTATATCCTTATATTTATGAAATGCAAAACAAAATGTGTTTGAATGGGATGTTTGTAATACATGTGACTCTGTGAATCTCGAAGAATACTAATAAATTACAAACTGTCTTTACTAGCTGTTTTCTTATTGAAAACTCATCGAATTAGCCTGCAGAAGCGCCATGCTGATACCTCACAGGTATACTGTAGTAAACATGTTAGTAAGAAATATTTTGAATAAGGTAAACATTTTCTCAAATAGTCCCCTACTACAACTTGCAGTCATGGACCTACATGTTCTTTTCCCAGAGCTGTCGTCTCCGTTTTCGCGTTCTTTCTCGTGGTTGGTACTTTGATAGAAGGTTTCGGTATAGACAAAATATTAACCCCAGCAAAAAGCTTCAGTGACGGTGGGTCAGTAATGTATACAGTGGTGCCAATGAAAGAAAAGATTGGGCACAAACCAAACGGAAACGACAGTCACGTGCAAGATGTCAACCCTAAAAGTAGGTTAACCTTGAGCTATAACAGTAGAGACACATATACAACTGTATGTCTGCGTATGTTTTAAATATCTTTGGCAAAACGAAGTTTTAAGATTGTGAAGTTAAAGAAAATGTTTTTTTTATCATATACATGAAATTCTCAAACACAAGCCTCAATTTTCTTTTTCAAAAAAAAAAAAAAAATTGAGGCTTGTGATTGAGAATTTCATGTATATTCAACAACCAAGCTAATGAACATTTTTTTTATCATGTATATAAAAGTCCAAATGGAGTTAAACATCTGTATAGTTCCTTTATTTGCATGTACAAGTTTATTTCTCATCTGCGTTCAAAAAAGCGCATTTCATAAGTTTCACTAAATTAACCCGTCTATTTGTATGCAATGGTGAAGTGGATGGGAACGGCGTGAGTGTTATCGACGTGGTGGTCTCTGAAAAGACGAAAGTTGAAGAACCACAAGGTAAAGACGAAATACAAAAACTTGCATTATATATGATGGTATTTTGGTATGGGTTTATAAATAAGATTACAGGATGTACCGGGGGTACATATGTTCGAATTCGTAACACATTTGACATTTATTTTCAATCACCCTCTCCACTCCTACTAGTATGTGTGTATCTGTGCTCGTCTTCTTGGGCCTTGATTTGCGTAGTCACTTTTAATTAAGATGCACTAGCACAATACTCGTTCATCACATTTAGCGTATACGAATTTTTTTGCCAAGATGCCTTAAACGTTTGCATCGATCATGAGTAACCCCTGGAAAGTGATGGGACATGCACTTTAAATGTGAAAAGTGGTGATTGTAATTACTTAGCACTGGTCATTAGGAATTCCTGACACTAATAATCTTTACTTCTTCTGTTCCAGCTCCCGCTCTCGTCCGCCTGTTCACGGCCTTCTCTCTGTACACCACTCTCCCCAGACTACTGAGCACTCACCAAGGAAGTGCCGCCATTACCTGCCTCAATGGCATCCGGGTTATGAGCATCGGATGGGTTGTGCTGGGCCACACGTATTCTTTTTCATTTGGCAATGTCGGTGAGTTTATAACGCCAGATCGACTTTAAGTAATCTGTGTACTGGTATGCTTAAAGGTAGACTCCGTGGGTTTGAAAATCCCGAAAATGGTTATTTTTGCCTTCTACAGTTCTTATAAAACCTCACATACACCATTTTGGCGGGTAAAACTCATGTAGTGTACCTTTAATGTAATTCAATATTTAAAGTATTCGTGAGAAAGGTCACTTACGTTCTTTATAACTTATTGTTTAATTGCTCTAATGGTGATACATCTTGTTTTGTTAAATTTTCTTGGATTGTTCTTGTATGAAAAGGTTCATATATGACGTCATACACGTACAGTTACTGTTTGTTGTAAAATTAAAGTATAAATGTAAAAAGAAAGAAATGATATCGTGGAGACCATTACGGAATCGACAAATCAGTAAAATAGAAATAATTCTGCAAAGACGTTACATGCATTTGGTATGTGGGACGATAGTCTGATATATTGAAGATTTTTAGGGAACGAAAGGAAAATTGCACCCGTAATTGAGGCAAATGCATAAAACTGTTTTCCCTCCTCAAACAGTGCATTTATTAAACCATAACAGAAGAAAGAAATTAAAGACAACAAATGGCTTATTTCAGATAACATTGTCTTTGAGTTTGAGGAAACGAAGAGGTTTTCATTCAACGCAGTGGGGAATGCTTTATTTTCTGTGGATTCGTTCTTCTTATTGAGGTACGTAAGCCGAGTTAAACGCGAGGTCTAATCAGTGTATTTTCTCACCATGGTCAACACCTTGTGACGCCAGAAATATTGCCAGAAACTTAACCGCTTTTGAACGCAACCGATTGTAGAATTTTAAGTTTACATGTAATATATTGCCTTTTTCGTATTAATATTGTGCATCTACAGTGTGCTAGTACATATTTCGTTTTATATACTCTGCATGCATATACCTTCGTTAAGAAGCTGTAAATATACTTCATTTAAGATATTTTCATTTATATTCCATCTCAAATTAAGACTTGTGATTGCATTTATAGTACGTGTGTTTAGTTGTATTCAGATACTGTATCTTGCATTGCAGCTGTATCGATTGCATTGCATCGCTTTAAGTGTGCTAGTATTGCTTTGTGTTGTGTCAGCGCTGTGTACATTTGTAGTAGTTTTTTTTTTATTTCACTTAACCTTCACTTCTTATTCTTCACATTGTAGTGGTGTCCTTGCGGCGTATCTGTTTCTGAGACAACTTCGCAGAGAAAACGGCATCAGACCGAAGACCATGATCATGTATTACGTACACAGAATTATCCGGTGAGAACGTTTACTGGTACCTACTTATACGTGCAATGCTTTTGTCTCCACACCCTTTACAAAATAGGATCCTGCACTGTAAAAACAGTGTTTAGCATTTAAACACATACAACACACGTTTAACACCTAAACGCATTTAGAAATATGTGTAAAAGCTAAACACGTATAGCTTTTCAGGCTTTTAACAGAAGAAAATGCTAGACACGTTTGACACGTTTGACACGTCAAGCTATGTGTTAAGCTTCATCGTCGTCACTGCTGATTGCGTCTTTTCCAGGCTGTCCCCTCTGTATTATATGCTGACGTTTATCTATGCTACACTGACCATATACATGGGAAGTGGGCCGATGTGGAACGGTAAACTCCACGATGGTGAATTCTGTGCCAACAACTGGTGGACTAACCTCCTGTATTTGAACAACGTTATCAATAATAAAGAACAGGTATGTGGTCATGGTGCACCTTTCAATTTTCCAATAACTCTTGAACGTGCGCAGTACTTTCAATTTAGTGCAGGGCTGTTACTTTAAATGACACATATTATTCAATAATTGATGTGTGGAGCAGAACTTTTTTGGTGTAAGTCATGTGAATGACGCATGCGCAGTTAAATGCCAAAAGTTAGAAACGAGACCAGACGGTACGGAGAATAAATGGTTTATTCACTGAAACACGTTAGTACCGGTACATCCGGTAGATGGAAATGTAAAAAAGAGATATGGGAGGTACAGTTATAAATAAATAGCGGATTTTGCAATGATATGTACAAGTAACACACTGGCAACTACTCTGTACCCATTTTATTTAAATGCTTATATTGTATTAATTGAAGGACCCACTTTTTGAATATTTCTACTGATTTTCACTTCCAGTGTTTCGACCTGAGTTGGTACATTGCAAATGATTTCCAGTTTTACGTGGTTGCTCCATTATTCTTAATCCCACTGTATTTGTAAGTGGAGTGATTTACTTACTCTATTCTAAAGTTAAAAATCATATAAATGACATATTGCAGTGTACAAACGCGCAATAAGCATACTACATGTAGTCAAACGCGCGCATAAACACAAGTGAATGCAAATTATACATGTACTTTGTATTTGTCCAGTTCTGTAGTTTCGAATATTAATGCATTATCGGATATATGTCTGGTCGAAGTACTAGTAGAGAAGAAGTAACGAAGTTCAGGCCTTATGAACGACTTGCCGTTGGGTCGACTTGTCTGGTCCCGTGACGACTAACAAACACAACGTGGGTCTCGTCAACGTCGAAAAAATGCACTATATATTATATGCGTGTATATTCATTTTATTTATTTATTCATTTACAGTTTTTATGTTATGTGTTTAATCAGTGACGCTCTCTTCCACTGGTGAAATATGTGCACTTTCAGGAAGCCAATGATCGGAGTTCTGCTCTTGCTGTTGGGTATAGTGGCATGCGGCCTGGCGGCGGCATTCACATTGGTCGGAATGGAAGGAGACATGCACCTGTTTGGCAAGTAAGGCCTGAAACCATGACTTTTAAATCACCGCCCCCTTATTGGGGTCCATATCTAACACGTACAGTTCATGTGCACGAGTCACGGCCGGGGAATTAAGCCATATGCTGATACAATGTATGTTTTCAATGGATCGTGTTAGTATGTAAATATATATACCGGTATATAGGCCTATATGTACATTGTTTCCTCGTACATGCATGTTCCTTATCTAGTGTCAATTGATTTAATTTTGTTTTAGCCCAGATTTCTTCGCCGACTATTACATTCTGCCCTGGTGCCGTATTAGCCCTTACTTGGTCGGCCTCATGGTGGGATACATACTGTACAAGACAAATCTTAAGATTAAATTCAATAAGGTAAAATCGCATTACCTGTGAAACTATTGGTCTCCGTAGATCGATCCAACTCCACGGAGACTCTCGCTGAATGCAGTCAGTTTAACACATTAACATGTCTCTCATGTTTCCAGCGTCTCGTATAAAATCGGCTTTGCTGTATTCTACTCAACGCCAAGAGGAGGCGTGTTAATCCGTTAAACTGATTGCATTCAGCAAAAGTCCCCGCATACTAGTAGTTGGATCGATCAATCGTAGACCGTTAGTTTCATTGGAAATGAGGCTTTAAGTGTCTATGATACCATGTGTAGATAGGACATCTAGTTTTTTTTTTTTTTTTACTTAAATGAGAGATTACGTTATTAGACCGGCTAAAGTCACCTGTATTATCAATATACCGACTTTAGTCCAACTTTCCCAACGAGGAGAACACAACACGTTTCTTTTTAATTTGCTTATAGTTGGAGAGAGGAAGGGGTGTGGCTGAATAGTTCCCCCCGCCCTTCTCCATAAGCCTGTTTACCAAGTCAATTTATATGACCATTAATAATAGTTCATTTTGTCAGTGGCTTCTACATTACATGTATCTTTTTGCCGTTTTTTGAAATCCCGTTACATTTTTATGATTACAAAGTTTAAGATTATAATTTTAACCTTTATGATCACCTGTCTAGTTCCTCGCTGCCCTGTGTTGGCTGGTGTCGCTAGGTGTCATCTTCATGTTGACCTACGTCAGACACGACGAGGATCAGAATGGTCCCTGGGAGAAAGACGCCGCCATCGCCTACGAGGTGATCAGCAGGCCGCTCTGGGCGCTTGCCTTGGGCTGGGTCGTTATAGCCTGCGCCACGGGATATGGCGGTAAGATTTTTGCTGTTAATTAATTTACTTGTTTTTGTTTGTTTGTTTCTATATTTGTTTGTTTGTTTATCTATTTATTCATCCGTCTATCCATGCATCCATTCATTATTTAATTCATTCATTCGTTTATCTAACTATTTTTATTTATACATCCATTCATTCATTCATTTTGTTTGGTTTAGTTTTAACACTTTTTATAGACGAGGGAGCCAAATTTGGACCAGGGCGGTTGGCCCAACCACTTGTCTCTATTTACTCATTGATCTCTTGATTAGATTGGTTTACTCTTTTAAGATGAAATACATGCATCTTTGTATACCACTTTCTAAAGCAAACGGGTAGGAAACAAGTGGGGGGGGGGGGAAGGTGACGCACACTTTAATTTTTTGTCACCCCCATACACACATCTAATTTGCCGCCTACGCGCTTGCTATACAATTGTATGTACAGTATAAATATAACCCCCCCTTAATTCCAGGATTTATCAACACTATCCTGTCCTATCCGGCCTGGGTTCCACTGGGGCGGCTTACCTTTGCTGTGTATTTTGTACACTTCTTCATTATCACAATATACCAGAGTACTCGTATTAAGGATATCACCATCTCTGACTTTACAGTGGTAAGTTGGACGTTTTAGTTATGAATTAGGCAATTGTGGCGAGTTGGAATTGACATGTATATTTTAACGTGTTAGACTCATAATGTTGGTATATACCTGGATATTTTTTGTTTCAATTTTGAATCAAGAATTTCAAACATGACTTTATTATACATTGTAATAGCAGTATATTTTATAATAACTTAATTTCACGGCGCTGTTTTAGATATTGTTAGATGTCAGAGAGTAACGTATTAAAAGTTAGATCAAGACGGGGAAATTAAAAATGCCAGCTTGAGACCCGCCCCTTAAACTAGGAGGTTCGCAATCTGCGTTTTCATCACCTGCACATGTTTACAAGGTGTTATATATTGTCAGTATCATTCTTTGTTCGGCTTAATTCTTTTAAATTCATTTCAGGCTATCCTGTTTACGGCCTACATCACGCTGGCGTACGCAGCAGCCCTGGTGGCCTCTCTGCTCTTTGAAGCGCCGATACTCGGCCTGGAGAAAATGATCCTGAGAAAGTAGTCCCTTCGACACGAGGCAAAAACGGATTTTGATAAAACTGTTGTTCTTCTGTTTAATTTTTCTCAGATCTTTTTTTATCTTGGTTGCACGTAATGAAGATCTGGTGAAGTACATGTATGTGTCGGCACTTGTCCACCGTTATCTGTTTGGAATATAGACATTAGAAATCAGGCTTAGAAAAACATATTTAGAATATATACATTGTATTGTCATGCAATTATAATGTTCCGGTCGATATAAGTTGAAGGCTTTTTTTACGGTGAATCATGAATTAACAAGAAACTAATAACCCCGTAAGCGTCTACTTTTTCGCAGGACATCTGAGAGCAGGGGGGGGGGGTTGGCACGGGTAAACGAAAACCCGTATCCCTCTTGCCCACAGAGCAATTGCACGCTTATCAGTGTGCCCCCGTAACAACACCTCACATATGGCGTGGCCCTCAAGATCCCAAAAACCTACAAGTGATACCAAGTACCAGAAATTAACTGACGACCGTATCTGCCGCTTGAACTTGGTAAACTTGGCAATTGAAATACAACAAAGGAGTGTATTTGTTTTGTGCGTTTGAATATAGAACGCAATTGACAGTATGAAGTATTAACTCGATAGTTCGTGTTTGTTTTAACTTTAAGTTTAAACACCATTGTAACTGCAGAGTGTGCGGAAATTATTCACCCAACCTGCAGGACGAGCTTACCGGTAGTTAACAGAGCGAAATTAAATTTAAATATTTTAACAAGTTTAAAATTTAATTTTTTTTATATATCCATAGAAAATCTAATAGGTTTTTAATGTAATGTACAATGTATCTTTTTCAAATTTGATGTGATGGGCAAATTTCAAATAAAGCTAAAAAATAATTAAATCAAAATAGGTCTAGGCTCTTTGTAAACTATTGTTACTGTACAAATAAGTTTCACCTCAGATTTGCAGGTAACGTTTCAAATTACACGTTGCAAGGTATTTTTTTCAGCGGTTAACTAACGAGTTGGCTTGAAACATCATTGATTCGCCCATTAAAAACGGGCATCCCTCCAATTCCGACTGCACAATTCCTCCTTTGAATTTTGCATTTGCACGTTGTATTTTTTTCAGTGGGAGAACGGTGCTTTTTCGTGATCAAAGGTCAGTTTTTAGGCAATGTTTTGGTTCTAATATACTTATTATGGAGTTCTCCACTAACGTACGCGTTCAAAATAATAATAATAATAATAATGATAATAATAATAGGTACTCAGTAGGTAGTTAGTACAGGCAGACAGACAGACAGACAGACAGACAATAAGACAGGCAATAAGACAGGCAAGTTTTAATAAACGACTCAAATGATAAAGGTGCGTTTAGAATAAAACCCTTTCACAAATTTAACATTACCAGCTGCATTGTATTGCAACATAGACCAGATGTTGACGAAAACCTGTACCTTTTAATTTTAAGGAAAAGGCAAACACAGGAAATTTTGAGATTGTGATCATGAAAGAGCCATACATACAGCCCCCCCCCCCCCCCCCACACACACACACACACACACACACGTATGTCCACATCGTCTTATCGTGTTGCCCTAAACTACGAGGCCCTATTATTTGGTCTATCAGACATAGTTTTGGTATACTTGTACAAACCGTATCGTACATAAATTTTCTTATGGATAATGACAGCTGTCGTCATTGGCGTTGCATAATGTACATGTACCTTTAAAATGTCTCTAAATTTTATCTGTAAATAAAAATTAACACACGTTTAAACAATTGTTCGTGATAAAGCGTAACGGGTACACAAAATAAATATTAACAGACTTTTGAGTCACCTTATCTTACGCTATATTTGGAAACCCACGTCACACCCCTACTGACAGGAACGTCAAAAGGTCTACATCGTTTGTTGGTCTATCGGCTTTGCTATGCAAATGCGGTGCTCCTTATTTAGCTGGACATTTGACAAAATGGGTTTCAACATCAACACGCACTGAGTGAGACCAGGAAAGTCGGACAAGGCAGAGAAAAAACGTTCAATTTTATTAACGGTTAACGTCGCAGCGCGCTCCGGAAAAGGTAATAGCCAGAATCAAGTGAAGACGGAGCTGACGAGAAAAAGCCAAAATCAGGTTTTTCAAAACTTGTACTGTGATTTCAAACTCAGCATTAATAAACTTGGAACATACTTAAGACCAAATAGTCATTTAAGTTGATCACCATGAAAGTCCCGGCGGCTGTCGTGGTGATTTTGATAGTTGTGTCTATGTCTCCTAACCACGTTGACGGACAGTTGTCTTCCAACGCCGTAGCTAACGTACTGCGACAGCTTGCAAGTCGCCAGAACATCGAGAGCGCAATCGTTGCACTAAACGGCTCTCTACCGGCTCAACTCCAGGGGTTTCTGACGGCGCAGAACGCAGACCGTATCACAACCGCCGTCTTAAACGGAACTGAGCAACTCATCCAGGGGGTTGTCGACTTAAACTTCACTCTGTCCAACTTGAATGACATCCCCGGACAGCTTTCGCAAATCCTCTCATCCCTCGGGGTGGCGAACGGCAGCCTTGCCGCCCTCGACCTTGGCTCCGTGGTTCAAAACCAACTGTTACCCTTCTTGTCTTCGCAAGGACTGGACACCACCGCGTTGGAGCTGCTCCTGCAGAATATCGCGACAAATGGAAGCTTGGCGAACACAGACTTTGGGCCCATTCTGCAGACGATAATTCCCCTCGCGCTGGCGCAAGCACCCAACATGGCCGGCGTCAATGGCGAATGCACCAGAGATATTGGCTTGATGTTGGAAGGACTCTCAAGCTCGCAAATTTGGGCGCTTAGCAGTAAGTTGATGATAGAATGTGCTTTTGTAATGCGTCTTTTTATCGTTTAGGAAAATATATCAATGTATTTTGATTTTTACTTTATTGTGTTTGTGGAATTCAAAACTTGGTTGGTATTTAGAAGTAACAAAACGGAACAATGCACATAAAATAGAAATTAATAAAATTGACTCCACAAGTATTACAAACGTTATAAATTTTGGAAAACTAATAGCAACTTTCTAATATGAAAAGATTAAGTCAACAGTGTAGAAATAATCTTTAAAAACTACCAGCTTCTGTATGCATCTTAATTTCTATGGATGGTTCGTAGGTGCGTCTAATACAAAATATCCATACTCGACACACAGTTGCCCTGTAAGCTGCAGTATTGGTCTTGTGAGGCTTTAGAAGTCGTGTGCCTGTAAGTGGGGCATTGCCAATGGACACAAATTACGACACAAATCCCACTTTTTATACCTTAACGCCCAGGAGACAGGAAACGAATCATAATCAAACAAGATTCAAAAGGTCAATCGGTAGCTCAGCATATAGACTGCCGTGGGCGGTGGCCTACACTAGAACCCCTCTCCGCCCCGCCCTGTTTGACTACCACTTGTCTCTTGGTGTCCGAGATAAGAGTGGTTGGCAACTCAGCCGTCAATGCAATCTCTTTTAAGTAAACAAAATAACTTCAACACTCTGCCCTCTCCAGAGGGATATTGACGAGAATTTGTCATAATTTTCTGAAAAGAACAGTTGCCCACTTAAACACATTCATTAAGACAAAATTGCTTAAGGCCGAAGAGACGATTTTTAAACACAATTTTAGATATTGTATTTATTAGAAATTAATTTATTAGGCTATTTTTATATTTTAACAAAAATATATCTGTGATGAAACTACAGACTGTATGCTTTGAAAAAAAGGGATTAAGGTTACTAGCATAAGCAGATTTTAAAATCAATTTTAGAATTTGGTTTTATTCATTTTAATTGATGAATTATGATATTTGTACATAGCATGGGGCCGTAAGGGGAACTATCCATCCATTTGAAATACACATCAACAACTTAACGTGCTCATGTCACTCCCCACCCAATAAGTGATCAAATTTTAAAAAAATCAGAATGATGAAATGAAATTCATAAAATAAAATAAGCAAAACGACGATAAGAATCCACAGCAATAATGGGTACATGTACACTCACTTCCACGCATCAATCGAGTGACGTCACCTTCAAACTGAGGGAGACACTACTGAAGCTGAGAAAGAGATTAGGTCGGTGCTTATCTTACAATGAAGGGAGTGTCAATATCGCCAATCATTTGTTAAGTACTCTGTATATAACCGTATACCCAATGTGTCATGTACTGATTACACTATAATATAGGGCTGGGCAAACTGCCGGTGAAAAGTGCTGTGTCATTCTTATAAAAGGAATCTTCTTGTAAACACGCTAAGGATGTGCTTTTGGTTCCCCCTTTTTTCCTCCGTAATATTTGTGCTTTAACTGAAGTCAGCATGTAAAATTGGAACAATCAAAATAGGATTTAGTAATACATGTACCCAGCAACCTTATTATTCAGTTACAACAAAATAGGTTTTTAATGTGCTGGGAAACGGGATGTAGATGATATGCTTAAAAATCCCTCCATCAATTATGACCATGAGTTCACGTTTTCAATCAATTGTAATGTTTTACCATAGTCATTAAGATTGCTATTGGTATTGAAGGGTGTTATGTTTGTCACGTCTGTTACGATTTGCTGCAAGGGTGAGACTACAAACACCAACACTAACATGTACTTTCAAAATACGTTATTACGCGTTTAGAACATACCACCATTAGCTTCAGACGTACCAAGATATCTCCCTCAAACAAAAATAAATAAATATATAAATAAATAAAAAGAATACAACAAGCAAAACGAAATATTATACATGTAGTAAAGGCGCTGTAGTCTGCTGTTATGTATTTGCCAGAAGAACCGAAGCAGTCTTTTTTAACTTTGCCAGCCCTCCTTCTGTTTCCACTCCCCCACCCCACCTTAGCAAATTCAGGCACCCACCAGTGTAATTCAGGGACTTCGGGGGGGGGGGGGGGGGAAATCGACATGACTTGCAACTCAGGTTTATTTAAAATGTTTGCGTTACATGTATCAGTTCGGTAGCAGTGATTCCTTCTTTCTTTCTTTCTTTCTTTCTTTCTTTCTTTCTTTCTTCATTTATTTATTTATTTATTTATCCTTCAGTGCTGGACGCTATGGGTAAACCGGAAGCTGGGCTCATGTACGGGAACACCAAGTGGCACGGACAATTTGAACAATGTATGAGAGTGAAAGGAGAAATTAAGTAAGACCAATGTTTTTACAAATTGTTTGAAAACGAACACTTTTCCCCTTTCTTGAAAGGTCGCAAAGTACCAAATATGAGTGTGAGTATTACTGCTTCTTCGTGGGTTAGAGTGATTTCAATTTTTCAAATGAGCCGAGAAAGTGAATTGTAGAGAACAGTTTATTTATTACACAATTCCAAAAGTAATTGTCAGCTAGAAAATATGTACGTCTTCTTCCCCAGGGATGCTTCCATTGGAATCTCGCTAACCGCTGATCGCCAGATAAATGGCGAATACTGCAAAATCTACATACCGCTGCCAGCCGAAATGATCCCTGCTGGGGTAATTCAATTATATAAGTATATAAATGTAAAGAATATTATTAAGTATTTATAAGCCAGTATACCAGTACCAGTAGGTATGTGCAAACCAATGTATAAGTATAAATCTTCAACTGTAGTAACTTTGCTGGTTCCCGAAATGGTCCTTATCAGTTAAAAAACCTCACAAAAAAAATCAAACAAATTGTCTAATCATATAGAATAGAAACTGAGTTACATTGTATAATGATATTGTATTGATCAAAATGTTCATGATGTTTTACTTACCACTAGGAATCTGCCCTTGTAATTCAAGCTGTTTTTTTTGAATATATGTTTTATGTATACATCTAAAACCATTTTATACATTTTTATATTTTAATATTTTAGAACGTGGGAGGATTAGGAGCAGGCGTTAACTTAGAATGGGGTGTGTGTCTGCCGAACACGTGTACTTCTAAGGACGTGACCATCATGAGTCAGAGTAAGTGATATTATCTAATGAACTGAATGAACTCTCTTGTATGTGTATGTGTGTGTGTGTGTTTGTGTGTGTGTGTGTGTGTGTGTGTGTGTGTGTGTGAGAGAGAGAGAGAGAGAGAGAGAGAGAGACGGGGTCCCTAATTAGGTGTATTGCGTGTTTGCAAAAATCTTGAATAAAATATTTACTATGACCACGTTTTCGTGCCCAAATACAGTGTATGTGTGCGGTTATTATATGAGAAAAAGTTAAACATGATATTGCACAACGTTTACAAGTTGTAATAATTATGCACGGCATGCTAGAGTGACGTAACGTGTGACTCAACAGCTTCCAAAACTCATGCGCAAGTCATTTCTGTTTTTGAAAACAATAAGGCATTATAGCCGTGTACAAACTTAAATAGAAATCTACAAGCTGCGTATGATTGAATAAGAGGTGACTGAGAAAAACCAAGCTACAATATTTTATAAATAAGAAGAGTATTACAAAATTATAATAATTAATACTAACAAAAATGTTCATGCAAATGAACAGAATAACGTTACCATGCATCAGTCCATAGTTTCCATATAGAACAGTTCTCACGCCTTTATTCTAGTCCTAGGAAATAGCACATACGCCGTCTGTGAGAAAGACAAGGAACTAGTCCTGAGTGAGGATCCCAAGGCCATAGCATGCATGTACGTTGTTGTTGTTGTTTTTTTTTTAATAAAAACGCAGAGCTTTTGTTTATAATTTAGGCAGACTGTTTTTTTTTATGGCAACTGTTTATGATATATGTTTATGATTTAAAACTATGTATGCTAATTTAAATTGTGATTTTTTGCCTGCAATATGTCTTTCTGTATTATTATTATGTATTATTATTATTATTATTATCATTATTGTTGTTGTTGTTGTTTTTGTTGTTATTGTTGTTGTTGCAAACGGCTCAAGAACCATATATATTTGAATTACAATTCTTTTACAGTGCTCTTCTTACTGTTTTCGCTGTACTGATTGTATTTGGAACTCTAATGGAGGGATTCGGGTTGGACAAGACATTTACACCGGCGGCCCCGCACGAGGTCAAGGTCACAGAAGAGGTCAAAGCCCTGGAAGGCGTCACTAACCCTACCTATGAACCCGATGTTCAGCCAATGGATACGTATTTGAACCACTACGTGAAGTACCAACCCGACGATGAAAAACCAACCACTACTCTTGATTCCATGAAGGAAAAGGGTGTCGAAATGAATGGAAGCAATGGAATCGGTACGTTGCTTTCATATATAGACCTATTGTTATATCCCTTACGATAAAATTGCCCAAAGGACACCGAAGAATATATACAGAGCTGCCTAGGAATCATTCAGGGTTCTATAGACCTCTACAAGTATTCTCTCTGCCCTATAGAGACATGCAGGAATTTGGGCCAATTATATATTACATATTTTACGTATGACGACGATACCTTAAATGGGTGTCGAGTCTTGGCGAAGACATTTTACAATTCCATGCATGTATTTATGACTCTGTCATCTAATATTGCAGCAAACGGACACAAGCCTGTGCTGGACGAGAAATCATTTGGTGTGGTGATGCCGCCGAATTGGACGTTTAAGAAGGCAGAACAAAAGCAAACGAAGTCCACGTCAGACGACCATAAACAAGAGAAGAAACCAGAGCGTAAGGAACCCAAGTTAAACGTTGAAAAATAAAATATTACAGAACATAATTAGAAAATAAAATGTGAATTCCCCCCTGCCCATGCCAACACGTTACGGCAATATTTACATAAATTTTAAGAAAGTTTTCTGATGAAAAATTTCTTTATAAGACTCAAAGCTACATGTAAATGTAGCAATTCTAAAGGTTATAAGAGAGAATATGGTCGAATATGACTTAATTGCAATGTAAACGAAGGAAATAAAACAGCAAATTTGAGGAATGTCACATACATGTATTAATTATCGAAGTAGTTAACAATATTGGGTCGTGCTGGTAGTTAAATTTCAAATTAACCGCGCCAAGTAGAAACCAACAATATTTCAAACAATTTGATTCAGAGAATATTGGTATCTTCTTATGCGAGGGGAGGAATTCCTCGGTAAAAAGGATTATTGTAACACTTTGATATACTGCAACATTTACATGGCAGGTAAGATGATACCTTTTAAATAGTGAGCAATTTTATTTAATGTGTGAGCAGAAGTATGGTCATGAGCAATTCCTAATCCTGAAATATTCCCTTCTTTTGTTCAGCCCCCGCTCTTGTCCGCCTGTTTGCTGCCTTTTCTCTGTACACCACTCTCCCCAGACTACTGAGCACTCACCAAGGAAGTGCCGCCATTACATGTCTCAATGGTATCCGGGTTATGAGTATCGGATGGGTTGTGCTGGGCCACACATACGGCTTCGCTGCTGGTTTTACTGGTACGTTTTGGCTTCTTTCTATAACACAAAAGGTGTTTTGTTCTGCAAATTCAGTTGAATCATTCAAATACCGGTAAGTATCTTCATGTGCCAATTGGTGCCAACAAGACCAAATAAAGGGCGACCACGCTCTTCTCATACTTGAAGAATGATATCATGTTAATTAGATGTCTATTTTATTCTAGATAATATAATGTTTGCGTTCCTGGAAATGAAACGCTTCTCCTTCACGGCCGTCAGCAACGCTTATTTCTCGGTGGATACGTTCTTCTTGTTAAGGTAAACTTGCCAAATATCTGCAACAACCTTTGCAAGAGGTTTATTAGTTCGGTTATATATATCAGCTTTAAACTGAAGTAGAAACGTTCAGACAAACGCATGTATAGCCATATTTTAGCCGGCTATGGCTAGGATAAAGTCGACTCTGTAGAGATGTCACTACTTTGGATTGCTGGAAGAGTTTATATTGTATATCACTCTTAATTTGTTTCATCTAAAAATACTCATTATCTATTGGACGGCAAAATCAATAATCTTGTGTTTGTCTTGAAAAAAGGAGTAAAGAATTTTTTTGCGCATACACTTTAGTTCTAGTGCGTAATGATAATAATGGTATGTGACTTTCTTGTACGTTTTGTTCCAGTGGCGTACTGGTGGCGTATTTGTTCCTGAGACAACTCCACAGGGAGAATGGTGTAAAGACCAGAACTATGGTCATGTATTACGTACACAGATATATTCGGTGAGTTAAGTCCTGAATGACCTACCGATTCCAGTAAAACCTTACGGCGCATAATTATACAGGTTTTTTTTTCTAGTTTGAGTTGAAGTCCCTGTATATATTTTTAGTTTAAATTACACACGGTTTTATAATTTATTCACGACATGGGTGAAAATGACACGTAACTCACACTACTATATTATTTATGTTAAAGAATTTAGATACTGTTGGTATTAGTTTTGCAAGTAAAAAGTTGTATGTTAGTTGTATTCTACAGCTATGATACTACTATAATTCTGAAAGTGATATAAAGCATTTTTTAACATTTAAAGCATATTCAAACATGCATTCTAAAGTACAGTTCTAGAACTCCGGTCAGCTAAAGATTCCATAAATGTACAGGTAGTTGATAAAGGTTTATTTTTACCATTTCAATTTTTCATTGTTTCACAAGATACCATCAGAAAGAACGCATTGGTATCATTTTACATAAACACAGCCAATGAAATATTTTGATTTCATTTAATACACATTAATATATACCAAATTATCCTTCAGATTGTCTCCGCTGTACTTCATGGTTCTGTTCATCTACGTGGCTTTACAGAACTACATGGGCAGGGGACCGATGTCGGCGCGTAGCATCTATGACCAGCAGTTCTGTGAATGGAACTGGTGGACAAACCTGATCTATGTCAACAATGTGGTGAAGAACAAGGAGCTGGTAAATACGTTTGTTTTGGTCAGGTGTGACAGAAACGGTAGTCTGGTAGGACTTTGTACAGGTGACATTCGATCGTCCCATATACTAAGGACTAACCCTTACCTTTACTTATCATATGGGACCCCGGGCTTCCATCTCTGGGTCTGTTATCATTGTCACACTGGACATAGAAAAGGGCCACGAGGTATGATAAAAAACTTTTCCACTGATGACATTAGCTTAATTGCTACTGTTTGATTGTTACAATATGAGAACACCTTGGATCTACCTATCTATCTTTTTCTCTCACTTCACCCGAGTCAGCTCACTGCATTATAAAATTTTGAGTGCGTTTTTCCGTACCGTATTTTTTGTCAGGTAAAAGTATGGTCAAGGTAATTTCGCATATTTCATAGATTTGTTCCATCAATCAATTATCTTCACTTTCGTACTTATATTTCTCATCGTCTCAATACAAAAGCAGTTACTTGTCAATCGGAATTATACGAAGTCCCATTAATATATTCCGTAAGTCTACACCAATCAGATGAATCTTCTATTTTTAATTTCAGTGTTTCGGCCTGAGCTGGTATATTGCTAACGATTTCCAGTTTTACATTTTGGCGCCGCTGTTTTTGTTGCCTCTTTATTGGTAAGCACATGATGGTTAATCTTAAATTTGGCCATGTTGTGCATTTTAGAACTACGAGTTGGATTCGGTTTTATACATTATTCCTACTGTACAAATTCCTGGAGCAAAGCAATGCAAGCTAATTGTACGACCATATCATGTTTCATTATTGCTTCATTACATACTTTGTTCTGTTGTTCTTTTTTATATTTTCATATATTTTTATTGATATAATTTTGATCGTATTGTAATAAAAAATGAGATATGTGTGTGTGTTCTTTGTGCCATAAATTTGAATTCTAATTGATCATTGTATTGTATTGTATTGTATTGTATTGTATTGTTTACTTCTTTCAGGAAACCTGTAGTCGGCATTTTGCTCATTATTCTGGCAATGGGCGCGTACGCAGTTGGGGCAACCTTCACGTTACTTGGCATTGAGAACCCTCGCATCATGTCGAAGTAAATATATCTTATCTTACAATTTAACATCTCAAAATAAAAACCATTATGGTTGGTGAATAATCCAGATAATCCCAGTACAGTATAATGCAATGAAAAGTACTAAGTGCCACCGCATGAATTAAGCTCGACAAGAACTACCAATGACGAAAATTGATCTTGATTTCATAACAGTTACATGTACCTTTTGTTTCATGGTCACAAAATCTGATACTCACCTATTAGTTGACTCTTCACGCCATCTTGGATCTGCATAAGTTAGATACGTCATCGATAAGTTCTCAAAGTGTCTTAATTTTATTCAGTTATCTTTTAAATTACTGATCAAGTTACAGAATTCGTGTTTCGGTCACTTGTTAGCTACAGTGGGTTCAGTCTTCAGCTGGGATAGTATAAACCTTCGCCTTCGGGTTGAACCCAGCCAAGATGTAATCTTAACTTAAGTCAACAATTGTATAGTAGTCAACATAATCGATGTGATTTCCAGAGTGACACTGAGCGATTGATTGTTCTCTTTTCAGTCCAAATTTCCTGACAGACTTCTACATTCTCCCCTGGTGCCGTATTGGCCCATACTTGGTCGGCCTCGTTGTGGGTTTTATACTGTACAAGACAGACCGCAAGATCAAGTTCAACAAGGTACCAGTAATGTAATCATATTGCTTTGGGTCTCTTCAGCTATGTTAGTAATCTCGCGTGATAATTAAGAGCATGTTTGCGTCGTATAGGCTGTGGAAATGTTGGTGGAATGTGGCATGTCATGCTTAAAGGCCTGATAATAAAATTATTTATTCTTCATGACCAAACTGAAACAAATAGGTTTTGAGGGCAAAATCAAGTCTTTGAGTCACCCATTTCACCTTGAAACTTTTAGGTTCTTGCTGGTGTGTTGTGGATAGTATCTCTAGCCTTGGTGACGCTGATTATCTTCATCAGACATGACGAGACCGAAAACGGACAGTGGGGCAAAACAGAAACCATCGCCTACGAGGTGGTCAGCAAGCCACTGTGGGCCGTGGCCGTCGGCTGGATCATCATAGCATGTGCCACGGGATATGGAGGTAGGGTAACTTTTATCGAAAGATATCCCAGCAAACACAATACGTTATTAAAACTTTATTCCACAACGTTCTGGCAACGTCCTAATAACGTTCTGTCTTTGCTCTGTTGCTGGGATTCCGTTGTTGGGAAACTGAGGCTCCGGTTCAAGTAATATATAAGTAATTATATATAATAATTATATAAGTAATTATATATATATATATATATATATATATATATTAATTCAGGTTTCATCAACTCATTCCTGTCTTGGTCGGCCTGGGTCCCTCTGAGCCGGATGACGTACGCCGTGTACCTTGTTCACCCCACTATAATGTGGGCATACCAGACTAGTCTCATAAGTGAACTAACGGTATCGGACTTTACAATGGTAAGTTGCGTTTTACAATTAGCGTATCTCGATTATCCCAATTCTGCTATCATCCATCTGCAGTAGGTTTGTTTATTGTGTCCGGATAATAAAATCGTTTCCAGGAGCTATTTCCGATTCTTGGCATTTTTCCCTCATTTCTCGCATTTTGTCACATTTTATCGCATTTTTTCGCCGTGTCATGTGTCGAAGCTGATTCTTCATTGGCTACTCCCGTTTCAGAGCGTCCTATTCACTGCGTACCTTGTCCTGTCATACGTGGCGGCGCTGGTGGTGTCCCTGGCCTTCGAGGTACCGATATTGGGGCTGGAGAAAATTCTGCTGAAAAAGTAACGCCAAGATACAGAAATAGAACACAAGCGACATCTATTGGGTCTGCTGTGATATTTGGGACCACAGAAGAAGATTGAAAGTGCATGTGCATTACATTCTATTATAAAAGGGAGAATCTTTTTCGATACGGTATATTAGGCAAGGTGCGCGTACAACGTTTAAACGTTTTAAGGACAGTTTAATAAACTGGTAGACGTTATGTCTTATTTGTAAGACATCAAATAGCGTGCCTGTATCAGTGAATCAAAAACAAAAGACGAACTTCACTGTTTCAATGTGGTCATAAAGTTTTGATACAGATTGCTTACCTATTGTATTAAAGGAAACTATTTATAAAGGAAGTTGGTTCATATATATAGTATCTAATTAGAAAGAATAGTCCAATAGAGTATCAGTATGCATATGACTTTTGGCCAAATGTGCACCATTTAATCCCCTCTTCCTATACATATATGGAAGGCATTAACAGTTTTGAACTGTTCTGAACAGAAATTGATTTACAACTACAGTACACACGTACCTCAGAGACATAAATACCATAAATACAAATGTTACCTTTAATTTCATTGAGATTTGTCACACAAGATGTACAATCCCAGCAAGAGAGTTAAATGATTTTTCGTTGAGTATACTCTGTATGACTTGTCGTTATCATTTCATATATCTCAGCTTTAAGATTCAATAGTCCCTGAAAACACGTATTGTGATCGGAGGACGCCCATACCATTTATAAGAAAACAAATATAAGAAATTAATGTGTGTACAGGATCCGATTGTTGTCTTTTAATTCTGATAAAAACTCACAGACGCGCGCATGTAACTCTTGCTCGTGTTCCCATTTGTAACAATAATATCAACTCGAGCTGCTGCGCCTGATACTTTCTATAAACTGCCAGTTATTGGATGGAATTATCATGAACGACTTATTTACAAGATATATATATATATATATCTTCGAAATGAAATTGATTAAAAAGCCATGCCTTATGAGGTTTTGCTAATGAACTAAATCACATATTAACCCCGCGACCCCCTCAGACGTGAAGAAAAATTTGGAGATACTGAAAATCCGAAGGACCCGCACTAAAGAAATTCTTCAGGTCCCAAGTCTATGCAGGTCCGAACTTGGCATTTTATTTCCGTTATAATTAGTCTGTGTGAACATGTTACTTATTAATATCTTTATGTATTGTTTTTTCACATATTCTAGTACATGTACCCTTGACAGTCCAGAGGACATGCAGTATCAAACATCTTGCAGGTTCTTTGGCGTTTCAAGCGCTCGGACAGGCAGTTTCCCCATGTCTGCTCAAGATGGGGTCTCATATCGTTTACTTCATTCCAACAATATTTTCTACAGTTGTCCTTATCTTGATTCGCTAGCCTAAATAAGTCGTAGGCCCTACGCACCTGCATTAATAAATGGCCCAGCTGAATTTCAATAACAGCGAATTAAAACTGATTTAATTATAAATCAAACCTCTTGGCGTTTGCCTGTTTATAGAAAAAAATTCTTAAGTCGAAATGAATTCTGCAAACCGCGAACCAGGAGCGAAACATCAGTGTAACCAGGGCTTAATAAGTTGGTACAATTAATCAATCAATGTAGATTAACTTTACCTGTTTGCATTTGATACCAGTGTTGAAGTATGTGTTCGATAATGATGTACCTTTAGCTGTTATATACTAGTGGCAACCGTGTTTATTTAACATTTTACGTCCGACTCACACTCCGAGCTACAAGCTAAGCCAACGGCAGAGAGGCCACGTTGTCGAGAAACCAGCATTTTTATATCTGTTGCACAAATCTTTCTTGTGTCTTAAAAATATTGTTTTTGGAATGTACACGTAAAATAAAATATAAACACAATGAACAAAAATGCCACCAGTCTTCCTATATTCAAGGGTAACACTGGCGTATTTTTCGTTACTTATTTGCCAACAGGCTTTGCAAACACGTATTCAAATGCAAAGGGGAATGGTGCTTTTATTATAAGATTCTAAAGTCTATCATAATATACGCCCTTATGTTTACTCTGTTCTGATATCTTGGGGTGAACATGTCATTCCTCTAGTCATTATACACGTCCTTAGTTATCTACTTTTGCACTTTCTATCAAACAACGTAAATCAAACTCTGTTAAAGCGCATAAGTCACATATTTAGGACTTATTTTAGACTTATTTGTCAGTGGAAAAGTGGAAAAAAGATGTATTTAAATTCTCAAATTGCATGGGCCGACGTGGTATGTTCTTGTGTCACAACGGAATTTATCTGATAAAGACGTGCACTTATTTTGGCATAGTTCAGAATAGACAGGTGACCTATTTTGAATTCTGCACGTTATCGCAAAAACACAAATGCCTCGACCCAACCCGCGTATAATTACCCTACCAGAGACAGACGTTAGACTTCCAGAAAGAAAAAAGCGTAGCGAAAAAATTCAAATATCCATCCCATCAAGATGCGTTGCTAGACCCACGTACTGGAATGCAGCCCATTGTATCTATTCAAACGTCAGTGATATATTAAGTTGCCCGTGTTTACAAAAGATAAACTACTTAAAAGGTCAACGATCATCTCTTCCTAACTTAAAGCTGACTTCAGCGTGTTGCGAAACATCGGGTTTTTTCACCTTGTAGAATTAAGCCTACTCTTTCCCACTCTAAGGTAGGATTGTTTTCACGAAAAAGGACATCGCAGAATCTTGAGACAGGAAACCAAAACGGGAATGAAGTATTCACCCAATTATGCAGTAGTTTTCTTTTTGTGTGTGATATGTGCCGGTGTTGCATCACTAAATGGAACCATCTCGCCCACCTCCACTCAACATGGAGTCTCTGGTGCGGCCACAAATGGGATAGGAACCACGGCAAATATCGTAACCATCGGGTTGACTGGGCAAACCGGCGCTAATGCATCAATGCCATCAACTGATGCTACCACATCCTCGGTCTCAGGCCAACATGGCGCAACAGCGTCAGCCTCAAATGTTTATACAGTCAGCCCATCTCTCCAGGCTCAAAACCAGACCACTCGGGCTTCTATGAAACCAACGAGAACCCCAGCAACGAACCCACCACCCAATGGCTTTCTGAGGTTCCTCCAACAGGCTTTGACTCCAGACAATATTGAAAAGCTCCTGGATTTTGCATCGTCCATAGACGAACCACTGAAGAGCCTCATAATTACCAACAAAGACTTCATTGTAAAAAACGCAGTGCCGATTTTGCAACAATTTTTGCAAAATGGTAATCAGGGAAACGGGAATTTACCAGCACAATTCTCATCTCTGTTAAACAATAGTGCCTTGGCTGGTATAGTGCAGGGAATGGACATGGCAACTGTAATACAGATGATTTTACCCAGTGCGCTCTCTTCTGTCACCGGCTTCAAAAACGTGTCTGGCCAGTGCCTGAGAGATATCAGCTTCGTGGTCAGTGGTCTTGCAACTGGACAGCAATGGGCACTGCAAAGTAAGTGTATTTATAAACATAATTATCTGGTTTATAATATGTCCGAATGTGAACTTGATTTGTTAAGATGGGCAGCTGAATACTTTTTACCCTAGAGTCATGATCCGTTGCTTCCCTTGTATTACAATGATCTAAAGAGCATTGCAGATGTGTGCGCCACACAATACAGTTTCTTTTAAGGAACTAGATTAAAATGTCTTGAGAAAGCCAATATTGAAATTGGTCATTCAGCACATTTGTTGAAGACCTTCAGTACGTGTACAGTAAGCTAAGCCCTTTTTTTAAAATTGTGGAAATTAGTGGAAATACTCTAATATCAACCAATACACATTGAAACACCTGCAGTTATAAAATCATAGAATCAACCCCAAGATCGATAATCAATAAATAACCAATCAATCAATTGTGGCGTGACATGGTCTTTTCAGTGTTCGATTCATTTGCCAAGCTGCCAGCCGGAGTCATGTACGGAGATGCACATTGGTTAGGCCAGTACTATGAATGTATGCGAGTGAAAGCACACATCAAGTGAGTGCGCTGGTTTTGATATACAATTAGGTTTAAGGATCCCCTCCCAATAGGCACCATCGGTCTAGGTGGATCAGCTGTGCAGGGACTCTTGCTGGCTGCAATCGCACGTTGGAGGAGTGTCACTGATTTAAGCTGATTGCAATCAGCGAGAGTCCCCAAAGAGTTGGGTCGATCCACGTAGACCGATGGTGCCAATGGAATATACATAAGAATTGATTGCCTGTACGAGATAACAGGACAAAATTCCACTGATAAGTTTTGGATTCTAAGTCCCATTGATCAACAATTTTTAATCATTTTTGATTACAGAGATGCACCCTTGGCCGGGTTGGCTCGGGGTGACCACAGCTTCAACGGTGAATACTGTAGGGCCTATATTACCGTGCCAGCTTCTGTCCTGCCTGCAAACATAGCTGGGGTAAGTTGTCCCTTTCTTATCACGTTGAACACTATACCAAGGTGTTTTTATCATGTTCATATCAAACAAGAGCGTGCACACACACGCAAACGCACACACACACACACACACACACACACACGCACACACGCACGCACTGGCGGACTGCTATGGGGGAAGAGATTTTAAATGTTTAAGTGTTAACAATGGGAATTCCTCCGCAATTTCTGCAGTACTGGGATGGATAGTCTGTTTTCATTCTCTGTTGTGGTATTTATTTATTTATTTATTTATTTATTTATTTATTTATTTATTTATTTGGAGGGAAATGTATGGGAAGACGTCAGTACACTTGTACCTGCCGCCATACTCTTGCGTTCTACAGCTGTATAGCATTTACCGTGAATAACTGACTTGACGTTAAGCTCTAAAGCGTTCCCTTTATGACATGCATACCAATAGATATACCCTAAATTAATATTGCCAAACTTGTAGTATCATTATTTAACTCAAATTATTGCGGAAACGGGATCACTGTCTAACTGGAATCATTGCCGAGCTCGAATCCCCGCCGAATAATTCTTTTGTTTCGTGTAATCCATTGATGTATTATAAAAGATATCCACCTACAGTATATATTCCAGATATAACGTATAACCATCTATTCCAGATGACTGGAGCCACTGGCGGTTCAATGGAGATTTCCCTCGGGACGTGTCTTCCAAGCACGTGCACTTCCGGCGACTTGACGGCCATGTTAAAACGTGCGTCCTAGCGGTATTGTACTGGGACCGTACTGTATTGTTACTAAGTACATGGGTCAGTTGCACAAACAAACCTTTGTATGCAACTTTAAGACTAAAGTTTTCAATTTTGCCAAGCCTTTGCCTGCCGATGTCTACAATTCTGTAAACGTCTTTTCCTTACAGAAATAATGTCGCAGCTGAAGACACGCGCAGTGTGTGAGAAAGATAAAGTGCAACACCTTTCTAGTGATCCTACAGCCATAGCTTGCATGTATGTATTAGTGCCTGTACTGTCAAGCGTTTCGTGAGAAGCGTCTGAGATAGGCCACATTAAGTCTCGTGACTTAGCGTAACATCAAACGAGATACTGCGGGGTTTGGAAGAGTGAGGAGTCAGAAATATTGTCCCACTATAGCGAGTTTTGTGCAACACCGACCTAAAGTGGACAGAATTTAAACACGGACATTTTATATCTTGTTTTTGATAAGTTAATAAAAATATTGCCTTACATTTTTTGAACATCTGAATGGATATGTGTTAGCAAAGTGTTGGGAGTTACCTAGTCCGTGCAGTGTTTGTAATGTGCGCCACAACCTTTAATTATAACCTAGTGGGTACCCCCACAATGCTCAAGACCCCAACGTATCTCATTTTTTAAAAATATTCTATCCCTATTTTATTATCTCCCTTTAATTCTGAATACCTTTGTATCGTTGTGCAGCTGCCTACTTATGGTGTTTGGCATGGCCGTGCTCACTGGGACTCTGTTGGAAGGCTTTGGACTGGACAAAATGATGGTAACGGAGAGCCAAGAAAAAGATACTTTGAAACTGAATGATATGGCGGCTAACACAGACAATGCCGCGCTCTCTTTAGAAAACCCGAAAAGGGCAGAAGGTTCAGTATTCGTTTCTTTGCTTCTTTATTTCCATATTTGGTCCTAAATTCATCCTAGTTTCCAGAACTCAACAGTGATTGGACATATGTCCTCCTTTGGCCCTCAAACTCAGTGTTAAACACCTTATATATTTATTCCAAAATTTTATGGATAATTAAGACAAGAAACAAAAAGGGCAACGTGTATTTGCTTTTTCCACTACATGGTTATTTGAGCAAAACGATAATGATCAAAATTCGTATATGACAGAACGAAGGTGGCGGACGCTCTAATGTGACCTCACCTATATACTGGTTTATGCTGGTAGGCTAACAAATTGCCTCAAAATATTTTAAATATCAACATTTTCCTTCAGCGCCAACCGCTATACGTCTCCTCACTGCCTTCTCTCTGTACACGACTCTGCCCCGGTTGCTAAGCACCCACCAAGGAAGCGCCGCCATTACGTGTATCAACGGCATCCGGGTAATGAGCATGGCCTGGATTGTTCTGGGACACACGTATTCCACGCTCAGGGGGAACATGAGTAAGTATTATACTCTCACTAGTGAACCTAGGAAGAGTTTTCACCTGGAATCCAGTTGTTAAAGAAAGCTAGGGCACAATTGATCGCCCATCCTCATCCATTTCTTAATTTGCTTTGCTTGAGCGTCACTCTATATTTATAGGGATATACCTATATCTACTGGTAGGATGACAATAGATAGGGGGCGTACAGGCTTTTTTTTTCCAATACCCAACTACTGTAAATAATTCTATGTGAAAAGGGAGCAAGAGTTGTTTTTATACCTCACCTATTGGTGTACGGAAGATTCGATTGTAGCTCCTATTGTACAATACGTCGATCGTTGCTTAGGCCTATATTCTCTGAAAACTTTTAAATGAGTCACATGGACTATCCTTGTATACATATTTTTCATGACTCTTTGGAGTACAATTTATTTAGGCTTTGTAGAAAAAGTTAATACACCCTACTATGTCCGTTTTGCAGGTAATCTTCTTGGTGCTATGAAGAAAACCGAGGATTTCTCGTTCCAAGCAATCACTAATGCCGTTTACTCCGTGGATACGTTCTTTCTTCTCAGGTATGGGGCACTAGTGTCTTTACCTAATTGAAACCGTTGCTTTGAATCAATGCTCATTCACCTTTGAATATATATACGTTTATGAAATTATGATCATTTTCTTTCCTTTAACGTGTTTATAGTACAAGCAATATACTGTTTATTAGTCAGTTTTTATTTGTGGGGTTATACATGTATCGCTTTTAAGGTATATTCTATTATATATATGACTTTGGGACTTTTTTTTCAAACGCGGATAGTCTACCTTAGAACCCTACTGTTAATAGTCTTTAATGTTATGGCAGTTGACTCCTGTTAATTATTATCCGTCTAATAAACCGATGCTATGTGGTTTATTTTAGCGGTGTGTTGGTAGCCTACTTATTCCTGCGGCAGTTACGCAGAGAAAAGGGCCCTCACGTGAAGTCCATGGTGATGTATTATGTGCATCGATACACAAGGTATTAGCTCACTATTTATAAGTGATTTACATTTTTTAAATTTACGACAATGAAAAATAACAGTCACTAAAATGCCAATGTTTCCAAAATCTCTTTAACGTATAAACAAAAATAACGTGTAATTTTTGTAATCTTTTAGGCTTTCCCCGCTGTATTTCATGCTGTTGTTTTCCTCTGTTGCCCTGATGCCGTACATGGGAAGTGGTCCTCTATGGCCACTCACGTACCCCTTCAAAGACCCGGCCTGTAGTGAAAACTGGTGGACCAATATCTTATACGTCAATAACATTGTTCGTCCCGAGAACATGGTAAGAATTAAATCCGTTTCTTTGATTTGTATGTTTCGTTGTACAACCTTGTCCGCCGCGACCCGTGTGTCTGCATGTAGTCCAACTAATCAATTTTCAGTTGTTTTGTGTGGAGATCAATGAAACATTAAAAAAATTAAATCAACCAATCATGACACAAATTTAGACCATAGACGGTTGGGATCATTTTTCAGTGTTCAAAAACAGTCGGGATTTCACCTACCGCCTGAATAAAAAATGTGTCCTAATTGGATGCACTTTTGTTAAGTCTACAGCGTTTGTATTTTATACGTGTATGTACAGCGTCACAATATAAGGAAGATCGGTTCATCATCTTCGTGATGATATATCCTGTGACATATCCTGATGTTATTACCTCCGCAAAGGAGGTTATGTTTTCACCCCTGTTTGTCTGTTTGTTTGTTTGTCATCAACATAACTCAAAAAGTTATGGACCGATTTTAATGAAGTTTTCAGAAACTGTCAGAAGTGGGCCAAGGAATAGAGGGTTAGTTTTTGGTGGTGATCCGGATCAATAATCAATCAATAATAAGGTCTGCGCTCTCGGAGTGCTTTTCTAGTTTTATAGGCCTATGTAGGGTCTATATTCGTCGCCAGTTGCTAAGGATGCTATACAAGATACATGTATGCAGTGATAAAACTATAAATTTATACTAAATATTAAATACTATACATAAAGTTAATATTTCTATGCAGTGTTTCCCCATTAGTTGGTATGTGGCCAACGACTTCCAGTTCTACGTGATTGCGCCGCTGTTTATATTGCCACTGTTCTGGTGAGTAGAGACCGGTTCATATAACGCTTTTCTTAATGAATTATAGGTAAATCCACCATGAGTATAAGAATTTCAAATAAGGAGTGATTTTACAATTTATGTGACCTAATTTTAAGTAGTGTGCTGATTATATGTAGGCCTATCTTGTACATGTAATTATGTTCTCAGTATTATGTATGTCAAAGGACATTGAATAGCAATGGAAATGGAACAAAAAAAGTCCATATCTTTATTCTGCGTTTTTCTGGATCAGGTCTTCACATTTGATTAAATTCACCTTTTATTTTACTTTCACAGACGTATAACCTTGCAGTTTCTGATTATTTTTTTCCTTACTCCCTATTTGGTTATACAGGGTTACCACTTAATATGGAATATTATTTTTTGGCGAGTAAATTTTTTACAAAATATATAATTTCTCTCTAACTACTTAAAATCCAAAGCTGAGGCGTCACTCCATGTGTAGCCAGGTGTGTTACCTAATTACCACACAACTCTCGAAACAATTGATGCATGCAGTTGCATGTTCTGTGGTCAGAAATGTGAGGGGTGGTCTTTTCGGCAATTTCTGCCCTTGTATAAAAACACATGGGTTTGGTCAATCTTTGGAGTGTGTTTAGAGAAGCAACGAAGGGATCGCTCTGAAACTTGACAGGTACCTTAGTGAAGATATGGTTCGACACCTAAGCAACGCATCTTATTATGGGATTCTTGCTCTCAGAGAAAATGACCAGAAACGGACAGCCATTGCCAGGTAATTCAACATTTATCAGGAACCGTTTGTAAAGTCCTCCAAAGAAATGCTGTAACAGGGGCACCTACTCAAATACCTCGACCAGGGTGTCCGCGTATCACACCAAGAAGACAGGATCGCCTTCTCCTGAGAGGACACCGTGCTGGTCGTACAAAGACAACCAGTGTCCTCAGAAAAGAGAGGCAGAATGTCATTCAAACGCCCGTTTCAAGGTCCCTCATGAACAAGAGATTACTGCAAGCCGGTTATTTTGCACGAAGGCCAGTATGGAAACCACTGATAACAGCAGGTCACATACAGCGACGTCTGCAATGGGCTGGGGACAACGAGCGTATGCAGCCAAAACACTGGAATCACGTCGTTTTCAGTGATGAGGCCAGATATGGATTTTTTAGCGTTGATGGTCGAATCCGTGTCCACCGACGTGTACGAGGGGCATAAAACGATGATTGTGTACTGCCTAGGGTGCAAGCAGGAGATGGTAACGTCTCTGTTTGGGGAGCATTTCATGTTGGTGCCCAGAACCAGTTGGTTTTTCTAGGAGGCAACCTCATCCAGGATTCCCACAGAGACATTCTACAGCAAACAATGCTTTGATTGGTAAGAGTCATCTTCAGGAACAACTTTGAGTGCCAAGTCGACTGCGCAACCCCACATCGAGGCTGCAGAATCACTGTTTTTCTTCAAAACCAATGGGTTCAGCAGCTGCCCTGGCCTGCAAACTCTACAGATATGAACCCAATTGAAAAACTTTGGGCAAAAGTAACTCACAGAATTAATAGCTATGGTAATCGGCCGGTAAATAGTGATGAACTGCGACAGGCAAATATCACTGCGTGGATTGAAATCCCCATCCAAACTTTAAAAAACGTGTCGCAGGGTATGCCATGTAGGATGAGGGTGCTGCCAGCGGCTGCTGGAGGTCATACCCGCAATTACTGACTTTTCATGATTTACTGTAGTGAGTTCTTGTACTGTGTAACATATCACTGTCCGGAGGCTATCATTTTCTTTAATATCTTAGCTTAAAATTAATACTAACATCAAACTTTTGATATGGTTTTCTGGGGGTGTTCTTTTCTTTTGAATGATATCTTATGTCACATTTGATATCATTGACCAAAATATCTCACAACAGAAGACTAGATGTTTTTATCACTCAGTGACATACCTTTTTAATGACTCAAGCCAAAAAAATTTAATCAGCACTCAAAAATAACAATGTTAAAAAATATTCCATATTAAGTAGCAACCCTGTAGTTTCAATGACATACGATATACTGCTACAGTGTAATTGAAAAATGTTGCCACAATATCAAAGCGTAGATAGATCGATAGAATGTAAAAATACATTTCTTTATTTCTAGGAAACCAGTAGTTGGTGTTATTTTTGTTGTCGTTGGGTTGGTAGCAAATGGACTGGCCGGCGGGTATGCGTTAGATGCTTTGTATAAAGGCGGGGATTTCAGTGAGTAAGTAATATATGCGTGCGTGTGCGTGCGTGTGCGCGCGTGTTTGTGTGCAGTCTGACCCACGGTACTCAAGAAGGAGAGGGGGGCAATCGCTAGTAATAGGTGGCCTAGTATGAAATAAAAACATATTTTTGTGGGGAAAATGCGAAAAATAATACGCTGCCATCCTATCGTGATTTATGTCTTGAACACCTCCCGCTGACGCTCAATGTGCTCTTTCGCATTTCAATCAGTTGATAGTGTATAATCTCATCTTTATCTAATTTTTGGTTAATAAGTAATTATGTGAAGAGGAAAATGGAGTCTCCTTGGAGATAGTCTGCGCTAACAGCGTGCTTTTCTAATCTTTAAATTTATTTTCTATTTTTTATTAATTAACTGATTTTATGTATTCAATTTTATTTATTTATTTATTTATTTATTTATTTATTTATTTATTTATTTGTAATGTCAGTATCTATTAACCTATTTGGTAAAAAAAAGTGTGGCATAAGCTGTTTTTAGTAAAATTGTAGCTTTAAATCCAACTGCTTCAAAATAAATTTACTTCACCATCAACCTGTTCATGGATCTTTTCTACTTTCATTTTGAGTAAATAAACTCTCGCCAGGGAATCAATAAATAAATAATCTCCAGGTCTGATATGTTGCTTTATTGAATGTTGTATGAGGCTTAACTAATTCTCGAATTCCAGGAGGAAGTTTTTAACTGACTACTACATGCTTCCCTGGTGCCGCGTGGGTCCGTACCTAGTGGGGCTCGTGGTGGGATATATACTGTACAAAACTGACCTAAAGCTGAAAATGCATAAGGTAAGAGCAATAAGGTATCGCGTTTGCACGCGCCTGGTGGGACAGCTCGTAGCCTACTAGACTTCTGACGTCATTTGGCGTCATTTTGTAGAATATGCGTCTTGACGTGCAAAATTTAAAAGTACTTTCTGGTTCTTAACCTAAACATTATATTTACTATCTTAATCAGTATTTTTTTAGATAATATTATTTTTAAACTGTTTTCAGGCCGTTGTTGCCCTGGGTTGGTTCCTGTCTGTAAGTCTAGTCACCGTAATAGTGTATGTGAAATATGATGAAGTGAAGAACGGTTACTGGGAGCTGGAACCCAATATTGCTTACACCGTGGTCACCAAGCCCTTGTGGGCAGCGGCCCTGGGGTGGATCATAGTGGCCTGTGCCACGGGATACGGAGGTAGGGTACTAGTACATGTACTTGTCTGCCTCGCTGTCTGGCAGTCGGTTGACCAGTCATCTTTCTCTATCTGTCTGTTTTACATGCCCCTGTCTGTGTCCCTGTCTTATTGGCTATCTGGCCCTATGTCTATCTATCTTTGTGTGTGTGTGCGTGCGCGTGCGTGCGCGCGTGCACGTGCGTGATATCATGTCGATTTAAACATTTAGACAATTTTAGAAGTAAAACTACCGCTTGAATTTTCAAGGTTTCATCAACACCATCTTGTCCTGGTCACCATGGGTACCACTGGGTCGTCTGACGTATGCAGTCTACCTCGTCCATAGTTACATCCAGGTCGTCTACGTGTGGGGCGGCCGGACCACCAACATCACTGTGTCCGACTTCAGTCAGGTGAGTCCGAAGATTGACGGAAATAACCGAAGATGTAAGCAGTGAAGCGAACATTGGAAAGGAGACAAAAAAGGCTCATGGTGCAGGCGTTGTACGGAATTTGGTGTTAAATCCTCCTGCATCTGGGTATAGCTTCACATTAATTCATTTTCTATAGATATTCTATACAGTGTAAAATGTGACATACATGTACCTGTAACTATAATGCAGTACTTGTTTATAAAACGGAACAAAAGTCTAGTTAATTTCATCATGATGGCAAACCTTGAAAGTATCTATTTTTACCATTTCAGACGATCTTTTTTACTGCCTTCCTGGTCCTATCCTATGTGGCCGGTCTGGTCGCCTCTCTCCTTTTCGAGGTTCCCATGCTCGGTGTGGAGAAGATATTGTTAAAGAAATAACCACGATGGCTCGAGAACAATTCAACAATCTGAACAGAATATGCGTTACTTAATTCTTGAAATTGTCTATAACATATCGCCTATACCTGGTCTGTAAAGTACCCTTAACACACAATTCTAGAAAATTACCACCAGACGGCTCTGCATGGCAACTGCCTGAGTTCTAAATGTCATGATAAGCTGGGCCTAAACTGTTTTAATTATTAATAAGTAATGATTTGTATAGCATATACCTATCAAGACAGATTTATTTATACACTCCAAGGTGCAAAATCATATTAATATACAATATACATTGGCTTACTGTTATAAAACAAAGGTATATATTACATAAAAGGAATATTTGAATATTTGAAGGGTGGAAGAGAGGTGATGGCAGTAATATTGAGATTCGATTGCTTATACACTTATGTACTAATTACTGTTGAGGGGAACATATAATTTGGAAGAAACTTTCTTATACTTGGGACCTTGTGTTTTCCAAGTGCCGTAGATGGTATTAAAATTCAGTTCATGTGTTCGATTTTATATATCGAAAGCCAGAAACCGCTTAAGCATACCCAATATTTTTAAATATAAATATATATAAACAAGACATGTATTTAGCAAAAGGACCGGTAATATGGATGTGTTTTGTTAAACCTGGGAACAAAGAAAACAGTAGCAAATTCCACAGTTTGCAAAATCATACATCTACTGTTACTTAGTAAAAATTAGACATTGTACATTTGCAATTAAGGATAGTCTTCAATAGCGATTTTAATAGAAAATATTATAGGGAAATTGAATTCCAATAAATGAAATGCACTTCTATATAAATTAATATTCAGTGTACAGCGTACTAGTACATCTGCATTTTTAGTTGTGTTTAAATTTTTTAAGTTTTCAAGATTTGGGGCCAGTACAGAGCCAGCCCAGAAAACTGTTTGGGATTTGGAATTGTGTATGCTATACTATAGTGTATACTCCAAAAAATGTAGATATCTTTGGAATACATGTGCAGTACTAGAGGCCCTTGTGATATCAAATGGGTGAACGACAGCGCCTGTAGGCGCCAGATTAGGCCTACATGTAGAGCTCGGGGACCGAATTTCATCAGAGGACCAGACCCGTAATAGCCGTCAGCTATTCAAATGAAAATTCAAATGTAGAATCAATCAGATAATTACAGACTAAATACTTATATGGTTGCCCGCAGGAATTCTTTGAGACTCATCGATGCTATTTGCGAGAACGAGGCTCTGTGGTGAGCTGACGTCACTCATGCAAAAGAGATCATTTTTAATGCCAAGGCAATGAGTCAAATCAGAGTAAATCACCGTGCACGACAGGAAGACGACACAAATCATGCCTGTTCTGAGAACAGTGACTGCAATTCTATTAATTTATTTGGCACTAGTGGGAGTGAATTTCTCAGAAACTAAAACCGTTTCTGGTCACGTATACGTCGACAACTATTTTAAACTGTACGTAAACGGGGGATTCATAGCAGACGACACTCTGTTTATTCCCCATACCGCCACCGCCGTCAGCTTCGAGGTGGAGGATGGCGGAGAGAACGTGTTCGCCATTTGGGCAGCGGACAACGCGGATAACCTGACAACTCTGGAGTACAATGACACCCAAGTGGGAGACGGCGGGCTAAGAATGATCCTTGATGACGGTGAGCGTGGTCCCGAGTTTTGGAACAGAGGGGGAAGGGCGGCTTAGGTCACAACGACAGTTATTCTTATTTATTTATTTATTTATTTATTTATTTATTTATTTATTTATTTATTTATTTATTCGATGGGCTCTAGACTTTTAAAAATTGAACTTTATATCGAAGCATTCTCCGTTGTTACCTATTTGACATGTGTCAGCCGTAGATAGGTCTACTTCATGCCCCTACCTAACGCGAGGAATGTGATAATGTTTTTTACATATACATATATCAACTCCAGCTTCGTTGAATGCAAGAGTTCAATGTACTGTACAACTGTATATACTGAATCTCGTTACGCTAGAGAGAAATTGGCATCATCGCCTGACCTAAGATATAGTATGCAGAGGTGAACTAAATGTAGTCCCGTAAAGAGTGAGATTACTGTAAATATGAAATGTGTAAACAGGAGTAAAGAAATCGATGCAAATATTTACTATTGTATTGTGTACCCTCTTCTGTGGTACCTGTATACGCTCTCTTTAATTCAAACATACACCCACAGTTAAAATGTTAGTACTAGATTGACATAGGGGAGACCAGGGCTAGTTGGACCCCGGGGTAAGTTGCCCCCCCCCCCCATCAATTTATGAACAAGTAACTATGGGGTAAAAGAATTGATCACATCATTTTGTAAAGTGACCGTATCCAATAGTGCTAAGAAAGCGTCGGCAGTGAGTCCAAATGAAATAATTTAGCATCTTAAAGTAACTTTATTAAAGAGACTTGACGGGGGGCCAACTTACCCCGGGGTCCAACTAGCCCCGGTCTCCCCTACAGTAATCGTAATAATTTGTACTCGTATAAACTTAATCCAAGAGTTTTCAACAATATATTTTATGTTAAGGCACGGTTACCAGCTCAGCGTGGAAATGTAAGACGTTCTTCAGGGGTCCAATAGACCTGAACTGTGCCTCGGGCCCGAAACCTTGGACCACTTGCCGTGGCGAGCACTTCACCATGCCAGAAAACTGGTACGATACTCCTATCCTCCTCTCACTTATTACACAAGGTATCGGTATACTGCCTCGGTGAACGTTAAGCTGGACTATAGGGACATTTTAGGGGTATTTGGAAAGTATCCGAATGGTGTTACATATCTTTAAAATATTTACTAGCTGACAATTTGATTAACAGGATAACTGAAAAACAACTCTGTCGATGCTTTTCTGAGTCCAAATGTTTTTCATATGCTTAATGTTAGAAGCAATATATATGAAACTGTCTTATGCCCAGGTATATTCACTATGGATACGATTACTTGAAAACTGAAAAATCCTTCTTCCTAGTTACCCTTTTTCTTTCTTCCTTATTCTGTTTTTCTCGTTCATCTTGTTTCTTTTTTCTACAACCCTTCTTTATTTTATACTATTTTGTAGTTCCTCTGTGTTATAAATTAATCTTTATTTGTTGATGTACATGTAATTTTTAATTGTGCAATTCAGTGTATTGATTTCTAGCAGAGTTGATGTGAAGTATAATTCTCCCCTTCACTCCGCAGGTGGACCAAAAATTTCACTGCGGACGATACCTGGGTCTCCGCCACCGAGTTCACGGACCAAGAGGTAGGGTGGGGGCGAGCGCCACAGGAAGGGGAGGGCATCAACCCTCGGACTATATCTTGGGGTCAGTCCAAGTTCATCTGGACAAGCTCCCTGCTGTATGACAACACTGTCATTTGTCGATACACGACACCTGCGACAACTGGGGACGGGACGTCACAAAGGACACGACTTTCAGGGTTGACCTACGCTGTGATGTTTTTGTCATTGTTGAGCAAATTATTTTAAATTTCGACTTCTAGTACAGATTTCATCTACTGTGCACAGACCCTATACCAAGACGACTGAGGGATTCATTTCACAGCTGTTGTGTGTCCGTTTTCACTTGCGCACGTTTTTGAGATGGCTCATTTGCGTGTGTCCCTATGTGCATGTGCGCATACTTTATGGGAGCTAGTATACCTGTACTCCATTGTGTATTGGTTTGCGCTTGTGTAACAGACTGGACAGCAGGCAGTGGACCAAACATGAGTCGGTGGCGTGAACGGCTGCAGTTACTTTCTACTCATAATATTTGTTTATTGTTGTCACGAATAAGCATCTTTATAAAAATGTGGTTCGGACCAACGACAAAAACCAAGTAAATAAGTCTAGCACAATGTCAGCCTCACATATACATGTACATGTACTTGTCTAACCAGAAAATAAAAGGCAGGAATAAAGAAATTACGCAGAATTGTCTTGTATATCAAAACGATTACCTACGTCATTAAGGGAGAAAATCTACGAAAACCTAGAAAAAACTTAGCCTTCACTTAGTTTGGTAAATAAATGTGGAGCTCACATATACCGGTACGTCTTATTTTAAGAAAACTGAATAATACATGTGCTTTAAGTTGATAACTTCAAATATATTATAATTTTCATATAAGAGAAAAAAACTGGAGTAAATGCCTTAGATTTTCAAAATCCATTTGTTAAAACGCTGTCATAAACGCGGAGAGCATACAAAGGACACTATTGTGTCAACTGTATGTTCCCCTTTTGTCTGATATATATATCTATATATATACGCATGCAGTGTGGAATCAAGTGGTCAGTGTCATCTATCATTTACATCAAAATTGCAGCTACCACGCATTAAATGGGGCGGAACAACACCTAAATTATAGTTATTTTGAAATGGATATTCCAATACAAGATGCAGGCCCGTAGCCAGCAATTGAAAAAGGGGATTCTTTTTCGGAAAATGTAGGCCTTTATTTCGTGAAACCCACGTTTACCTGGATAAAATTTACCTAGAGTGGACCTTTCTCCAACAAAAAGGGGGTTTCTTTCGAACCCTCGAACCCCCCTCTTGCCAGGTGCCTGAAATGTATTAAATATTTACATTGTTATATTTTATTCAAAATATGGTTGGCTGTGACGAGATTACGTCTCTCATGCAAATGAGCATCCAAGTGGGCTTTTCTTGTGCCTAGACTTTGACTTGACATATAGTGAAATAAACGAGCGTGTGGAGACGGGAAGAATGCGCCTATTTACGAAAGTGGTTCTATTTAGTATTATCCTAATACATGTGGGGCTGTCTACCTCAGAGGCTAAAACCGTCTCTGGACACGTATACGTCGACAACTATTTTCGCTTTTACGTGAATGGAGAATTCATCGCAGAAGACACGCTTATGAAGCCGCACGTCGCCATTGCAGTAAGCTTCGACGTGGATGATGGCGGGGGGAACGTGTTCGCCATCTGGGCGGCGGATTACGCTGACAACCTAACTGCTCTGGAGCACAATAATACTCAAGTCGGGGACGGCGGGATACGGGTCGTCCTTGATGACGGTGAGTGCGTGCCGGAGGCCAGTTAATGTGGTACAGAGTCGAGGTTTGAAGCGCGACTGAACGGGAGGGTCGCGCAACTTTGTACTTACTGTATATTAATTTATTTGTTTGTTTTTTGTTTGGTTTGCGAAAGGGTACAGCTGTGCAAAGGGTAGGGGTTAGCTTGGCCTTAATTACCATACCTCCATGTCATAGCATTTTTTCTTATTTTACGTACAAAATGCTAGGTCAGTCCACGCTCGGCTGTCACTTTGATTGGATAGTAAACGATTGTCGTAAAATCGCTAAATGATATTAAAACCGGGTGCATAAACTTGAAAACCACCTAGGACAACCTTGGACTGCCACATTAATCCAATACAATGCAAAAATAAACTATAACAAGTGGTTAAAGCCTTCAAGCCGAATGTCGTAAAGTCCNACTTGACACTAACCTTTTCACTGTAGCCTATCTCCATCGTGTCAAGTAACCTCTGACGAAAATAGTTTGACCTATTTTATATAAGCCAATCGAATCCATGTTTCAAAATTTTTCACCAAAGTTTGGTGAAAACGCTGATTGGTTGATCGTCAATCGGCAATCCTCGGCTGATTCCGCAAGCTCCATACTAACAACATAGTTATTGTCGAGTGCGGAGACATCCGAGTAGTTCCGAGTGCATAACCGTACACAAAGAAAGCATGGAGTATATCGGAATTGAAACCAGAGGAGTATGATGCCCTGCATCATTATCTACTGAGGGATGATTTATTTTGCGTGCTGCCCACAGGTTACGGCAAGTCCCTGATATTCAGCCTTATCTTTGATTGGTCCGGATTTGAACAAAGCGCGCTTTGACTCGTTCGCGTTCATTGGCTAGATCGTTCAATGAGTCATTGAGTGCGGGCTTTAAATTTGATTGGCGGGCGGCGGGGGCACTCGAATCTGGTCAGAGGTTACTTGACACGATGGAGATAGGCTACAGTGAAAAGGTTAGTGTCAAGTTAGCTCTGAAGCTCAGGGTGGGTGACAGCCGAGCGTGGGTCAGTCGTACCCTCTACCAGGGCGACTGAAAGATTTTTACGGATATTCACAGATATGTCATCTAGCTAGAGACATATCTGTGAATATCCGTAAAAATCTATCAGTCGCCCTGGTAGAGGGTAGGTCAGTCGTATTGTCTGGCGTCAGCTGTAGTCCAGTCTAATTCCCCTGATGCACCACCTTGAAATTTGTTCGTATTAAATGGACATTCTTCTTCTTCTTCTTCTTATTATTATTATTATTATTATTATTATTATTATTATTATTATTATTACTCGTATAAACTTAATCCGAGAGTTTTAAACAATATATTTTATGTTAAGGCACGGTTACCAGCTCAGCGTGGAAATGCAAGACGTTCTTCAGGGGTCCAATAGACCTGAACTGTACCTCGGGGCCGAAACCTTGGACCACTTGCCGTGGCGAGCACTTCACCATGCCAGATAATTGGTACAATATTTAATCTCCTCCTCATATTTGGTACACTGCCTTGGTGAACGTTAATAAAACTGACCTATGGGGAATTTTCTTGGGGTTATTTGAACAGTATCAGAGTACTTCACCCAGCCAGATAACTGGCAATGGACTCGTTACTTCTTCCCTACCCTTTCAGTTGAACATTTAACTGTATTTAGCCAATCTTCCTGATGATTTCTTAAATGATAGGCAATAAATCTTCGGAGTATGAAAAACTGTCAGTCAGATTGTTTTGATATCTGAAGTTTTTTCGTTCCCATCATTCAGTTCACCCATTCAGTCACTGTTCTTTTTCCACGTCCTTTTTTTTTCCTTATTCAACAATTTTTAGTTTAGAGACTGTGTTCCATATTACCACGTTATCCATGTGTAACTTCAGGTGCTTTAGGTAATAATTTATTCGAATTTATTCTACTGAACCGTACATATTTCCGTTTCACTCCGCAGGTGGACCAAAAATTTCATCACCGACGATACCTGGGTCTCCGCCACTGAGTTCACGGACGACGTGGTGGGTTGGGGGGTTCCGCCCCAGGAAGGGGAAGGGAGAAACCCTCAGACCATCTCTTGGGGTCAGTCCAAGTTCATCTGGACAAGCTCCCTGCTGTATGACAACACTGTCGTCTGCCGATACACGACACCTGCGACACCTGGTGGCGGGACGTCACTTGGGACACGACTTTCAGGGTTGACCTACGCTGTGATGTTTTTCTCATTGTTGAGCAATTATTTTAACTCCGAGTTTTAGGACAGCGTTTGAGGTGGCAATGACCTGAACAATTAGGTACTACGCTCTTTGTGACGGTTGAACCATTTAATCACCATTGTATGTTTTCAAAGGCGCAAAGTGAGAGGGTGTAATTTTTTTTTTTTTTTTTTTTTTTTTATACTTCAACCTGACCGGAATTCTCTTACTGCATTAAATCAACTTTGATAGAATGCTTATCCAGGTCGAAATATTGCTGAGTTATTCATTCCGTGTGATACACATGTAACACACACATGGTCGTCATCTATAGGACATTATATGAAAATGCATTAAAGTGAATATGTGACATTTATGATTCCCTTTTTGCCATTATCTACAGTAAAAAAGATGCACCTACAAGTGTTTTTGTCTTTTCAGATATAAGGTTTTATTGAAATTCTTTTTGACATTTAAATATTCTGTAGTAGCCTTAGCACTTGGATATTTGATATTGTTACTGAATTTTAAGCCATTGTACATGTGAGTTTTATTAATGATATATAATAATAAAAATCGGTTCTTTACATCTACATGAAGAAGTCCATATATGGTTGGCAAAGCATGCTGAATACCTAAGTAAAATACTTTAAATGCATGTTTTAGTGCGGGGTAAGAACCTTCTGGTATTAGGTGTGATAGGGGGGACTACGAAGATAAACCCTCTAACACAAAGCTCAGTTATTTGAATGTTTATGATTCAGTTCGATAAAAAAGCAAAACTGGGCATCAGGGATACCTTCAACCCAGTGGCGAATTAAGAGCGAGTCAGGGGGGTCCTGACCCCCCACCCCCACCCCCACCCTTCGTTTTCTCGTCTCCTCTTGAAATTATAATTTTGACAAGCCGAATCATAGTTCTAAACCGTACCAAATGGCACCGTTCGCCCTCTAAAATACCAAAATGGGGGTGGGGGAGGTCGGCTTAGCATCTGCAGACCCCTCCTTCCAAGAAAAGAATTCAAAGACAAAAACAATACAATACAAAACAAAACGCAGGCAAATCTAGGGCATATTATTATTATTATTATTATTATTATTATTATTATTATTAGGGTTGTCGGAAAACCTTCAAAGTACTTAGGAAAAGAAACATTGCCACCGCCGTGATGTCAAATACCAAACTCAGATTTCTCGTTGTACACACAAAATATCAGTCAAACTAGAACCATAAGGTACGTACCATCAAACACACGAGTTGGGAACACACTAACGGGGGCGGTGTGACAGCGGCGCTAGTAGGGGGCAGCACCAACAGCAGTTCTCGATTACTGGCGACACGGACACCTAGCGCCGCCAGTGCACACTACATCTTTCAAAAAAACATTTTAATGAGTAAAATTAAAAAGTGAAACAATAATATAATTCCTGTGTTTATGAATCTAGATTAGTTTTACTATCCGCCACCAGGCTGTCCTGTGAGCTGACGTCACTCATGCAAATTAGATAATTTTTAATGCCTAGCCAGTGAATCAAATCAGAGTAAAACACCGTGCATGACAGGAAGACGACAGAAATCATGCCTGTTCTGAGAACAGAGGCCCAAATTCTATTTATTTATTTGGCAATAGTGGGAGTGAATTTCTCAGAAACTAAAACCGTTTCTGGTCACGTATATGTCGACAACTATTTTAAACTGTACGTAAACGGGGGATTCATAGCAGACGACACACTGTTTAAACCCCAGACCGCCACCGCCGTCAGCTTCGACGTGGGGGATGGCGGAGAGAACGTGTTCGCCATTTGGGCAGCGGACAACGCGGACAACCTGACAACTCTGGAGTACAATGACACCCAAGTTGGAGACGGCGGGCTAAGGATGGTCCTTGATGACGGTGAGCGTGGTTTCGAGTTTTGGAATCTGGAACAGAGGGTGTTAGGGCGGCTTAGGCCACAAAGACAATTATTCCTGTGGATTTACTTATTTATTTATTTATTTGTTTATCTATTTGTTTATTTATTTATTTATCTGTTTGTTGGGGTCTACACTAATATTAAACCTTATATAATATCGAAGCATTCTCCGTTGTTACTTCATGTTACCGCGTGTATCAGCCGTAAATAGGTCTACTCAATGCCCCTCCCTACCGCGGCGAGAATGATATTGTTTTTTACATATACATATATCAACTCCAGCTTTGTTGAATACAAGAGTATAATGTACAACTGTGTGTACGGAATCTCGTCACACTGGAGAGAAACTGCTATCTTCGCCTGACCCGAGATGTAGTATGCAGAAGTGAACTAGGCCAGTAAAGAGTGAGATAAGTTTAGATATGAAATGTGGGATCTCTTGTATAAACAGGAGTAAATAGATATTAACTGTTGCATTGTGTACCCTCCGCTGTGGTACCTGTATATGCTGTCTATAATTCTAGCAGACACCCACAGTTAAAATGCTACATGTCGTACTAGATTGACATACATGTACAGTTATCGCAGTAATTTGTACTCGTATAAACTTAATCCAAGAGTTTTAAACAATATATATTATCTTAAGGCACGGTGACCAGCTCAGCGTGGAAATGTAAGACGTTCTTCAGGGGTCCAATAGACCTGAACTGTACCTCGGGGCCGAAACCTTGGACCACTTGCCGTGGCGAGCACTTCACCATGCCAGAGAACTGGTACGATACTCCTATCCTCCTCTCACTTATTACACAATGTATCGGTATACTGCCTCGGTGAACGTTAAGCTGGACTAAAGGAACTTTTCTTTGGGTTATTTGATGCTGTTGATATCTTCAAAATATTTACTATCTGATAATGTGATTAATAGGATATCTGAAAAACAATTCTGTCGGTGCTTTTCTGAATTCAAATCTTGTTTATATACTTAATGTTAGAATACATATATACATGTAGATATATTCACTATGGATGCGATTACTTGAAAACTGAAAAGTCGTTCTTTCGTCCCTTCTTCCTAGTAACCCTTTTTCTTACTTCTTTATTTTATTTTTTCTCATTCATCTCGTTTCCTTTCTACAACCCTTCTCTATTTATACTATTTCGTAGTTCCGTGATATAAATTAATATTTCTTTATTGATATACATGTAATTTGTAATTGTGCAATTCAGTGTATTGATTTCTAGTAGAATTGATATGAAGAACATGTATAATTGTCCCGTTCACTCTGCAGGTGGACCAAAAATTTCACTACGGACGATACCTGGGTCTCCGCCACCGAGTTCACGGACGAAGAGGTAGGGTGGGGGCGAGCGCCACGGGAAGGGGAGGGCATCAACCCTCGGACCATTTCTTGGGGTCAGTCCAGGTTCATCTGGACAAGCTCCCTGCTGTATGACAACACTGTCGTCTGCCGCTACACGACACCCGCGACACCTGGTGGCGGGACGTCACTGGGGACACGGCTTTCAGGGTTGACCTACGCTATGGTGTTTTTGTCATTGTTGAGAAAATTATTTTAACTTTCGAACTTTTGAGACATCTATCGAAGTTGCAGCGACCTGGACTGTTAGGAACTACGCTCTTTGTGACGGTTTAACCACCATCGTATGTATTCAAGGCCGCAAAGTGTGAGGGTGTTATGTGTATTTTTCAACCTGATCGTCATTCTCTGGCTGCATTAAATCAACTTTGATAGAATGCTTTTCCAGGTCGATATATTGCTGAGTTATTCATTCCGCGTGATACACATGTAACACACACATGGTCGTCATCTATAGGACATTATATGAAAATGCATGAATATTAGTGTGACATTTATGATTACATTTTTGCCATTATCTACAGTAAAAAAAGATGCACCTACAAGTGTTTTTGTCTTTTCAGATATAAGGTTTTATTGAAATTCTTTTTGACATTTAAATATTCTGTAGTAGCCTTAGCACTTGGATATTTGATATTGTTACTGAATTTTAAGCCATTGTACATGTGAGTTTTATTAATGATATATAATAATACAAATTGGTTCTTTACATCTAGAAGTCCATATATGCTTGGCAAAGCATGCTGAATACCTAAGTAAAAATACTTTAAATGCATGTTTTAGTGGGGGGTAAGAACCTTCTGGTATTAGGTGTGATAGGGGGGACTACGGAGATAAACCCTCTAACACAAAGCTCAGTTATTTGAATGTTCATGATTCAGTTCGATAAGAAAAGCAAAGACACTATATACAGGGGTAGTGTGACAGCTGCGCCAGTAGGGGGCAGCACCAACAGCGGTTCTCGTTTTCTGGCCACACGGACACCTATAGCGACTCCAGTGCACATTACATCTTTCAAAGAACCCTTTAAATGAGTAAAATTAAAGAGTGAAACAAAAATACCCGCTCAATGTAATTCTGGTGTTTATGAATCTACGTGTGTGTGTGTGTGTGTGTGTGTGTGTGTGTGTGTATTAGTTTTACTATCCGCCACCAGGTGCGCCACTGCAGTGTAGCATCAGCTGATGGCTGCTCGGAGTTACGTGTACCTCAGCCGCGGCATCCGCAAACTAGTCTCTACATAGATAACAAATAATGCCTTGGCACTGAATCAGCATTTAAACCATCTGTCAGACCACAGGAGGCAATAGCACACTAAGAAGGGGGATCCGAGTTTTTCAACAAGTGATTATTTGAAAATCATTTTTCACATTAAAAAATGAAGACGAAACATTTCGTCTTCTGCCTGAGCTTAGTCGTGGTATTTTCATCGCTCCCCAACAGCGTTTCAGCACAAGGGCGGGGACTAGGAGATCTTCTGAAAGGATATCTCGATTCAGATGTCGTGAAGAATCTTCTCTCGCCGGAGTACCTGGGAAAAGTCTTGACCGATCTGACTTCTCAGCTTCCTCAGCCATTGCCGGCTTTCGCCCAAAACTACAAGGACGCCATCATCAAGGCTGTGGTTTCCCAGCTGAACAACACGGACCAAATCACCACAGCTCTTAACAACGCCGTCCCCGATGTCTCCAAAGTTGGAGAACAAATCATCCCGTTACTAGCCTCCCAGGGGACAGCGGTTGCGGATTTAGTTCAGTCGTTGACCTCGGGCGCTGGTACCGGCGGAGGCAACCCGTTGGCGGTACTGCAGAACGTGGACTGGGACTCGCTGGTACAAGTGGCCCTGCCTAGCGCCCTGAACGCCGTCCTGCAGCCTATATCGGGGTACTGCGCCATAGATATTAGCTACATGTTGCAAGGACTGGTAAAGACAGAAGGTTGGGCACTGCAGAGTAAGTAACTTCTCGAAGAAAATATGAAAAATAACTAGTTATATTCTATGTGTCAGGAAAGCTGTATGGTCATTTTAGATGGCTGTATTTGGTGTAAAATATGCCAAAACACTTCAAAGCACCATAGCAGCACCATGTCCACATGCGGTTTTTTTCTCCAAATAAAACCATTCTGAAAACCCCATTATACCTGGCCCAGCAACCGACTCATGGTGACTTAATAATAACTGACATTACGAACGTGACAAATTATCAGTTACTTGTTTGTTTTGGGCAAATATTTCGATAACTTCCCCGATAACTCACTTACCTAAATGTTTAATTGAATGGACTTCGAACCCTTGAAGATTGTAGCGTCGCAACTGCGACCACACCCTTAGGTTCAAATGGTTTGCGGGCGGCGACTCCCGGCGTATGTTGTGCGAAGGGAGAGTCACCGCCAGTGCTGGGAGGTTCAGGGTGCCAAGCGCTTAACCTGTTAACATACCGGGTATGCGCGGCGCGATGATAATCATGGCAATAAGTTAATCGTAGAGGATAATACTTAAGATGTATTTAATGGTGATAAGTTTTATTTGCGTTTAATATTAGTAACAAACCTGTCGAATTACAGCTTGTCTGATGAACATGTATAATCGTAGAGGAAAAAACAAATATTCCATAGGGTACAGCTGATTCTGTGAGATCTTCGTAGACGCCGAATGGCGAAGCCATTTTTATGCCAATATTTAAATACGTTTTGCACGTTTTGGAATGTAGGTTTACTTATACTGTTGTTAATCAGAGGTTTACGTTATCTTTTGGCACACCTCAAAAATCAACACGACAGGTGTCACTTGCTCGTGTTTCCAACACCTGCAGTGAGAGTTCGCCTGCGTTACACCCCCCCCCCTTCACACGCATTTACCACACACATACATATATACGCGCGCACGCGTAAATACCCGTCAACTGTCACATGCTTATATAAAAATACGACACGTGTATAAGAAACGGACAATGAAACCAACGTCAGTCAATGATATGTTTGATAAATAAACGTTGTACTGCTTTGCACATGTAGTCTCTTTGATAGAGGCTTACTGTTCAGAATTCACCCATATTCCCGTGATATCACTTATCATTTGTGGGTAAATACCACATGATTATCATTATTGACAATTATTTGCTGATGCCACCTCAAGTATGTCAAGAAGATTACATACATATTGTGTATCTTGCCTGGTATGTTGCCAGTACTTGGGAGAGTGGAAGTCGCGCGCGGTTTGTTTATTTATTTATTTACTAGCACACTGAGTTTTTTCCGTCATAGAGCACCCTTTGCCTCATTTTGTGTGTGAGGCTTAAAAAGCATGCTTTAATAAATCACCATCCCTAACAATCATCCCCAAAATGTTAGCCAATTAAAACTATAAATCTGTTCTAATAAGAATATTACATGTAAAATATTTTGCCTTGCAGTGCTGGACGCCTTCGGGAAACCAAACACTGGTTTACTGTTTGGTGACACACAGTGGCTCGGGCAATACGAGCAGTGTCTGAGAGTCGAGGCCAAAATAGCGTACGTATTTGGTAATTGATTTATCTGTTAGGGTGATTCAGTTCATCTTCTCGTTATCAGTAAGACGGAAGAACACGCGAGACGCTCCAAACGGGGATAAAGATAAAGATAGTGGGTAGAGTGTTTGTATCAAAATAAATCGGGTTTTGTAATTGAGGGCCACCTCAAATAAAAGAAAACTATAATCCAGATTGAGAATAACGCTGTTCAAAATTTAAAAATTGATCAAGGATATGCATTAAAATCAATTCTAATGCCCTAGACGTTTGATGTTAAAGACATTCTTAATGTAGATTTCCATCTTACTTCTATTTTTTTCAAAGAAATTCCAAAATCAGCATACCAACTGGAGGTGGAAACCACTCGTTCCATGGTGACTACTGCAAGCTGTCCATGCCGGTACCGCCTGCTCTGTTTGCTGGTGCTATTGATGATGGCCAAGAAAAGGTATGAGTACACATGAATGTTTCTCTTTTTGCTTTTCATTATTATTATTATTGTTTTAATAAATTTAAAAATAAAGCTGTCCTGTCGGTGTTTGGGCTGGTCATACTGGTAGGGACATTACTCGAGGGTCTCGGTATCGATAAAACATTGACCACAGCGTACGCAAAGAAGGCAAATGAAAGCGAGGTAAACAAGCGGCGTGAGCTCGAGGGGACCGACAACACTGAGCGGTAATAGTAATATAAGACGATTGTGGTCCAGTACCCGCTTTTTTTTCTACGAACTTTATCGCGTTGATTCTTCTTATGAAATCATTGCGGTATAGATCCCAGTGTTCATTTATAGGTTGATAAAGCGACCGTTACCTGTTTCAGGTTGGTGACGTGGCGGACACAGTTAAGTTAGCTCTGGGGATGTGTCTTCCCGCCTCGTGCTCGTCTCAGGATGTCAACCAAATTGTGAAAGGTACATTTACTTATCCACTACTGATATTAGAATAGAATAGAATAGAATGCTGTTTTATTATTGTGACAAGGGTATACCACGACCGCATTATCTGCCAGTCCTCGTATATACAGTATATGACAATTGAATGAATAATAAAAAGGATAAATGGTATTGCTATTATATCCTGACTTCTATACTTTTTTCGTATGGTCGTTGTTTTTTCCTTTCATTTTATAATACTTTATTCTTGTGTGTATCTCTTTTTCAGTACTGATGAACCTGACGAATGCCCAGGATCTAGCGGCTGGGACCACGGTGGTGTGTGACCAGGACAAGAGGCCGGACCTCAGCACGGACACCAGGGCACAAGTCTGCATGTAAGTAATCATAGAATAATGATATTTACTGTAGATGTCGCTACTGTCCCCGCCTTACTCGCCATTATGTACAGTATACTATATACCAGTGTGGGCCATTCCAAAAAAAGCGAGTCACCCAGTCGCGCCAGTGACGAAAATATTTTGTGCAATAATTACATAACTGTTTTAAATCAAGGTTTGCTTACTGGTGATTTCTTTCTATTGTGGATGGTACTGCACTGAAGTACATGTATTAAACAGTAAAAATAATGGGACAAGTTAAAAATATTACAATTTTACAGAATAGGCGAGCGTCGCTGACGTGACTCAAATGTCTTCTTTTTTTTTTTTTTTTTTTTTTGGAATGACACATTATTGAACTTGAAAATATGGAGAAAAAGCAGTGTTAGTGTAAAAGCAATATTATTGTTAAAGTTGTTCTACTTTTTCGGAAAAAGTATGCTAAAACATCCAGTCACATTAGTTATGACATTAGATATTAAGTTATTGCATGCCAATTTATCAGTGTCTTTCCTTGTGATCATTTATCAATTCTTTAATTCAAAAATTGTTCTTTTTTTCGAACCAAGAATGCAGATACACCTGTGGGTACATTCCTTAATACGTTAACTTGTATCTATAGGTATTTTTCTTTTTTCTAATAATTTATCTTTTTATTAATTTTATTCTAAAAGAGCTGTCCTGTCAGTGTTTGGACTGGTCATACTGGTAGGGACATTACTCGAGGGTCTCGGTATCGATAAAACATTGACCACAGCGTACGCAAAGAAGGCAAATGAAAGCGAGGTAAACAAGCGGCGTGAGCTCGGGGGGACCGACAACAAGGCGTTCGTCTCTGAGGAAAATCACATAGAAATGACAGTGGTTGATAACGGTGTACAGAAACACGGGGAAGGTAAAAAAGTAGAAATTCAGTTTATCTCAATTTGTTATAAATTAATGTAGTTCTTTAAATGAACAGGCCTATTTTCAATTTCAATTACAATTGTTGTCAGTGACTTTACATTTACAAGGTAAATTTTTTAAACGTCGCAGTTTTACACTGAAACTTAGGATATTATTAACAAACCATACATGTACTTTTATGCTTAATTCGCGAAACCGTTTAACATACCTTTCTGTCGAAAATAGATCCTTGATTATATGATTATATTTATATTAATTTTTAACTATGTTTAGCTAACGGTGATGTTACCAAGCACAGCATGCAGACCAATGGCACCGCCGGAAAAACCAAAGCTGCGGAGTCTGCCCAGCAAAAGACTTCGAAGGACCCGAAAGGTGAAGCGGATATTTTACATGACCTTAATTATTACAAATTTGTCAATCTATTTAATTCTACAATAACTTCTAAGTACAATCCACACGAAAGACAGTTTCTCCCGTAAAATGATATGTTTAAGCACCGCTTTCTTTTGCTTTACTTTCAGCGCCACTGGCAATCCGCCTCCTCACTTCTTTCTCTCTGTACTCTTCTCTCCCACGTCTCCTGGATACGCACCAGGGGCGCGGTGCAATCACCTGTCTAAACGGGATACGAGTTCTAAGTATAGGCTGGGTGGTACTGGGACACTCGTACTCGTATATGGTGTCCACCATCGGCGTGTTTGCAGGTATTGGTCAGACGATTTTAATTGCATTCAAAGTTACTAGTTTCTTCAAACAACTGTCGAAGTCAGAATGGTATTTATCACCATTCCAATAATTCACTGCTCTTCTTGGGTAGAGGATACAATAAATTCCACATGATGGTGTCTTGTGAGACACTGAAATGTCGGATAAGGAAAACCCTGCATTAGCTGCTGTTAGAAGGAACTGCTACTGTAACTTTTTTTAGTTCTGCAAATGAAAAATCGACTGTAAATTTAAGAATAAAACGACAGGGACATACACTGTCGTCATAGTTTATTGATGAACGTTTAGGTAAACAAGTGTATTCCAAATAACGATCAACCGATCTGCATGTTAATTTATACACACCGTTTCTTGTTTGGGGATATAGAATATGTTCTTTTTTTAACTTTACATCTCAACATAAAGTATGTAATTAAGCGACTGGTTGGAGGAAATCAATGTACGCCCTTGAAATGGCAGCATTTTGACGCTACTGGTCTGTTGTTTTTCTCTTTCAGCAAATCCACTTTTTGCATGGGATGAATCAACGAGGTTCTCCTTCATAGCTGTCACCAACGCCTTTTTCTCTGTGGATTCGTTTTTCTTATTGAGGTGAGCCATAGCATGGTTACTTTATGATATGCAAGCGTATCTGTGTGTTATTTGTCTGCATGTCTGGCACTAATGTAATCTTGTTGTCTCTCCACATACTGTAGATGGATAACTTCTGACCTTATTAACACCGTTCTTCTGCCATTTTTTGTGTGCATTTATCTGCTTTAGATATTATTTTAACCTGCTTTTAAAGCATGCATTGTTCATTGCGTCCAAAAAGGTAATATTGAAATAGAGTTTAAAACTACATAGATATTTTAAGAAACTTTATTACCATTAAACATTACTTATAAAGGCATTAGGATTGCAATCAATAAAACAATAAAATGTTTTGTGTATTTATTTATTTATTTATTTTGCAGTGGTGTTCTTGTGGCTTACCTCTTTCTTAAGCAGTTAACAAAACAGCACGGTGTCCGCTGCAAAACTATGGTACTCTATTACATCCACCGATATTTGAGGTAAGTACATATATAATATAATATAATATAATATAATATAATATAATATAATATAATATAATATAATATAAGTAATGCACATTTTACATATCTTATGACTAAATGAGAAAGTCTACTTTTCCCTTACATGTAAATTTGATAAATATCATTCTCTTTTGCTTTACTTCAACGTTCTTTCTGCAAGATACTGCCTATCTGTAAGCGAATCTCTCTTTGACCAGATTTCCAAAAGTTTGTAACTTACAAGCTAGAAAACCAGCTTTCATAAACAAGTATTTTTACTCGAAAATGTACACTTAAACGCGAGTTACAACCTTTCGAGTATACTACGCTGTACGCCCTCTGGTCTCTAGCACACATGTTCTTTATATTTTCAGACTGTCGCCCATCTACTTCATGTTACTGTTTATATACGTGACCCTGAAGGACTACATGGGGCGTGGCCCTCTGTGGCGGGAAACGGGGTACGATGCCGAACAGTGTCGAAACAATTGGTGGACAAATATACTGTATATTAACAACTTTGTCTTTGCCAAGGAAGCGGTATGTTCACTTATTTCATTTAGGAAGTTAGTTACATGCATCATTATTTAAAAAAATTGGTTTCAATTATATAAGAGGAATTAACACTCTTTTCATTTCTGTCACTCAAACGGGAATTGAAGGTATCCTATATGCGATTTTCGCGCCATATAAAATTTAACTAAAAAAAATCAATTTCACCTATTCAACAGTCATTCGCCGTAGCCGTTTTTGTTCTTAGACTAGATGATTAATACCATTCCTAATTATATATTTCAGTTCAAAATTTGCAATAAGACCAGTAGGGTCTAGTCAGACAAGCATTTAGACCATTGAGGGATTTTAGCAGTTAGAAGAAGTAAAGAAAAAGTACAAGTTAATATTTTACTAGTAAATAAATCCATTCTTTTCAGTGTATGTCTTGGTGCTGGTACATAGACAACGATATCCAGTTTTATATCGTGGCGCCACTTTTCATGTTACCCTTATACTGGTAGGTACAGCTGTATACATACACATGCATGCATGTATAGGCCCCATTTCCACAGATTTGAGATCGATCTATCCCCGGGGGGAGTCTCACTAGATTACTGTCAGCTTAGCTGGCTTAAATGTCTGTCCCGCCTACTAAAAGCTGTAAGGGGGTAATTCACTTCCGTGCACGGTCGGCTGACAGCAATTTAGCGTGAACCCCCAGGGAGTTAGGTCGATCAAGTTGGATCGATCTAAATCTCTGGGAATGCGCTCTATATATGCGATTTGAAAATAACATGACGTGTTTACAAAGATTTCTTTTTTATGTCCCTTAAAAATTCAAAGTAATTCATTTCTATAGCGCTTAAAATTACAATGTGTATCCAATGTAATATGATTTATTAAATCAATGGCTATGAAACACCTGTTTGGGCTAATGATATGTCTTTGATTTGATCACGTAGGAAACCTGTTGTCGGGCTTGTGATACTGCTTTTGGGACTGATTGCCAATATTATAGAGAGTTACTTCACGCTGGCTGGGCTAAAAGCGCATTCATTCTTTCTTGGGTATGTACAGAATGTATGCTTTTCGTATTACACGTTCAATTGTTATGTTTGATACCAAAACACACCTTAAAATAATATCTTTTTTTACTGGATTATTATTTTATTTATTTATTTATTTATTTATTTATTTATTTATTTTGACAGTAGCCCTGCTTCTCGTTGTATCTCCTGAGAATTAGTACATGTACGTGACAAATCTCTTAGTTTAAACACACGGTATTACGCTCCGTTGTAGGACCTACTTCACATTTTTTTCTTCTCTTTTAGAGACGATTTCTACTATCACTACTACATTATTCCCTGGTGTCGTATCGGACCCTACCTGATTGGATTGCTGGTGGGATTCCTGCTTAATAAGACTCAGTGCAAGATAAAGATGAATAAGGTAAGACATTACTGACTCGAATTTCAAGGAAGTAACCCACGAATAAAGGACTTACAGACGGAGATCATATTGAAATAGTACAGATGGTTATGAAATTAACACTGACTGATTCCCCACTTCGGACCTTTCCGGAATCACGCGACGTTGCCCGAACGCAATTAGCAATGAGGAGATTGGAATATATGTGTAGAGTCGTTGTGGTGCCATTGGAGCACCCAGCCTTATCGGGTCCTGTTTCTGTGCATCTCAACAACACGAATCGAGGACGAAAATGTCGCGTTTTCTCGAAGTATGGATGATAGCCATACTGCTTTAGATGTACCAGGGGTGACGGACTCTTTATTTTATTTTTTATTTTTTAGTATGTTAGTGCATTGTGGGGAAATCGTTGCCATGATGAGCCATGCCTTGATTATTAAAAAAATAAATGAATCAAAAGTAACTGATCCATTTTTAATATATTTGCATCATTTCACAGTTTTAGTAAGGGTCTTGAAATGTCAAAAACATTTTGCATAGTTTATAGTTATTAAAACGAAGCAAAAATTATTTGAATCATCCTTTGAGAATCATCTTTTAGGTATATCTTGTCAACGATGTGAAATCATGCTTAATTTCCCTATGAGCACAAAAAAAAACTGTATCAAACTCGTGTTTTTAATATTTCTTTTCAGTATTTCGTTGCTCTGGGTTGGATAGTGTCCATAGCCTGCTGCACGCTGCTGGTCTTCGTGAAATACGACGACGTCAAAAATGGTCCTTGGTCCAAAGAAGGCTCCATCATGTACGAAATAATCAGCAAACCAATGTGGGGGTTCGCTCTCGGGTGGATTATCATTGCCTGTGCCACTGGCCACGGCGGTGAGGCATTTTTTACATTTATTTATGGTCTTAATTCATAAAGCTACAGTAACAGTTGTGTTTAGAAGGATGATGACTGCGCTTTTGGTCTGGATTGTAGGTGTCACAGTATTACTGCCATAATGGTGATATGAATCTCTTTTTTTCCCTTAAATCTGTAATTTTACAACTTATATTTTTAATTTTAAAATATTAAAAATATAAAAATACCCTTTAAAGAGTTAAGAATAACAATGAATGTAAAATCGTAAGCGTAAGTCGATAACTGAGAAAAATAAGAATGTATTTTTGCAGTTGTTTAGTTGGATGAATACTGAAATTTGAGACATCATTTTATTTCCAATATTTCAAACATTTCTTTTTATTATCGCGTATTCTTAATTATTTAAGCATTTACTGTAAATTCATTGCATGTTTATGTACATTTACTTCAGTGATGTGAATTGTCAATTTTGCAAATACGGATACTCATATATTTATTCTATTTTTGTGTATAATTTACAGGTTTTATTAATTCCATATTATCCTGGTCGTTCTGGGTACCCCTTGGGAGACTCGTATACGCGGTCTATCTCATCCACCCGGCACTTATACTAGTCTACCTTCAAAACCGTCCATCTGAAGTAGACATATCCGATTTTAATATGGTGAGTAAACGTGTAACAGAGAGAGAGAGAGAGAGAAAGAGTACAGGGACATGCATTTGCATGTGACTAATTGCTTAAGAATGATTATTTCCATAAATTCATTCACTTTAGTTTTATTTCATATAATTTTGTGTTACTTAATTCTGTTTCAATTTCATTCCAATTTTCGATTTATTTATTCTTCATTCTTCTTTTTTATTTTTCCAGGCCTTCTTGTTCAGTGGATATATGTGTTTATCCTTCTTGGGTGCCTTCGTGTTCAGTTTAGCATTTGAAATCCCCATGATGGGAGTGGAAAAGATCCTGCTTCACTGATGACTGACAGGCAAAATGATGTGTGAAAGTATGCTCACCTGAGCTTCCTGCATATACTGCATGTAGTTGAGCTTGTTGAGTATTTGATTATGTCGAGCATGCACTAGCGTATTGATGCATCTGCAAATGTACTTGCGTGTATATAAATACAGTTGTATAATGCAAATCAGTTAGCCATTGTGACAATATTATTTTCCATATGTGATCGTGGATGTTACGGGCCCATATTTGCCCTCGTTTTTGACAGTAACAATTAAGTGTCAACACCTTGGCCGAAAGAAAAGTACGGCCAGCATATTTAAATTACACCGACATTTATTATAGAGTGATCACTGACTTTGATACGCGTCTCGCTGGATTAATTGCAAAGACGCTTCAAAGCCAAAAACGTATACGACTATCCGACAAAATCCAGTTTTGAGACTAGACGCACTAGTAGCTTCAGGGGATTATCCTCAAGCTTAAAATTACATGTACGTGCGTTTAACATGTATTTACACAGGTATGGTATTGCAAATTTAACACTTAGTAATAGACAGGAAGAACATACACGCTTTTGGTGTGCACTCTTTTTGTGTTACTGTGATGTATATAAGTAGCCGTTTACTACTAGAGCCAACTTGGTGAACGCGCGTCTGTTACCACATTTAATAAAGGGTTATTTTTAGAAAATCTTTTTTTTTCTTTTCTCTCTTTCCACTGAGAACTACATTTCTTCTGCAAAATTTTCGAGACGCAGTCGTTTTGTCAACACCTTTATTATATCTGTATCAATCAGTAAACTGCCCTAGTACGAGCACGAAGAATCTCACAAAGCACTGATCTCTATATTTTTCCCTTCACCGGTTAAAATGTGGAGAAGTATTCTGATATAATATATATATCTTCCAATTGAGCTGTCTAACTCCATCTCAACCTACACATACACTTATATACTTTGACTGCTGTTTTCTAACCCTTGTTTTGTGGGTGAAGCATGCACCATAAATTACAAGTTAATTCCACACTGTCGTGCAGATATAACAGCTTTCCGTGGGATTTCCAGGATGAGCAATTACGTATCCACGGCTGTTGTATTCATATAGAAGTCGTAAATTTCTAACAATATTCATAAGCAAAACGAAAACGCTGTCCTGTATTTTTGATAAAACATTTAACTTTTCGATAAGTAAATTATCTTCGACGGTAATGATAGCCACATGTATTCCTCGTCTGGCAGGCAGTCGACTTGACTCTCAGGGAAGGCGAAGCTTAAACCTCGCTCCCGCCCCATGCTTCGCAGCCGAATCACTTTTGTGACGTCTTTCTGCAATGCTCAACGCGGCCCGAACGCTGACGTTGTAACACTTCGGGTCGGAGACCATCTTCAGCAGAAGGTTGCGCCTCACTTGTGCCGTCAGGTCGCTCTTGTCCGGGTAGACCAGAGGGACAGGGTGCTCGTAAAACACCTCATCATCTTCCGAACTGCTTCCAATCAAATCGCCGTTATCATCGCTTTCATTTTCCTCATTTTCTGTCTCTTCCTGCCCCTTGTTGCCGTCGCAGTTTTCAAGGATGTCGTTGGCGAAATCTGTGATGACGTGCCACGCATGTTCAATGTCGTCATCAATAGCGTGCTGTGCGCAGACTGCAAATCTGATGACGTACTTCTCATGAATCTTAGCGGGAACCATGTGCAGCTTTCCGGAATGGTTGATGTTACGCAACAAATTCTGGGTCATTTTGTTTGGACCCTTCAAATGAAAATTAGAAGAAAGCCAAAATCATTACCTCTGACTACCTTTGCCATATCTCAAACTTTATGTCACAGATAAAGTACATTGATGTTTTTAATTAAACGTTTGCAGCTTCACCAACCTTAAAACCCTAATATGAACCAGTTGAACTTAACAGTGCACTAAATGGTAATTTTTTTCTACACAGAAGTTAACATTTACAAGCACAGGTGCCCTGAGGGTTCACTCACCTTAAGTCGGAAACAGACCAACCCCATGGTCACCTGGCCAAGGATTTCAAATCTGGAGTCGGCGCGCACCAAGCCCTCAAAATGCTTGGCCAGCTGAACATGCTATAGAAAGAGAAAGTCGATTAATTACATTGTAAATAAACTGATCTTCAAAATTATCCTGTAAACAACACCATCAACACCTAGCATTTGTCGCTGTTATTAGCTTTGGATAAAAACCTAAGAAACAACAGATTATTTTTCTTTAAAGAAACTTATGCGTTGCATCATCCTGTGTACTAAGAACGTTATTTTGATAATGGTCACAATAACCAGTACTATACAAAATGATGACATTAATGAGTGAATAACAAATTTTCTCAATTGTTTTTTTATCAAATGGCAACTTTGATATGACGCGCGGGGAGAGGATTTCATGGAGTAGTTAATAATAATTTTCACGTTGATGCGCGAATAACGTATTCATATTTTAACACTTGACCATTTCTCTATTCATAGCAATAGCTACTCGTACATACGCTTTAGTGTATGTACTACCTCTCGTATGTACTTCTGTAGACCATCCACCCCATATGTCCTTATGACAAACCACAGTTTCAGTGCCCGGAAACGACGGCTTAGAGGGATACCCCAGTGCTGAAATGAAATAAAAAGAAAAGAAAAAAATCTACATGCATATGGATCTACATGGAGGATACATGTACAAGACACTTGAGCACATGCTAAAACTTTCCTTCACTGCAGCCGTATCAATGGATTACTGTGATCCAGTGCATTCATTTGCTTATTAAAAGAATTATCTATGTGGTACTTACCCTGAAGTCTATTGCCTGTCCTTTGTATGCGTGAAAAAAATACCAACAAAACTGTCTTGAAAAGCGATTACTGTCGGGAAAATGAAAGCTGATCGATGGATATGAACATTTCATGTGCACAAAACATTAAAGGCCAAATGCGTATAAAATAACTTTCATGTGCCGTGTATTGAGGATATTTGCGTTTACTTGGCGTGCCTTTTAGAGTGGAAGCGGATGGTGAGAGCAAAATAAACGATATTACGACACATGAATAACGTCTATACAAGGAGTAATTTAGAACGAAAATAAGTCTGCCTTGCGCTAATATCGGACAACCAGATGGCAAAGTAATGAGGAAGTCTGGCGGCAAGTTATGCCACACAAATTTAGTTATTTACATCTGAAATTATCTTCCCTACAGATTCATGTAAGAAAGCACACTTCCACGTCCTAGATTAAGTAAAACTTTATCGAAAAAAAAACAAAGAAAGTAGTGGAAATGACCAGCGCCACGACCACGCATTTTGAATCATTTTTAATTAAATCCTAGGCAGAAGTTCTTTTTATCCTTACTGCTTGGTAAATAACAAACTCTCGCTAAAGCCAAGTGCTGTTTGATGTGATAATAAGAACCCCTTTTATCATAATTGAATTCCATGGCAATAGAGATGATGTGTGTTGAATAAACGGGCATGGAATATTGCAGCGAAGAACGTTTGTGCTTTAACGTATAGTAAGGGGAACGGTTATTGAAAATACAAAGGGGAAGCCTGATATTGATATGCTACAAATGAGCATGTTAAATGTAATCTTAAATGAACAAAGAGTGTACTTTTAAAAAACATTAAAGACACATTAAGTTGAAAATTCAATGAAATGATTAGGCAAGGAATATAATGAAAATAACAATATTTCCAAATAATTCATTTTAGCGTTTAACACGTATTCAAACTAAATCATTATTCGGGTGTTTAGATTTTGATAGCATACCTGAGTGATGGTGTCGCAGATAGACTGGGTCCACAGTCAGGGCGTTCGTCAGGGCGTCTCTGTTACGTACCCTATGGTAATGAGATGTCATCGTGTTCAATATACGCTTATGCTAAATTCTACTGGTACGTGCATCTCTGTCAAGGTATATAATGTTCATCAAGTAAAGTAATAATAAGATTCTTTATTATTTTTATAGTAAAGATTGTAGAGATCCTTGAAAAATGACAGGAACAAGGGGAAAAAGTGGCAGAAAAATATTAAACCGATGATTACGGGGATTTGATCGGAAGCAGTTCGGAAGATAGCCCCTAATGGCGCATTCCATAAAAATCTCTATGTCCTTTGTACAATACATGTACCTAAAACAATAGAAAAATGCTGACAATGAACGCGCTATTAAACACAAAAATGAAGAGGGGGGTCGATACATGTACCAGCGGTTTGGAAATTGTGCATAAGATGCAACTTAATACTGTTTAAATTTCTGTACATGTATCTTTACTAAATATGTGAAACAGAGTTTTTTATTCTGTTTTTGACACTACCTCCAAATGAAACGCGATTTAAGAGATCCCATTTATTAAAGCTTAACATTGCTTTCTTATCACAATCAATATAATTACAACATCTGCTCATTTCAATCCACTTTTCACGGGGAAAGATTAGATACGCGCATGCGCACTCACCACATAGTTCGAGCAATCGAAGTTTACCAGAAGCCACTTGTTGGGGTTGAAGTTGAAAGAGTGAGCGTGCTGAAATAAATGTACACAGTTTAGCTTTCGCGATGGATAAGAGCCAAACAAAACAATTTTATATAAGTTTGGAAGCAAAATCGTTTATTGAATAATAATTTTAAAACCTTTTTATGCCATGACATGACCCCACGTACCTCAATTCCTTTGATAAGATGCTGGAATTCGGGACAAATCAAGGCACTTCCAGCGTAAGCGGCATCTATGTGCAGCCACACCCCCTCCCGCTCACACGCTGCCCCGAGCTCCTTAATGTTGTCAAATGAACAAACGGCCGTTGTTCCGAGGGTGGCACAGACCTGTCCATAGAGAAAATAATGACTAGAATTAGCTGTAAAATCAAATTAAAAAATCATCCAGTACAGTACATCGAGGAACAGACTAAACTAATATCACCGAATAACATTTTAAAATCACCGAGAAAAGGCCATAGTGAAATAAACTTTTTTTTTTTTCATTTTAAAATCACATTTAAAAATCGTCGATAAAAGACCATTGATAAAAACCAACTGCTTTTTAAGATTTAAAGTTACATTTAAATATAGATATTGCAGTATGCATGGACGCTTTGAAGCTTTGTTGTACACAAATATATCCCTTTAAACCTCATTGTTGGCAAAGACAACCACCGGAGCAGCGAGTACATCATGTATTAGTTTAAACAAGGAGTTATAACTGTTATAACTCCTTGGTTTAAATAACAATAATCATGATACGCATACAAGTATTTCTCTCTTTTTGTTTCTTTTCTTTCTTTTTACTACCGTTTTTGTACATACCCCGATACATCTTGTACTCTTTTCGCGTATAGTATAATATCCACTTTCAGAGCATTTCTAAACAAGTATATTACAATTGCCTTAGCTTTGGGATGCCATGTATCACTCACGTAAAATGGAATCAGCCCCAGCTTCCGGTCCTCCTCAATGGCCTTGACCAGAGTTTGACCCCGCAGTGAAAAATTCTCGTCAGTTGGTAGGTGGCGCATCTTTACGCAGCCTATCATTCCAGCCTTCTCGACACAAGAATGAGCCTGCAAAAAAGTTTCATTTTTTAACTGACCACTTTCCGAATCAAAATTTGTGAAAAAAAATCATTGTTATGCACATTTATAAAATATCTCTTTTACGCATGGATTAATATAAGAAATGACCACGTTTAAACAGTTTCTCATTATTTCGATCGACAGATGCAAACTTCTAGACAACGCCTTTTAATTACTCACCAGGGTAGAACAATAGGCCACTAACTTAGCTTGCAGCATACCGTCCTCCACAAAGGGATGGACGTCCTGCATCTGTTTGATGGCGTTGTGGCGGGCGGCCAGGAGGGTGACCAAGATGCACTCACTGGCCGAACCCTGGTCATTCAATGTACAGATATGTTATATAATGATGTGTAATATAATATATGCCATTGCATATAATCTATATATAATGTCTATGTCATTTTCAAAAGTAAATTATCATTTCTCGCTAAGAATTTGCCACTGTTTCTGTAAACACTACCCCCAGGCGACTTTATTCTTATCAAAAAAACTTTTTCCAATTCATTTTTTATTATTATTTGGGGCCATATCTGTACCTGTATAACGCCTCCGCCGACTCCGTTTTCGTGAAGAAAAACACTCGGCAATCCAATCATTTTACCTAGAAAATGGAGAGCGAGCAAACATGTTAACTGTGTCGGGAAAAGGGCAATATTTTAAAATTGCTAAATTGTTAAAACAACCATCTCATAAAATAATTCGTACTTGCTGATTATAGAAAAAAGAGTAAACCTACTCTTGCGTATTTTAAAATGCTATGTGCCTGTTTCAAACAAAAAATCATACTAAATAATTACACTGAATTAAGCATTAAACTAGAAAAGACACAACTGTATAAAAAGCATTTTAAATACTGATGTCTATAAGCGTTTGATTTTGACGAGAAACTGATAACATTAATATTTGGGTTCGTCACACCAAACTTCGATGCTGTGCATAAATGCTTAAGACTGTCCGCTTAAAAGATATCAGGTATTACAACCAGCCAGTTGTTCATCTTATAAATATTTCCTTTTGAGGGAAAATAAAATCAAAAGTAAAACTCTGGTCAAGATTAAATGAATGCTTCTTGACTTTGGGTTAAATAATTGCACTGAAATTTAAATCAGCATTTCGAGTTCCCTGTCAGGAATTTACATGGGAATATAGGATTTCTATATACATGTAAATCATATTATTTAATTCATCGTGCTCTTTCACCTACCAAGCCAATCCAGAACTATTGTTTCAAGTTCGGTACAGGCGGGGCTGGCCGCCTGAAACAACATAAAAAAAGCAACTTGTGTCTGAAAAATATTTTCATTGGATCTGAAAACAGTCGAAACAATAAACATTTTAGATTTTTTTACTTTTATTTTGTGGAATCCTCACGTAACTTGCCACCGCGGATTGAATTTGCCGACAGTTTTCAGTTGTCAGCAAGTCTAGATGAGATAAAGACACCTAGAGGATCCCAAAACAATAAGGACATGTTTCAGTCATACAAATGAACACATTCTTCAAAAAATATTATATTTTCCTTCCAAACGGACCGTCCTAGTCTTTTAGCATCATACCAGGCAACGGACAAAGTGACTTAGGCCATGTAGATAGGAGTTTCATGCCCAACCATTCCTAAATATTTCCTTATACTAAGTACATGTATGTCAATAGATGGTTACAATAACTAATGTAAAATGGAAAATATAAATTAATTCTTCGTAATAGCATGCATCTAAAGAAGGCAGTAATGCGAAACATGTTTCCAAATTTAGAAAATCTAAGACCGAAATTTGGTCAAATTACCAAGTGATTGGGTGGTCATTATTGTTATTAATCCGCCTAAGTCGAGACGCTACGAGACGCCCAGTGTTATTGGATTACATGTTTGACAGCACACAAAGCCACGGCCACGCCAAATTACATGTAATCGATGGAAGATTAAAAACACAAAGCTTTTAAGTGTCTCGATAAGCGCCCACTGGGTCGCACATGAGTACAAAGATGGCGGCCTAAGTCAATGCCTTGTCTGATCGATTGAACGCAAGCAAAGAACCCAATGATTTCCCCAATTTCTGATAAAAACCAATTCGATCATTGTTTGTAGAGGAAAGAGCAATAATCACAGTCTGCTATGTTGCTAATCCTTCCTTTGATCCCAAAATAAAGACATCAAAACATCGGGAACAATTTGTCGATCGGAGTTACGCTGAAATCTGATAAATGCCGTGATTCCTAGACTTATTAAGGATCTCGACATCAGATTACCACGGGTAGTATCAATTCCTCACTCGAATGCCGTTAGTAATACGCATTTACTACCCGCCTACACCGGAGGAACAAGTAATTACTTGGCAAAAGGGAAGCAATTAATTATAGCTGACTATTAAAAAGGTACTACACAACCACTCAATGTTCTAGGAAAAGGAGGTCCCTTCTATATCGAGAGAACACTACTGACTTAACTCCAAATAATTGGTGATTAAACCAAAGTATAATTGCAATGGATCTGAGTAATAGTCGGGTCCGTACACTCAAATACGAGCGAACCGTCGAATTCCAAGTGCGGCCTATCTAAGGCTCCATTCAGAATAGGGGACTAACTAGTCCGAGGGTCAAATATGGCGACCCACTACGAAGCTTGCCGTGTAATCCGCTGATAGACACTGAATAGATATCCCGTGGGGAAATATTCAAGTGGGTCGGCCATATTTGACCCTCGGACTAGTTAGTCCCCTATTCTGAAAGGCCCCTTAGTAAGATATTTTTTATGTTCCGGTCAGTGTTGCCAAAATTATAGGTCTTATAAAGGAGAAAATTCGTCCTTTATTAGCAGTTTAATTATAAGTTTAATTCAACTACAATAAATGTTGAAAGTCTTAACTATGTGAAAACTTTCTTACATGGTTAAGACTTACATGTATGTTAAATGTTTGTTTTAACTGCTTGAATAGCTTGACCCGGCAACACGCAAAATTTGATTCATTTAGCTATTTCATTTAGCTATAACCAAGCACAGTTCGTAAATTATCTACTTACTTTTTTCTATTATCTTTTTAAAATCTTCTATTTATTTTATTACCACTTTATTATTATAGTCATTCAATATTATTTTATCTCTTTTCATTTCATTTTTTATTGATTTTTATTACACTGATCTCATTTCGTATCATTCTTATTTACAGTATTGTTCATCTTATCATAATTATTTTTCTGTTGATAATACTGGCCAGTGCATTTGTATATGCTCCCCATGTTAATCAATGTTTAGATTCATTGTACAAAGTGCTGATTGATAATATTCATTTGAATTTGAATTTCAGGCGTTTTTTCCTTTGCGTCCAATATCGGTTGTCCGAATGTCATCCTTTTCAAGCACTGCCTACGTCTGTACTGATAAAATCAATTCTGAGTTTCTGTTTGAGTGAATTTTTTGTACCCTCGCTTTTATAGACCTTGTTCCATGATCTCGTGTTCCCATGCCTTGTTTTGTATAACTTCTCGTATTTAGTTTTATGGGAATCTAGTCACGTCACATCACGTGACAATGCTTAAATGTTCGCGTCACAACTGTCTGCCTCATATTTTTACAAAAAAAAGTGAGAAAATGATGCAAGGGTTGTCAAAAAAATAAATACTTAATTGATCGGATGGTACATTTTTGTGTAAAGGTGTCGTCTGGGGACTGAGACATGCAGACAATTTCTTTACACATTGTAGTGTAAAATACGAAATAGTTGTAGACAACAACGCCCAAACTAAAGCAAATCCTCTATATTCTCCTCACTCTATTATTCTTATATTATTCATGTAAACTAATAGACCTACATGTAAGATCCGACATATTGGATCCTAGAGTAGGCCCTATGTCGTTATAACTATTCCACAGGAGTTCGTAAACATTGTCTTATTAGTTTCTCTTTATAAGGCAGACAAATTAGATATGTGTCGGTTAAGGAGCGCAACCGATCCTAATTTTGAGTAAATCAGATTTTTGCCACCTATTTTCTTACAAACAAATGAAATCGCTGACTATTAAAAGTTTCAACTGATTGCCGAAAATATCTCAGTGATCTTGTTTTTATACTCTGGAATCGTGCTATTATATGTTTGTACAACAACTTACCCAAGAAAACCCAACACAGCCGATAGCGTCAGACAACATATCTGCTAAAATCGATGGAAACGAATTCCCGGCTGGGAAGTAAGCGTGGAAGTTTGGGTGCTGCCAATGAGTAATCTAAAATGAAAAAAAAATAAATGCATTTATGGGGTCTAAAGGTTTATATACGGGCTTTACATTTATGGGAATTGATGCAAACAAACAGCAAAGCCTCGTGAATTTCAGTTGTTTTACCAGTAGCTTCGGAGCGGAGGCCTTAATTCACCGACAGACAATATGGACAATATGAAACACTGAAGTTAAATGGACCCTTTTCGTAATAGAAATGGTAAAGGAAGAAAAAGTGACCCACCCCTGGCATAACGACATTGTCAACATCAGCCATAATGTCGGACCATTCTTCACCCTTTTTAGGTGCCTTAGAAGGTACCAGATCACGCATGTACCCGGGGTGGACTTCCGGTGTGACTCTGCGCATGTGCACTTTCTCTAGGTAGTCTGCAATGTAATCTACCATTTCTTTCCCATGTTTTCTAAACTCATTCGCTTCCATTGTCCTCGTTTCTCTCGTTCGCCTAAATAAGACATGAATTAAGTAAGGTGACTTATTACTGTGACATAAAATAAATGGCGCAAGTGTGACTCTCTACTAGACGTCTTCTAGCCGTTGCAAAATTATACTAGTATACACGCCCCCCCCCAAAAAAAAAAATTTAATTAATAAATTAATAAATAAATAAAATAAAAAAACACCCATTTTTAGTTGAAAAGGAAAGGAAATAGGTCGTTTTTTTTTTGTGGGCCACCCTTTATAAGACCTAGAATCCAACACAACATTGTGTGGAATTCTACATAAGTCTTAATAATTTAGAAACAGCAAAAATGCAAAAGTAGAACGCAACCCCTTGTAATACCCACTGCACGGCGTGATTAAGCCTAGTCACCAGTTGCCTGGTTGATATAAACCTTCGCTTCTCTTGTTAACCCCTGAAGTGATCAAAATACGCTGAAAAGGCTGGCATCGACCAGTAGGATTTTTCACTTTATCCGCCCTCATGGCCCAGAAAGTAGCGCTCATTTTTGTGACGGGCTAGGTTGAAATTTGACGTGTTTGGCAGACTGTTTTTGGCTTACCCGTATTGTCTAATCACCGTTTTCATACATTTACCCTGTAAATTTTATTTTATTTCCATTCGATTTTATTCCAAATGTAATATTTGGTTAAAATTATTGAATTTGTGAGGAAACTTTTTCTAACAGGAGGCACTATTGGACTTCTTGCAAATTATGGTATGTTATGAAAAAAATAAAATTTCTTTGTAATCTACCAAAAAACCCATCCTGCCTGACAAGAATAACACAACATTTAAACTTACCTTTCTTTTTTTAACAGCTATTATCGTAGATTATCTTGGATGAAATTTTCAAGCTATATATTTGAGTAGTCTCATTGGCACCTCGTCTCTAAATACTGGCTTTTCAACCAAGCTCGCTTGCCCACCGTGTTATTTAAACGGAACTCGTGACTTGTAACACTCGCGCGCACACACACACACACTAACGCTGTAATGGCAAACACTCGACTGCAACCTAGCCAGTGCCGCGCCACTTTAAGTACGATAACGTTTAACGAGAACTGTAATAGCGCTGGACTTGACTTTGATTGAAATCGCTCAGACACTCGAGCGTTGTGATCAATCTTTTCTTATGAGAGTGTTGTCAGAGAGACTTTAATTTGTAATTTGTTAAGAAAAACGTCACGGTCCACGCGCCCAGCAGCTGTAAGGTGTGTGTGAACAGAACGCTCACGCACGCCATGGAACTTAAACCCGGCGCATACAGAAAGCTACGAGCTCTGCAACCGGTTTTCAGAAACTGGGGGCCCATGTAACACAGAGTCCGCCCTCCATTAGATTCACACAGGTTTGGGTTAGTGTGACGCAAGAGGGTAAAAATCCTGTACAAACCAATGGGTACGTTAACCGGCCTCTATATCGTGGCGGACTTTCTCGTACAGAACACCGCAGCGCTAGGCTTAAAATTCAATTTATCTCCCTAGGTTTTATTTTAGGGGTTTAGGTGAGCTGACAAGTGCAGTTTCGAAATTTTCCAGAGGATGGGGCGCTAGGATAACAAAATGTGGAGGCAAATGATAAAACCGCAGAGGGTGTTAAATTGCCATAATATTTAGGGCACAGGAATGGATAATTCCATGATACTTTGACTCGTTTTGTTCGTTACAATATCATCTGGGGAGAGGAGGAAAAAAGAGTCCTACTAAAAGCTAGGGGGAGGGACATGCCCCCCCCCTCCACGATCAGCCATCGGCAGGGGATGTAGTCAGGCAAAGCGGTGCAGATGTACCGCTTCTGAAAACGCGCCTACAGACCAAAAAATTGTTGTACTAATATTGTGATAAATTTAGCAGAATGCACACTACATAGAAACTTAGCCCCAAGCGAACTCACCTTGCCTTGTATTCTGGTGGAAAAGCACCTTTAAGTCTAAAAATGTCACGTCGTTTGATACTGTACCTCGGCAAATATGTTGCTTTTTCTACTGTTTATAACTTATGCTACAGGTGATCAACATGTACCCCTATCTACTAAAGTTTATACGGGTATGAATATGAATAAAACCCAGTAAAGCAAATCTTTGTCTCTCTCCTGATATTGGCACGATGGTATTAAATCCAAGGAAAATATCTGAAAGATAGAATGATTGGAACCCTTGATGAAAAAGAGCAAGACATATTGAGAACAGCAGGCCCCAACCGAGTATCATTATAACAGAGCCCGAGCAGAGGATATTGAACTTGCTTATAACAATAATGACATCAGTCTCTTTGACAATCTTTATAACCTACTTGAGGAGATATTTGATTGTTTAAGGAACAAATGGCACGGTGCTTCTGTGTATCCACGCGTCGGGAGGACATGACGCAAATGACGATCGATGAAGAAGGGCTAGATATTTACAGAGGAAGACGGGGTGGGGGGGGGGGGGGTTAGAAGGGATTTCTCAATTTAGGAGAGATATGCTCGATTACTTTTACATGTACTTGGTTGCTTTTGGGTGTGTATGCTATGGATATTTTGATGTGTTTATGTAGAATTGCTAGTGTATGTCGATTAGGTAAGAAATACAGGGGATAAGAATTTCATTATAATGATCTATTTAATTCTTATTTGCAAAATATTAATATTGGAAAATATCAACGTTACATGTCCTTTTTCCTTTTACAAAAGTAAGATATAAAACGTGTTTTGTAAAAGTTCTAGCACTTAATCAAAGAAATGCGTTAAATCCCAAACGGCGTGTGACGGTTGGGCTATACACGATCACTGTAAACCAGGGGCCGTTTGGTTTCTGGCCGATTCCACCGCTGGGCATTGCAAATTATCGAATTCGCCAATAACAGTGCCGGTGGGCGACTAGAGTGATCATGAGGGATTAGAATGGCACTGAGCGGTTAGATCTCGTGACTGCACGGTTTGGTGATCAATACAGACAACTACGTGTATGTGCAGTTGTACGCCTCAATAGCTTTATATATGGTAGAGAGTTATGACAGGTGGAGATATCGAAGTCTGGGAAACAGGCAAGGGATGACGCCATGTTCTATTGCCATCATGTTCTACATATCTCAATCTTTGTTGAGATTGGTGTCAAAATGTTGAAATCGATGGCGACAGAACAAAACATCTCGAACATAATCATAATCAGCTGCTGTCATGTAAGTCCTGATGTCTTTGAACTTTACAAAATGTGACACAATTCGCCGCTTTTCCAATTTATCTCACAACTTCATCTAACAGCAAGGTAAATTCTTTCGCGGTGCATTTTTGCGGATCATTATGAAAAAAGCGTGGTTATATATTATATAACCAGACATACAAATACTGATGGTGGTATGACAAGCCTGCTGGTGAATAGTCTAGTGAATGTAAACAGATACAACTGCAAAAAGCATTACGTTCAATATATCACATTGTGGATTGGTACACGTACATATATACAGTATGTAGGCCTCAGCTGGTAAATGTAATGCCTTATAAGTGTTGATCAAAACACATCTTACTAGTGCTAGATATTTTCGCCATTCAAATTACCCAAGGGTAAATGGTACCAATAAAACGATTGTACGTACGCGACATTGCCTCTGACTAATAAATTTGGTCACAATAAGTTTTGTTGGATCTGTGGCGCATGATACAAAATGCAATAAATAAATAAATCGTAAGGTTTTAAACACACATTTTTATTTAAAACCATTTATTTTTTTAATTCTTAGTACCTACGGACAACCAAGTTTTTATCATTTTAACAGATAAATGCCATGAATTAATGTCACCAAAAATAGTTTAATTAATTGTCAACTGTCTGAAAATTCCATCTTGACACTGTTTTGAATCTCAGGCAACCTGATAGTCAATGCTCATAATTATGGCGGAATGTGACAAACCCTACTTGAAAACCCGCAGTTTACTAAGGTTTAAGAGTTTTTCATTTACTCAGATTGCTGTAGAGGAAAGAGAGGTCAAGGGTTGGTTAGTCGGAGAAATATACCGTTTACCCCAAAGAAACTTAATCAAGTATGAATTCTTTACTGGAAACTCTTTCAGTCGGTTGAGCATTTCCTAATTTAATGAATAATTTCTCTTAACAAATATGTTTTTGTTCGAGTGTTTGTGCGTGTGTATGTTTCGGAAATCCAGCCTGTGCGGATTCTTAACATACTGTTCCTTCAAAAAAAGTCGCCGTTTTCCTAAATGTCGCTGAATCGTCATAAATATAATACGTCAGTGGCGTTGAATGTTTGCACTGTAGATGGCGCAACCGTCATGTTCACTACAGGTCTTTTGCCGACCCAAGACGGGACGTTGTCAAGGTTCAGTTGAACCCATCCCCACGTGTTGATACAGACCATCAATGTGACCAGGCAAACAGTGTTCATAAACAACCCATTCTTCACCTGAAGATGACAAGTACAAATTTATGTGATTGAAACAAGAACCACCTCGTAAAACAAAATCAGATTATTTCTTATTGAATGACAGGTTTACTTCTGTTAATCAAAACATTACTAGACAATTCATGTTTACCACAAAGCGTTTATATATATAGCTTTAAATGTCACTGATTCATAATTTAAACAACAGTATGTGAAGCAAAAATTCTAATATCGTGTGTGACGTATCTTCCCCGCCAAGGGGAACATTAAAACGACTATTTTGTCTGTTACTATCACGTTTTGACTGTACTGGTATTATCATTTGATGTTGTCCGACATTGTCCGACCAATTTTTTCATACCATGTCCCAAATGCGAAGATGGCCATACGAGAATACCAAAGCGTTGGCAGGAGTAGCCACGGGTAACATAAATGCAAACGAGGCTGCTAAAATGGCTGGGAACATGACATACAAGGGATGAGTTCCCATTGTTACCGACTGAAAAAGTATACATTTTTTGCAGTTATGTTATAACAAATGTACATCAGTATGGTGCCCTATGACAATGCGATAAAACGGTTCTTTATATAGTTAACTGCCTTAAAAAAGATGTAATTTGTCGCTGTAAAGAGTAACCATTTTACAAGATTGCCTCAGCATATTGGGTCCATTTAAGAAAGAGAACTTACCAGCTCCGCTAGGATTGGCATGAGCATAGTAACGGTTGCTACGTTACTGGTGACCTCGGTTGCGAAGGACACCAAAAGGCACACCAGTAAGACCACCAGCCAATCAGGCAACGGGTTTAAAAGCTCCAGACTCTGTCCAATTGACGCTGACAGACCAGATTTCTGAAACAACGGAAGATTTTCGTGCACTTTATGATGTACATAATATATCTGTGTATAATATGCTATCTGTGTAAAATGCTCTCACAAATGTGATACTATTCTGTACAGAAGACCACATTTCAATTAAGAAAAAGTAAACTGAGTTAAACAAAATAAAATACTGTACCTTACAAATGTAGTAACTGAAATCATATCTGCTATCATTTTATGTTAAATCATCTAACACATGTGTAGTCTTTTTAAGAAGCATCACAGCGTTAACCATATATTCAGCAAAAACAAGAGTGCAACTTAGACGTCATGACTCAGAGAGACGTCAAATGACGTCATTCTTACCACAGTGCCGTCAGCCAGCGCAAACCCCCCGCCAAGTAGGATCACAATGTTCCACGGCATCTTGGCATTAAAGGTTCCCCAGTCTAACAAAGCCACATATCTTTTAATTCGTTTCTGGTTTGGTAATTCGCCTAGAAGACATAAAAAAGTATGTAAGACCTGACCGATGATTCTCACAATACATTTCCAATAATATTCTAATCAAGAGTTCAAATATTTTCGCCGCTAGGTGATTCATTACGATTATCTTACTTGTATAATTATATATAGCTCCTCTCAATACTGGAAGTAAATCTTGTAATATTACAAAATGCTTATATTCCGACCAGCCTTTTTTAAATTTTGGTTTCAATCTGCCTCTAGATATTGAAGAAGAAGAAGAATGCGTCAGATGAAACCAGCACAACGTTAAACATGTGAAACAGCTTTCTCTACCGCACTGAGGTAATTGTAACCAAGTCACTCCGCCAAACCATTAAAACCTTAAGTATATAACGCCGACGAACATACCACAAGTCTGGTACTGGTTTCAGGATGAGCTCACCTGGTATTTTATGAGGAAGTGATGCAGGCCACACAAACAGCGACAAGGTGACGAGGATGGCCGGGGTGGCGTCTGACACATATCTAAATAAGAATACTTTTGTTAAGCGTGGCTTGGCAAGTGTCTGTATGGTTTGATCTACGGTGAATTTGAGGGATGTTTCACCAGAATGTTAGACATGTTAATTCAATTCATGTTACCGTAATTTTGCGTAATTTCTGCACGAGGCCCTTCAAATAGGTCGCCCTCCCCCCAAAAAATAATAAATAGTAATAACTGACATATAACTCACATAGAGGAGCTTAGCTTTTGAAGTGTCAATTATCTACCCTCTACTAGGGCTCTCTAAGTTATTACAAAATTGGATGGAGTCTTCGATTCAGTCTTGTAACGGTTAGAATAGACCGAGTGGAACTGGTGGATGGCCCCAGTTTTAAAATACAAAACGGAGTTCAGGACAAAAGTAGACAAAACGCAAAAATAGCATTTAAATCCTTGTACCCAACATATAAATATAACATAAAATTGACTTCCTCTTCTATTTATCGAACTAAAACTAAGCAATTTTTATTTTGTGTCCCCACCTCCCCACAGACGCTCCAGCCAATCCTAGATCGGCAAGTGGCGCCATGACCTCCTTACATACCCGTCCAGGAATATGACACCCCAGCCTCCGGCCTGCCCCGGGTCACGTGTCAACCACAAGAGGGCAATAGCAACAAAATGGGCACAAACCGATAACTCTGCAAACCTATGGGGAAATAAGTAAATCATTCCTTTTATATATCGCCTTTCTGGGTAAGAGTATTGTTCTTTTCATGACAACAAAAACATCCTTTTTAAATAATACTTTTTATCATTGTTTTTTAGTGATGAAAGTAACAATTAGCCTCAGTTGTTTCTCTCATTATTCATTTTCCATTTACTTCGTGAATATAGCGCCATTTGTATATAGGCTCACTCACTGTATCTTTCCTAGTTGTCTGTATTCTTCTCTGATAACATTACGAACGGCAGCGGACTGTTCGTCATTCTTGCTACAGCAATCTCTAAAATGTATTTCAACTTCTTCATTCAGGTACAAAAGAACACACACTCAGTACGTTTGTAGTGTGTGTGTATGTGTGTGTGTGTGTGTGTGTGCGCGCGCACTCGCTTGCTTTTTCCGAGAGTCAGAAAGCAATTGAGACGCAACGAAGAAAACAGTCTTTTTAAAAGTTTCTAAATGGTTTAGTAAAATCAACGATTTGTTATTGCTTTCCCAAAAAGGAAATATTTTCTCGAACCTGCTTAGCGGTAAAATTCGGCCCATACCACAAACCATTAATCTTCAAATTAAAATGTTGATAGTTGTACACCTCTCACCTGAATCCAATGTGAAGTAGCTGTAGCCACAGCCACCCAATTGTCATATTTATCAACGCAATCGGCATTGCAAACGCCATCCAGGAGGTGAAAGTGACTCCAGACTGCTCTCCGTGCTCTCCAAACAATCTGTTGGAAACAAAAGAAATGGTATATTATTCTGTAATTACAGACCTTAAGACGCATTTATAGTCCAGTTGTTAAGTTTTAACTCTCTACCATACTCTCTAAGTATTCTCTCTAAATTTTCGGCCATGATACGGCACTGACATGGAAGTACCGGTACCGGCGTCTTAGTAACAGGGTGGGGGTCGATAAAGGGACTAGAATGGTTCCCCTCGGGAAGAAATTGCAATCACAAAGTGCGCTAAGCTACACTATAGCTACAATATGTAAGCCGCAACGACAGAAATGTTTCCTTAAGAAAAAACATTTTGGTGGGACCTGTATTCTTCAGTCAAGTACATAGATTAAAAAAGTTGGCATAAGGTTCGTTCCTTACTTGTCGGCTTCATATTTGAGAACAAAGTTGGCGGCTGTTCCGGTGATTGCTGACGTCCCCCCGAAGTTTGCAGCGTAACAAATGGCCAGCAAGAAAGCTTTGGAAAGGCGAGAATCCGTTTTCCCCGACACAGAAGGCCTCTCCGATATAGCGTCTTCTTCTCTAAAATGTTAAATAGCACAAATATGGTTAAAGAAGTTTTGAAATATTTTTATTGGTCAATCAGCTGCTTGCATTAATTTGGTTGTTTCTTATCTACTCTGTGTCTTGTTTTGGGGGACGTTGTAAATAAGGGGGGTCGGAGAGGGGGGGTCGAAAAAGCCCTTGTGACCGAAAATGTCTGCTCTGAAACAAAATTTGATCTAGGGGTTATGCTACTTTTCAATTGGGTCACTTAAAAAGATTAAACGTCCATTTGTTCAAATAAAGGGCCCCTCATTGTAAATTGACGGCTGAAGGCCTGAGCAGCATTCGTTAGCCTTCGATGTGAATTAGGCGCCCTACTCACGTCAGTGTAAAACTGCTTTCCTCGTCCCCTGCTCTGCACTCTGGGGGTGATACACTGGTATCGTCTTCTACGGCAGACCCTTGAAGATGGAACTAAAGAGTTAAATACCTGCAGAGTGCATTAGGAAAGATAGCCGAGTCAGTGAAACGGAAGAACACTGGCAAATTCAGCTTCGACATTTCGGAAATATAGTTATTTTGTCTTTAGATTATGCTAAGTTGTGTTTTAATTTACATGATGCACGGAATACGACATTGCTGCCGTTAAGCGCATTCTTGACTACCGCTCGCCATTTTTAGACATTCTCCTGTACCCGTTAGAACGGTTAGCAATATGTTTATGAACGAGTGCAAATTGAGTTTGAAATTCCAAATCGTATGACAATTTTCAAAAATGCTAATATTTAGGTTGCTTCTTTGAGGATTTAAATATCAATAATTTGAAAATAATCTAAAGAAAGGAAACCATGTTTAGATATTGCAAACTGACAAAAAACATAAAAAACAGCAAGTTCCAGAAGACGCACCACTTGCCATAGTAATAGATTCCGTCTCAGTATCGGTGAGGGGAGATGCTTCTGTCTTGTGATCCCGCAGTTGGTTTAGAACCGCCTGTACAATTGGCAACATCATGGCGGCCGTGGCTGTATTACTTATCCACATGGAAAGAAACCAGGTTGGTATCATAAAGCCAAGCATCAGCCTAAAACGAAGAAAAAATTGTGCAAAGATACATAAATTTAGAATCGTCTGTAGAATGCCCTCCTCCCCTTTTTAACTTGAAGTTCTTTAAACTGAAAATTGTGTCGTTTATCTACTTATTGACTGATTTATTATTGGTTCGTGGTTAATGAAAATATTTTTGGCAAATGCTTTCGCAGTTGTTCGTCCTCTTTATTTATTTGTGAATACCATTAAGTTGAACTAAGCAGACGGAGACATCTTTCTGCTATGTCTGGTTTCCCCACCAAACTCCCACCAGCACAAAACCCTTGAAAGAAACCCCAGATACTGTACAGTGTACATGTAGCAATAGTTACCATCTTGGCTTTGTTCCTACTAAGAGAAGAATACCAAGAGCAAACCGCTTGTGGAGGTTCCATCTTTCAATAGCTACGGCAACTGCCATACCTCCCATGAATAACATAGAGACATCCTGGAAAAGGGCAGTATAGTCTTTTATTTTATTTTATTTTATTTTTATTTATTTTTTTTTTTGAAAATTTATCACATTAGAAAAGTCATACTGTATAACGACTGCGTGTATATGCCTTTGTCAGTGCAGAAATAGCAGTAATGCAATATCATAAATGTATTTTATCAAAAGGTGCTCTTTTCATAAGAGTTGTTTGGATATAAGAAAAAAAATAGTCATGTGATGCGGTTTTCCTATTTTTTGAATATGCACATGCTTATAAAAACGATTGCAATTCTAGAGGGAATTCGCCTTCCAAACTATTCTAGAAACATGAAAGTCTTCTTTTACTTTTATTTTACATTTAAGTTTTAATACTGCAGGAAAGAATGCAGTCATATAGTCTAACCTTGATATAATTCTGCACAACTTCACTTGACTTCATGACCCCAAGAGCGGGAAAGAGACACATGGGGAATAACGCCGTCACCGCTAGGGGGAGCGCTTCCGTCAACCACAGCACCACCATAATGATCATGACATACCCACAGCGCGACTCCTGAAAGGCAAGGGAATCATCTTTATCATGACGTACCTACTGCACAAGGCGTGTTCGTCACTATCATATAAACATTGACCTTCCCAGATGAGGTCAACTTTTGACGTCGGAATGTTGATTAATTATCTCCCCCAGAGGTTTGAGGTGACCCCAACACAAGGTGACCCCCCTAGAGGTTACCCCAACACAAGGTCTCCAAACTGCTTTGTTACATGATCACAAATGACTAAGATAATTGAAAAAGAGGCTAATACTGCGATTAATAACAATTAGTTAATTCCCCTTCACGTTATTTTTTTCTCTTTCCCATGATTAGTAGTAAGAGCAATATTTATTTATTTCGCCCCCACCCATAGCAACAACACCTTGGCAACGAAGCCGAAGCTTATTACGATATTGAAACCCTCATCCAGATACCGAAAATAGTTTTTTCTTGCATCTAATTATTCAATAATGCAGGTATCTTTGTGCTGACTTTAAACAATGAAATGAACAAGATTTTTTCATGATAATATCAGAGTTGACCAGGAGTGTGTCGGCTACAATCCCGTGCCGTCATTTTAGTTAAAATATTTTTGTTATGGAGTTATGAGCCCCCAATTACAGATTTTCATTAAACAAAGGGATTGTTTGCTTTGTCAACGATAAAATCTTAACTAAGACTTTTAAGAAAAACCGCTGAAAGGGTTTTGGAGAACTAAATGGTGTCATTAAACCGGCGTTAACGTTGAAACGGTGACCGTGGGTGCTCAGGTAAAAGAGAAATTTGAGAAGTCCGATTTTTCAGTTTTTACCCAAAAATCGCAATAATGACGTCACCGTAAGGTTACATATGCGTAATTGTTAATTAGTATAGTTACTGAATACTGAAGATTTATTTATTACTCAAAAGGATATATTTAAGGCATTAAATAAGGAGTTTGGGGCGAAGGGTGACAGTAGCCTTAAGACACTTATTCCATGTGTAGAATTAGAAAAAAAGCTTTAAAAAGTGCACAATATGTTTGTAATGTAAAAAAAATCATACTCAACGAAGGATAAATGCATTCATATGAATTATAGACAGCAAAAAAACACAAACAGTATTGTTTTTAGTTTTATTACACGCGGATAGAACTTTAAGAAGATGCACTGGTAGGTGTGACAATAGAAATATACGTTTTATTAATACACGTGAATTAATGTTTTACGTTTCGACATTTTTTGTATTTTTCAAGCAATTGGACTTTTAAACTACAAATTTTCGAGAAAATGATGATAACAATGTCCTCTTAATTAAATAACACACTCCACATTCGGTTTAGCGTGACACATGTATGTACGGGTATGTACTAGTACAACATGAAAATAAAAATCCCCACCTTCAGATTCTAAAACATACATGCACAACCTGAAATCACGTCTTTTGCATTCTAAAATTCTATAAAATGGCTACTAGAAGTACCAATTATTCGGAAATGTTTAGTGTAGCCAAAATGAAACTTCATTATCGTTTAACGGTGCGGAGAGGAAGAGGTACCATCCAAGGTATACTAACATGTTGCATATCGATAAAAAGCTTATCTCAACAACGTTTCACTTCATCACATCTTTACTTCATCACAAAGTTTGTTACACAATAGTTGCTCCCCTCTCCACATTCTTAAATCAATTACGACATGTTTTGTAAAATGAAATGTACATCAAAGGTTCCATGTATCGTAAGCCAATGCCAAGCACTATCTTCAAGTTAATCGTGGTGCTGTTTACAATTGTAAGTTTGTAAATTTGCGTTAAAAACGATAAACCATAGACCTACATAATAAAAATTATCTATTTATTGTTACCTATTGAAAGATAAAAACTGCTCAACGTTAACATAAAGTAGAACACTCAATGACAATTAACAAATACTACATTCATTCTTCTCGTGACTGGAAAAAACATTTAATTTTATCGTTCAGCTTATTTATTTGTTTGTAAGTATAAACACAGCCACCAAAACACTATAAAACATTATAAACAAGTTCCGTTTTCGGTTCCATACACATATTCACAGTATTCCCGTCCTGTGTAAAGTATGATGCAGTATAGAGCCTAGGAAAGTATGGTTCATTGTCGTCTTTGATCAGCATGCATATACGCAGCATTTTAGCACATCAATCACTGCAGAAGTTTACGGATGTAACATATTCACAGTATTTCTGTCCTGCCCAATCGGTATACTATAAAATGAAGTAGCATGTGCGTACAACCGTCGACTTGTCACTGTGCATTCATGTGTTATCGTGTTTACATGGCATGATCATTTAATAACAATTAAAAGACTACCGGCAATTTTAAAGAACTATATTTGATAAAGGAAACCATGCCACTTACTCTCCTCACACTTAGAGAAAAATAACATAGTACTAAAATACAGCTTTAATTGGAAAACCTGTCTGATTGGTTAACTTTTCTGGAAATTGTATAGTTTTTTGTCAGAATAAAAGTTTTCACATATCGACAACGAAGTTTAGGTAAGTGAGCTTGATCGCTTTGTCATATAATTACCAGTCATTGCATCTGCCACAACCAAATAGCCTGGCATAGCCTTTCCTGACAATGTTCAGTCTCAAGCCATAAATCAGGGGATTGACGACGCTATTTAAGACAATCAGAAAGTTCCCAATCACTGAAATCAGATATGTTAAATAATATGTCTCGTTTTCACATCCTGCAAAACAGTTTACAATATTCAAACACATGTGTGTAATGCCCGGTGCCCAAAACAGTAACATGACCACTGCCAAAATGGCAACAGTTTTTCCCAGCCTTCAAATTCGAGCATTCACCATTGTTTTCATTGTTACTTCCAAGATTAGGCGGCCCGCGACGCACATACTTTAACATTCTCCAGTACATATACACTACTGCCAGTGTGGTGATTACATATGATATCAGGAACACACAAGCTTCGATGAGATATAACAAATCGAAATCTCCAGTAACACGTGGCACTATAGTAATTAAACTGATGTAAATAATTGAAGCAATCCAAGTAGTTGAAATATATATTTTAGCATGCGTCTTTGAGGTTGATTTGACGCAATAAAATGGTGCTTTTGTTGACACATATTGGCAGACGACGAGTCCAAACGTTGCCCAAATCGTGCAAACCAACGATGAATAAGAGATGCTATTCAAAACAAACCAAAAGGACGACCCACTAATGGTAGAGCAGGTCGGGCTTTCGATGAGCATCATAATTCCTAATAGAAAATAGAAGACCATTGACACAAAATCCGTTGCTGCAGCGTTTATAAGCATAAGGTGGAATGCTGTACGCGGCCGCGGCATACGTGACAGTGCCAGAAGCGACACTAAATTTCCAGCCACTCCACAGACTGACAAAACTGTAAGAAATATACGGTAAGTGACACTTTCGATAAAAGCACAGAATGGTAATTGTGTTTCGATTCTGCTGCATTTGTCAGCTGATATATTTGTTCCATTCAGAAGGTATATTAACGTGTTTATGTCCAAGTCAGAGATATCAGCTATATTTGTTCCATTCAGAAGGTATATAAACGCGTTTATGTCCATCTTTAGTCCTTTAGTCAGTCAACGACACTGTTCTCAACAAAGATGATTACCATAAGGGTTGAAAATCATGTCAAAAATGTCGCAGTTTCATATAAATATTCCCTTCGGGTGTTGTCTGCCATGGAAATCATCTTTCCAGACTAGAAACGGACAAACTTCGGCTTTCATCCTGCCAGCTGTAGCCGCGAGCAGTTCATAAATACACCTCTCGCATATTTCATCGATTTGGGTAAATTTAATCATTTATTGATCAAACGTTTTTTCAGTGGGTAATTGCAATAACACAGCTACATTTAGGATAATTATAGTACAAATTTATGACACTGTCATTTCAATTATGTATTGCATCCGTAGTAATTATTAGTATTACCGTATCTGCAATTTTCTTTCAGTTCTAATTTTTTCACATCGTGCAATACAGGTGCCCACTCACAACTGTATCTGTATATCGCATTGTTCTGACTTGTAGCAACTTGTAGCAAAAACTAACATTAGATGTAATAATTTTTTTAGCTTGCACCGAGAACTGTGCCTTTTCAGGCCCGTAGCCAGCAATTTCAAAAGGGGGGTTCTTTTTCTGAAAAAGTGGACCTTTTCCCATAAAGACTTTATGTACCTAGATCAAATTGTACCCAGAGTGGACATTTTCCCAGCAAAAGGGGCAGTTCTTTCGAACCCCCCGAAACCCCCCTGGCTACGGGTCTGCTTTTGATGACTTGTTCAACCGGCACGCGCCCCCGTCAGACTGATGACTAAGCCATACCCTCTACCAGAGTGGCAGATTACATAGGGAAAAATGGGAAAAGCCAGAGTAGATATCAGACATAGTAAAATGACTGTCTATTTATCTATCTGCGAATATCCTGTGAAATGTCAATCTGCAGGCACGTAGCCAGGGGGGGGTTCGGGGGGGGGGGGGGTTCGAAAGAACCACCCCTTTTGCTGGGAAAAAGTCCACTCTGGGTAAAATTTGATCTAGGTACATAAAGTTTGTTTGGGAAAAGGTCCACTTTTTCAGAAAAAGAACCCCCCCTTCTGAAATTACTAGCTACAGGCCTGATCTGTGGCCCTGGTAAAGGGTAACTAATGCCACGCCTGCATCAATTGGTAAAGCCCCCTTTACACTGGACGGCGTCCTTTCTGCGTCCAGCAGTACGGCCCCATTTTAGAGTTAAAAAATTATAATATTTTACATCCCGACAACTGGCTGATCATTGAGCATTCATTCTGATACAAAATCAATGCTCGTACCTCCTTATTATATTAAGACCACAGCGATGCCAAATTTCATGGTCGCAGAAAGGACGCAGAAAGAACGCCGTCCAGTGTAAAGGGGGTATAAGGGCCGTTACCATGAGGGGTAGGAGCAAAAATTAGTCATAAATCGTACATCAGCTACGCAGTGGAGAAGTCGCAAAAGAGAAAAGTTCGTGTTAAAGGTACATACGAACCGAGCATCGGTGGAGTGTGGATTCCCAGTAACACATGTAAACTACTTCTACTAGATTCTTATATTACTCAAATAAATTGGACATGCCAAGGGATAAACTGAATAGATCACTCGATCAGCCATAAAAGACTTTTAGACTGCCCCTTTCTTTAAATTTATGGTTGTAAATTTAACCTACTTCCGTTACCTACTTTCCTGCCCCATTGACATACAGCTTAGAATGCCAGCAGAAATATCTGTTCAAACATCATTTTCGGGTAAAATTAAACAATGCCTTTTGGTAATTCTCTTAGTTATACTACTTGAAACTATATGCTGGCATTTGGTTGGTTTTTGTGACAAAAATTGACTTTTATGCATCTTTAAAAGTATATTTCATGAGGAAAGGAAGAAATTTTTGAAAGAGAAAATACGCGGCGGGTGGGGAAAACTAGTTCATTCTTCGATAGATATGAAAAGATTAATCTTTTTTAATCTTTTTTTTTAATTAACACGTGGTTTCAAGTATATTTCCCTATCAAAGACTGGGTTCCAATGCCTAGATCGATCCATCTGTATATGTCTAACTCCCTGGGGAGTCTCTCTAAATTGCTATCAACTAAACTGTCTGTCACGCTTACCGAATCAGCTAGGGAGTAAAGATAATTACCCCTAATAGCTTTACTAGGCGTGACAGATATTTAAGCAGGGAGATATCTGTGAGAATGGTCCCTAAGCAATTGATCGTTACAAAAATTACAGTAATTGTTGTGGGGAATGTGGACTGCAGATGAATGTCAGGAAGGGATTTTTTACGAAATTGTTTGTTTGAAAATTATCGTCTCTTTAAGTGAATAATCCATTGGAATATGTGGCCATTTAACCTATAAGACGATAAAATCGAAAGGATATAGTTTAAGACAATTCCCTGGTACTCTTCTGTAGTGCTTTCACCCAGCTCTTTGGTGTCGTTTGAATCACTTGAATAGCTGTCTTGGTTATAGAGAAAACCTCCAAACCTAAAACAGTATTTTCCCCATAATTGGCGCTACTTCCGTTGGACACTGTACTTAATATTTGTATTTAATGGGCCTTTGGGAAGTATGTTTTATTTTTTAAAATATATATATAAGAACAGGGCATTATTTTATCCGTTTTACTACTACTCCCCTTAATGTAACTAATGGTGATAAGCGTAATTGAAAGGTAAGAATTCCTCCATAAGTCCCAAGCTTAAACACTCACATAACCGCTCCATTAGCATGCAGTTACTTACTGGAGATTGTAACACAAGAGGGAGCGGCAGTGCTAATATCGGTGTTCCCAAGATGAGACCAAGTCTCCACCAGCCATGGATCTGCTTACACATTGCAATCTGGTTCGTGGAATCTGCACAAAAGACAAAAATAACTTTAAGATAAAACGTGCAAATGAACATCATTTTAAAATTTCATTTTGTCAGTTTGTTTTAAAAAATAATAACACTAGAATGGTGAAGACATCGAACAAGAACAGCGGTCATAAAAGTACCTACTTGATGATTTGTGAGAAAAAAGTACCGAAGTCATAATTCGTCAATTTTGCAATCAATAATTGGAGAGAAGTATCAAAACTCACGTTCGAACACCGCCACCAAATATTTTGACAACCTTTGATATTCACACTTTGCCTGGTCCACCTCACAAATATCTCCACTAAACCGCCATGTGTCTTAATAAGGGGTATGAAATGTTTGTGTTCACATCCATGCCATAGACCGTTCAAAAGATTGGATTCCAGACAGTCACCTATGCGCCATAAATCTATACAAACACAGTGTCCATTCTAAGGTACATGTAGCGAGGCTACAAAACAGACTAAAGGTACCCTTGCAGCCTAACCCGAGCTGTGCTTTAGAAGTGAATTCCCTCTTTGCCGGGCACTACGTTGAATATATGTCATTATACACACCAGAATATGTATCTTATCTTAAAGCCCGCTTTTCCTCCACGATCTTTGGCCAACAAGTGATATCACAAACTAAATATGACCCTCTGTCCTTTATCTATGCCCATGGGAGTACATACATTGTAATGTTTGCGACTAGCCTCTTATTTGAATGTTATGAAATCGTGTATTTCTTGTCAATTTAATTTTTCTTTCAAATAGCACATGAGGACTTAATTTCAACCTAGGAACCGCAAAGCAACCATGTTTAGTGGGTCCTACATGTACTCGTAGTTTAAACAATAGGACGAAAGGACCCACTGCCAACACAGACAGACAAAGTGTTAAACTGAAATAATTTCGTAATCAGGTCAGAAGATAAATATGTTTCGTTTTAACGTGGTTACTCACATTTTTTTCACAAAATGAAAATAATTCAAGAATAATTTCTTTGAATTGAAAGCAGAAAGCTGGCGCGTGGCGGTGTTGGAAATAGCTTTCAGAACAATCAGTGTCACTTTCCTTTAGTATGTTATCGGGTACGTCTGAACAAGATAATCACAGAGGCCGAGTAAGAGTAAGGATTTCCATGGGGACGGGAAGGGTCATTTGTGTAAAAAATATATTTTAAGGATTGTTGTAGTAATTCTGCAAGTGCGACAGTTTGACAGCGGGCCGAAAAGTAAAAAAGAAATGCCATCAAGGAAATAAAAATAGAGGAAGAAACGTGTACAAAATGATGAAAGCAGCCAGGCAGATCACACATTTTAAGTACCAGATGAAACCCTTCACACACGTTTTACTTTGATGTAGTTCGTTTGATTTTCAACGCTCAGAGCGCTTGTTAAGTCTTTGCATACCGCCCCGTAACGAGTCGTTTGTTCTCTCGTGCTGGAGCGCTTCAAGAGATTTAATGCGGCGGGTCCCTGGGTGACGCGTGCACTGTGACTAATTACTCTACCACAGGGAAATTATCGCTAAAATCATCATCTAATGCCATCCTCAATTCACAGCGAGGTCTGATCGATACTTTTCTACAACAAAAGTGATGCGTGGAAAAATAGCGAGAACCATTGCGGAAGTCTATATAATTTAACTTCACACTTTTGCAAGTTGAAAGGCTGAATAATTTATGTACTTCGTTTGTAGGTGATTGCCGACGTGCACGAAAGCACCAGCTTGGTTAAGGTTTTTTCAGGGTAAATTTATACTTTACGACCCCATGTTGATAAACGATCTCGACGTAGGCTCGTTTATTATAATTTCTCTATATTTCACATGTTCGACCCTATTCGGTACGCTGATATTTTGATATTCCGTGACATGCCTTCGCAGTCAATTACTTTTGAATGCTATTTCATAAATCTATCAAACACATTTATTGATTTAAGTTACACTCCATGAGATTTACCCACCAAAATGAATTTTCCCGGGAAAATAAGCAATTTGTTTGTACTCACGAATCATTCATCTATCCCTTTCTGCACTTTGATTCGACCTTTGATAAAATTTATAAAAGTTGGTTTTAGCTTAAAGTGACTGACCAGTCTTTATAACAGCGACCGTTTTCCTAAAAACTCCAATGTACGTTCCAAAAATAATATTTAAGGGGTTAAATCATTTAAAGGTATATGTTAAGTTTTATAAAAATGTCATGGGTGGCAAAAATAAGCATTATGGGGATTTTTCAAACAAAGTGTATTTTGAAGTCATAATACCATTGGTCATTCATAAACTAGCTCCTCGTGAAGTAGTTGATACTTTTTGCAAATGCCACTTCATTTCAATGGATTCCGGGTCACATCATAGCTACTACAACTGTAGAACGTGTTGCTATTCTGGCCGCGGTCGTTAGATGTATTGGGAGTTGATATAGATATATGAAGAATAATGTGCCCATTTAGTCAGATGGCGCCACCTCGGGATAATGGATATGTTACATCCATCACAACCCCGTTCACAGATTAAGTCTGACTGTGAGGAGACGGCATACATGTACATGTATGTGAAAAAGTGTCCGTTTATTTTCACAGCTGTTGAAAGATAAAATTCTCCGATTCTTTTGAAATTATCCTGTAAGTGGGCTTCAGCAGCGCGGGTGGAGATGGTCGAGGTACAACAAATCACTGGTAGATAAAGCTGTTAAACCTGATTATGTCATAGATAGGTGATATAACCAATGGCGTCACATAAATGACGTAACTGTGACGTCACCTAAAGACATCCCCTTACCACCACATGCATAATATACACTTAACTAGATGCCTGAAGGCTTTATAAGATGTAACAATAGATAACGGAAGAGATCTTTGTCAAAAAATACTCAATGAAAAATATTACACGTACAATGTATGTGGTTCTGTATAGGGTGCGTTAATGATGAATACAATAACAATGATGCGTTAATTCGTGACCTGTTTGGTGTGATATCGAATATCGTGTCAGTCATATTGTCAGATAAGCCAAATAGAGGGGCTTAAAACTTCCTGTGTACATCTACTATTCAAGGCAAATATGAAATATTACCCTAAAAAAATTACAAATCACTTACAAGTCGTTAACATTTACTTTCCAATATACCATTTAGATTAACATGCATCATTTAGAAACGTTTACTGTTGTGAAATATTAATTCGGCGCCTCGAAGCACTCACACTAGTGTTATTTTTAACTAATCTAATCATATCGGTTGAGATATCGCCCGCTCCACTAGAGAGCGTGATGAAAGGGAAACAATTGAAGGGGAGAGTCGTGAGAGGGTGGACTAAAATCTCGAACTCGGAAGTAACAGGGTGTGCAAGATGGCGTGGTGCGGTTTTGTCCAAAGGAGATATGTTGTTTCTCTCCTCAGTTTCTTCGGCTTGTGTCTTTTGTTTGGGTTACGAAGCGCCCTCTCGGTTTCTCTGACGAACCTCGTCCAGAGTCATGCAAGTGGAAATGACTCGCACCACCACACACCGGTGAGTTCACCCTGCCTCCTCCTCCCACCTTCCCTCCTTCCTCAGTTCTTGACCCAACCTTATTTTTACTCTTAACGGAACCTGTCCTTTCTGAACAGCAGCTGAATGTAGGGTCGGTATTTATTTATTTATTTATTTATTTATTTATTTATTTATTTTATCTTTGTCACCAGCGTAATGTGACATCCCTGATGGTCACATGATACATTTACTTTGAAATAATCAACCTTTATAAAAATCATAAACTGACAAGTGACAACAATAGATCATAGATGACAAGTTAGCTCGATAATAAATGGACAAGTTAAATAATGGTCACCATCTCAATGACAACTATTATTTTCATTATTTCCTGTTTATTATTATTATTATTATTATTATTGTTGTTGTTATTGTTGTTGTTGCTGTTGTCGTTGTTTTTATTATAATTATAATTATTGTTGTTGCTGATGTTCTTCTTCTTCTTCTTCTTCTTCTTCTTCTTCTTATTATTATTATTATTATTATTATTACTCCAGCACAGCGATAACCATTCTTTCCACTTGGACTGGACGACGTCTGAGGTGGGCTGGGTGTTCAGTGCGTACGGTATAGGCTATATCATCACACAGATTCCAGGGGGAGTGCTCTCCGCCGCTCTGCCGGCGCATTTGTGAGTAGCACAGCGTTACTATTAACGTCTTGACATTCAGAGTGTCAGTGCATTCACACAGATTCGTATCTTCTTTTTCTTCTTCTTTGTCTTCTCATTCGCCTTTCTACTTATTCCCCTCAAGCACGTGCCTTCTTTCGCCCGGAATGTTAAAGAACTAACAGTGACTATTTTGCAATATAATTATTATTTAGGCTCCATATTGAGCGTAAAAGACTTAACTCTGTTTCTTTGAATTATGAAATGTTTGTGTTTGCGCGTGCGTGTGTATGCCTGCGAGAAAGTACAGGTGCATGTGCCTTTGTGTGTTGAGGGGGGAGGTTACCTAACATACATCATAATTACCTTATTGTAAGGAGGGAGGCCCAAAGCACTTCTCCATTCCTCAAAACATATTGCTACAGACGAGACAATAAGGGCGCATTCCCATAGATTTAAGATCGATCTATCCCCGTGGGGAGTCTCACTAGAATACTGTCAGATAATCCGGCTTAAACAAGCTGCAAGGGGGTAATTAACTTTCGTGCCCGCTCGGCTGACAGCTATTTAGCGTGAACCCCCAGGTAGTTTGGTCGATCTAGTTGGATCAATCTCATCTATGGGAATGGGGTCTAAGACACAAAACTGCCTTCAACAACAACCACTACCTTTTAACAACACACAAACGCGCGCGCGCATATCACCTCTTCTCCTGCGCGTCCTGCCAGAGAGTGACGAGGTGACGCTCATAAAGAGTTGTCTTTTCGTCTCTTTCAGAGTGTTCAGCTTCGCTTGTGCCTTCAGTTTTGGGCTCTTTGCGTGTCTTCCGTCGGCTATCAAGGCGGAGGACTACCGCTATGCCGTCGTGATCCGCTTTCTACAAGGTTTCGTGGAGGTAAGTTGCAGGTATACTAGTACCCTATGAAAATATTATTCTAAATGTTATCCCTAAGACAAATATTATTGTTATTATATTAAATAATAAAGATGCTGGTCATTATTATCATTATTGTTATTACTATACTTTTAATGGAGCTGATTTAGTGGAAGTACACATACATGTACTCCGGTATATAAGGCTGGGCAAAGTTAACTGCGTTAACGTTTTCAACTGAAATGTTTCACGAAATCATTCATCCAACACGCACTTGTTGTTTAACATATTTCGAGACAGTGCTGAAACAGACATAACTCTTGTATTTACAAAGAAAATATTTTACTCATAATATACTGAGGGAAGTGAACGGACAGATAAGTTCTGCGGTGATCACGCAGCCGTGTTACGCCAAAATGCTATCTTCAAGCACTTGGCTTTGAATCACCTTCCATACATATATTTATATACATTTGAGCTCATTCATCGTGGTTTGCGGTACTAATATAATATTACCGTATCACGTTATCTATCATAAGCAATGACTAGATAACCTTGACCTTCGTTGTCATAGCGGTAATTATGTAACATAAACCTGCCGGTATCAGTTATGTAATATCACTCACGTAATGTCCTCTTACGATTTTGTCAATTACAAGCTGACTCATGACCGATGGAAAGCTTTTATGCATTTTGAGTGTACCTGTCTATTTATTTATTTATTTATTTATTTATTTATTTATTTATTGACGTATCTATATGTGAATATATATAATTTATCCATTAACCAATCATCCTATATGTTTTTATTTGTATATTCTTGTTGGAACTTTACATATTTACGTATCCTTTTAGTTATTTCATTTACTAAAATTACTTTACCTTGATTACTGTCTTCCAAAGGCAAAAATGGACTAGTAAAAGGCATTGCATTACATACTTTTTAATACTACAACATTAAACACTCACTAGTGTCACGTGTGTGTATTCCCCAGGGGGTCACTATCCCTGCACAGCAAGGGATATGGACGGAATGGGCACCGGAAAGTGAAAAAAACAAGCTGTCCTTAATAGCCCTCTCTGGTACGTATGATCATGGGTCGTGTTCACTTGTAGCGTTACGTTTAACTGGACCGGTTCACTTTGCCTTAGTGACAACTTAACGCAGTTAAAGGTATTCTGACTACTGCGTGTGAGAATCACCTAAACTGACCCCCAATCTATCGACATGGGCAGTTAACTTAGAGCAGCATGCAGGTAACAAACTTGTGGAGAATTTGTGATATGGAGTAAAAACAAGTATCGCTTTTTTTTAAATCAAACTTCATTTTTTTTTTTGGTATAAAAAAAACACTGTCGTTGACAGTGGGGGAATAAATGCAAGATGGCGTTGCACGGTTACAAGGTTAAAGAAAAAATCTGTTGATTTTGTTATTCAAATGGTCATAAACCATAGTACATTCGTTTAAAAAAGACTGTATTTTAACGAACAAATGAATTATTTAATATTCCAGGGGCGTATTGCGGTCCAGCTATCGCCATGTTGGTCACGGGAGTGGTCAACGTAAAGTTAGGATGGTACTGGATATTCTACATATACAGTATGTGCTCTAAAGTCAGTAGTGATTAGTTTTCTCAAAAATAAAAATTGAGCTACAGTTGGTGTTAAATCGTAAGCTTTAAAATTTTCATGGTCATTCCTTCATACAGCTTTATTAAATGTTAGTGACAATTATCACAGTGAACTTTCAAATTAAAATAATTAAAGTTCTTATTTCCGAATAATTCATCATGTCAGAAAGCGCCCACATGCAAGCAAGCAGGTAGGCAAGTTTTGGTAGGCCCAAAGACATTTCAACGAACTAGCGGGCGCTTTTTCCTACATAAAATTGATATCAGTCACATTAATTACACATTGTCTTCCAGGCATCATTGGAGGTGTCTGGTTTATCATTTGGCTGTTACTAGTGTTCCAGTCACCATATAAATCACCCAATAGAATAGGGGACAAAGAGAGATTGTTGTTTGAAGAGGAAAAGAGAAAAAGAACGGCTAACATAATGAAGACTCAAACATCCAAATCTATCAAAGGACTGGCAAAGGTGGCTGTGGTCTTCCTCTCTCTCTCTCTCTCTCTCTCTCTCTCTCAGCCTTGATCTTGCTGTCTTTACATCAAATCACAAATGAAAAAAATCAGTTAAATTATTACACATTTGGCCATCTTACAATAATTAATGCGTACATTGCAATTTAGGTTAAAGGGATTCCGTGGAAGTCAATTCTGACGTCACTTCCTGTATGGGCAGTTTTCGTTGCCGGAACTACCCGAAGCTGGGTCCTCCTACTGGTGACCAATTATTTCTCAGAATATTTGGACAACGTTTTCCACATGCCAATTGATGTGGTTTGTATTCTTTGAACTTAGTTCTCGATCATCTCATAAGCAGCATTTATCTGATGGATTTATGAGAAACTCAATAAATTTGTTGATATCATTAGATCTACAGTGTAAGTACATGTATAAGGGGTTAGCATGGAGGTTTTGGCAATTTAAGTCAGCAGAGTTTTAATTTTTACATGAATGCGCAGCTTTTATTTAAAACATTTTCATGCAGTTAGTGCCATTAAGATAAGGTCAAAAAGGCCTACTCGTGCAACCTGTTGTATTTTGAAACTTCCGTCATACATTAACATTCATACAGTAATATATACAAAAAAAACTCCATTACCAGTGTACGCTTGCAAACCAACAAACAGACACAAAAGATAGATTTACGAAGTAATCGAAACCAGAGCAATACACCTAACATTATCCTTAACAAAAAGCAATACCATACAATGAATTAAACTTTTAAATTTTAATTAAAAAAATGTATTACACAATAATTATATTTATCTCAGTGTTCAATCGAAAACACATGTATATATGTTCTAGATCGGGTACCTGTCAGCTGTCCCGTTTTTTGTGACGACAGTAACCGTGTGTGTGGGGGCGGCCATTGCTGATTTCGTCCTGAAGCGGAAGGTGGTCTCCAGGACTGTGGCCAGGAAGCTATTTAATTGTGTTGGTAGGTTTCTAATTCGGTTCCCATTGACCCCATTCAGATCAAAAGATCCGAGGATCTTCTGATCCACGGATCAAATATGGCGGACCCTACATGCAAGAAGAGTCGACTAATCCTCTGGTGGTCTCCCGTCCTCCACATGCGCCGTCCTTGCAGGGGTCTAGTAATTAAACCTCGGAGCCGTGATTTAATCCGTTTAATGGCTCGTGTGCAGGCGGGGAGACCGTCAGGGGATTAGTTGGCTCTTCTTTCAAGTAGGGTCCGTCATATTTGTTCCGTGGATCAGAAGATCCTCGATCTTCTAATGTGAATGTCTCCATTGATCACTGTAAACTGTTACCTGCACACTGTACATGTACAGGTGCCAAAGACGTGTGACAGAACAGTCTTGTATTTAAAAAAAATATTCCTCTTTAAAACTAAGTTATTGAAATGAGCTTCAAGAATTTTACTGATAATTTAATGAAATTGTCCAATTGTCGAATTACTTGCAGTTAATTTGGCAGATTAAAAAAGCCGTCAGGTTGTTATTTGCATCGGAGATGTGGACACGTTTCAGAAAATCTATTAAATCAGGCAAATGTAAAACAGCTGAACTATCTGACATATTGATTTTCCATCACCAGCTGGGTTCATTTCATATACACCCCCTTCTTCATTAGGCTAAATGAAATTCTGCTTTCAGGTTTTGGCTTTGAGGCAACAATCTTAATAGTCGCTGGATTCATGACGTCATATTTTCCGAATGAAATCTTAGCCGTGGTTTTACTATCAGTGTCATGTGGGTCTAGTGGGTTTGCGGCTTCAGGTAGGTACGGAAGATTTAATTTTCTAAAATGTGCATGTACATGTCGATTTTCATTTCGACTTTCTTTTGTTTTGATACTTCGTTTTGTTGCATATTTATGTATATATACCGAGAAGGATGCCACAGTTAACGTTTTACGTCAGACATACAACAAATGCAAGCTATATTCAAACATTATTGATGTAATCTGCATTATAGGCCTACTTGAAAATTGTGGTTTGTACCGGTACAGAGCTACTAATAAAGTTAATTATCACCGCAGTTAACTTTCTTCGCCCTTTGAAAAATCAAACGATTTGGAAATCTGGTAAAGATGAGCCGTTTGACTTAAGATTGCGTTTATTCACGTAGGCTACCAAGCCAATCCCCTGGATTTAGCACGTGACCATGCCGCCATTTTGATGGGCATTTCCAAACTAGGAGGAATAGGTGGCATGATTATGCCCAACGTTGTTGGGGTTCTTACCGTCAACAGGGTATGTAGGGGGGGGTGAAGAATGCCTGTCACCAACAGACGGCATTATTGTTAAATCTAACAAAATAATATACGAAATAATCTCAGTGTGTATAATGCTGTATATGAATCATTGTGAAGATGGTGAATGGTTGTTGTGAATATTGCTATAGGAAAAGTTGCAAAAAAGCGAATTAAATGTAACGTATGTACATGTACTACACGATAATCACCAAACATAAAGATCTATGAAAATAACACGTAAAACGCATAAGTATATGAAGCACGTGTGTGTGTGTGTGTGTGTGTGTGTGTGTGAGAGAGAGAGAGAGAGAGAGAGAGAGAGAGAGAGATACTGGTGTTAAATTTATTATGATACATGTTCCAGGATCCTGCGGGTTGGTCCAACGTGTTCTGGTTGACCGCGGGGATAGAACTTGGCGGCGTCCTATTTTTCGCCATATTCGCCAGCGGAAAACAGCAGCCGTGGTCCAGTTACCGCGACGCAAGAGAACTTGACATCACGCGGAAAAACACGACCAGTTACGGAGCCACACGAAGTAGAAGCGTTCGGTTTTCGGAAAAGACCGGCGGTTCGGGTTATCCAGGTTATGATGAGATCAATGACGAAGATGATGAATATGATGATGGAATATTTGACGATGATCCTCTCCGAGAATCGTATTATGATTCTATGGCCCCATATTAACACTGATTCAATCGTTCAGACAGTATTATAATCAATCTTAAGCTTCACTTTGTAATGTTTTACATTGAGAAACACTAATTGATAACAGAAAATATAACAAAAACCTGGGAAGACACACCTTTCATTCAGTTGATTGAAGTAATCAAAAGAATGAAACACTGGAAAAGTACAAGATGAATAGGGCTGGCTCTATTTGAAGTTCAAAAATGGAAAACCACATTACGTTCACTAGCATATTGCACGCGCATACTCTATCCAACGCACAAAATAAAATTGCGTCGAACGTGTTTAGTAAAAGGGATCATCATGCAACAATATTCAGCTATGGTATAAAGTGAGGCAACATCTGAAATGTTTTTCCTGAAAAGTAAAAGCATACGTTTACTTTCGCCAAGATTCACTTTTTTCATCATCACATAACAAGAGGAGCACACATCCGAAGTTTACAGCAATCGACCGAAGAGATAAAATGAATAGTGCCTGCAGAGGTGATTGCGTTAGCTGTGACGAAACCACAATCGACGGTGCTGATTTCACACATGGTTATCACTTTTTATCTTTTCAAACCAGGTCAATTCCGGGTTCAACCATCAGGAGACTATGTGACTTGACATGGAATAGTCATACAATTATGATGACCAAAGCTTGATAAACATACTTTTACAACAAAAAAAGTACTACCTTATCTCCAACTAAAGATTAAACTCAAAATAAGTTGTTAATTTTATACTTAGTAAAACAATGTTGAGATTTCTTGATCCGAGGTTGGGGCCCTGTGACCTAAATACCCATCGAACATTTTTGACTGATAGACAACAGATAGAAAGGAACATTGTCATCTCTTAACTTTTAAGTTCTTTATCTCTGTCAACCCTGCTTTTATTACGCCTCTGTTTGACAAGTATTATGCTATATAACCCTGGAATTCTAGTTATTTATTGAGCACTTCTTTATCTGAAAGTACTGTGTTACTTTATGGATATTATACATGCATAAATAATTCAATTTCCTTATTGTACGACATAACAAACTTGGAGCATCTAGTATGCAGTAGTTCTTGGCAAAAAATAGATTACTTAGCTATCAATGATTCTGTGACCCAATTTTTCATTCCAGTACATTATAAAAAAAGTTAAATAAACACACCAGTACTGAAACTTAACGACAAAAAACATAAGTTGCCCAGCCCAAAGAGATAAGAGAAAGACAAACTCGGCATGTGCGTTTCAAGCCTGTTTCTAACAATCAGGCGTGATACACACAAGATAAATTACACGGATCACGTGAATACACATAATTAAGTTCACGTCATTCAATTAAAAACTCTCCTTAAACCTTATTTTCCGTTTCTCTTAAGTATGTCACACGGCTTATTTGTGATAATAGCTATGGCAACTAAATGGTGTTACATTTCAAATTGCACCGTTCACAAATCCTGTATTTCATAAACGTACGTTGCACGTGGAAGAGAAGCAAACAAAGTTTAAGGGAACAGCACTATTAGCAATGCATGTAGTTAGTGATCTGGTTGGTATAAATACTTATTCTTATCAATTTCCCATAGATCTTGATGGAAAAAACGTAACCAAAAAAGGCAATCTGTTCAATTTTCTGGTCTCAGCACGGTAATTAATTAAACAGTACACGAACGGCGAACATTAGCGATATACAAGAATGTAAAAGAATATCACAGTTGTGCGTATAAAAATTTAAAAAAATGACTTTTTTCTTTAATTTGTGATGACTGGATCCCCCTCTCTCCTCCCTCTCCCTCTCTCTCTCTCTCTCTCTCTCTCTCTCCGTGTGTGTGTGTATGTGTATGAATGTGTGTGTGAGTCCTTACGTTAAAAAGATACACGTATCAATATCTGACAATATTATAGGCGGACTACCAGCAAGTAGCTAACTTTATTCGGCGCTAAACCGGTTCGTTCGTGTTCTAAACCGGTCACCTCGTCGTACACTTTACTGTCACCAGGGGCGGATCCAGGATTATTTGAAGGGGGGTAAGACCCCCCTCCCCCCCCCCTCCCCTTGGCGTGGGGTTCGGGGTCCGTTGAAGCGCCCCGAAAATAAATTGTATTTAGAGGGCGAACGGTGCCATTTGGTACGGTTTAAAACTATGATTCAGCCAGTCAAAATTCTAATTTCAAGAGGGGACCATTGGTGTGATTTTTTTCAGAACCCCCCCTGACACCGCCCCTCCCCCCTAAATCCGCCACTCTATCACTCCCGTTTTTGTCAATGTCAGACTTACCTTCATGCCGAATATTTTGCCTTTTCATGTCCGATCTCTTGCTCTCACGCACTGTACTAAAATTCGCCATTCTGGCAGCTACAACTAGGTGCGGTTACGCTAGTTTCCCTTTGTCACCCTATCTTGTCACCATGTACTTGAAATAGGAAGAATAGCCTTCGATTTTGGACTACTCTTAAGTACCAAAACACTTGGTAACGTTCGCCACTGATCTTTAACTTTATACCTGCCTTTCTTATCCCCACGTGACTATATAAATGACAAGTCAGGACTCCCCGCACGAAAACGAAGTAGATACTCCAGCGCAGTAGACTACTGCAATCATACTGCAAACATGCTTCAAATCTGCTTCGATGTGGGAGCTAATTAGCATATTTGAAACATGCTTCTATCATGCTGCTAATCTACTGCATTAATGCTCCTCCTCTGTACAACCCTATGTAATTTTTGAAGTAGAATTGCAGTAGACTATACTGCATTTCTACTGCAAATATGCTCCACACCACTACTGCGTTAATGCTTCTTTGCTACTTCGATACTACTGCATCTTCGTGCGGGTCGTCACATCCTTTCTACTTAGTACAAAATTTTCTCTTTTTTCGAGTTCTGAGATAGAGCAGGTCTGTAGAATGGGGATTCCCCCTATCCTGCATATCCGGAACTTAAAATTACAGCAGAGGACGGTGACTCACTCGGTTATATAATTATTGAAGTGCACGAGTCTTAAAGCCATGGCACTGTCCTTCCAGGAATAAACCTTTCGGTAACTTCCGGGCTGCGTCATAAACTAGTTCACATTTTCTCAAAGAAGACATTATATGATGCGAGCCAAGGTTGTTCGCGGATAAGGCCTTGTGCGAGCCCGGCATGCACCAAGATCTCCAGAGTAACTCGTAGAAACAGTGCATTCATTGGATGTGTCACACATTAACATTTCACGGCGAGTAAAACATTACTTTGCGTGAGAAAACAGTTACGACTGACCTCTGAAAGGAATTCAAGACCTCTTCTTTTCTCATACACGAAGCAATCATCAATACCACTCTTGTTCTCTTCGACGCCATCTTACGTTCCTTCGGAGACGCCGTCGTCATGGCGTGGTGCGGATGGGTTCAGAGACGCTATCTGGTCTCCTTCTTGAGTTTTCTCGGGCTGTGCCTCTCCTTCGGACTGCGCAGCGCCTTATCCGTCACGTTCACCGACGTTGTGAAGACCAACGGAACAGAGGGAAGCCACAGCGATGCTCTGAATTCAACGGTAAGTATAGTGGTTCAGTGTCAACGTAAAACTTAAGCTGATGCACATGTACTACCACCCTAGCTATTATTATATATAGGATTTAAGTTAGTTAAATTTTAGTTTACACGTCCCAGTGGTTGCTTGATCGCGCTTTTAAATATAGTCTATGGCTCTGATACACTAAGACTAGCCAATTTTAAAATTAGGAGCTCAATTTTTTTTTTACTTGGTCAAAATACAACAACTGAGTCATGGACATTAGCAAGCCAAACGTCCCTCCTAAGCTCATCCATTTTATACACTCTCACTAACCTTAATGATTTTGGTCATCAAACTGACTCATACCACTGTGTCCTATGTAAAAGTAAAAGGACTTGCACGGTCACTTGGTAGTATCGTTGCCATGGTTATCCTTTAACGAGCCGCCCCCACAACCTTCACGATACAAATACTATTGTTCTCACGTGTGCCCCTCTTGACTACAAAGGCTTATAACATTTGTCCTTTGTCGGTGGACTCTTACAAAGATCCGCCATTATCAGTCTTTTGTCATTGAGTTCTGATATGGCATTATTAACCCGCCATACTCTCAGGGCAATCTAGTTTGCACGTTATAAATAGCAATCAATTACAAGTGAATCTGATCTCATTTTTTAATCCATGGCTGATTTTTTATCCACTGGTAACTAAATTAGATTGAATTTCTGCTTATACATATTTTGAAGACTAGAAACGAAGTAAAAGAAATATTTGTACTGAATAGAGGTACGTGTACTTGGACACAGGTATGTGTATAGAGACTAGTACGTCCATGGCTGATACCTATTCTATACGCAGAGAGAGAGAGAGCGAGAGAGAGAGAGAGAGTTCAACACATAGAGAGAGAGAGAGAGAGAGAGAGAGAGAGAAAGAGATCATTCAATTTCTCTTTCACTTTCATACACACACTAGCACACAGACACACACTGGATAATTTACACATACACACTCCGAAATTTTACACACACATTCACACACGCATACACACAGGAAGAAACTGTTGTATGCACTAAATTATATAAATATATTGAGCCTTGTACGTCGCCGGGTAGTATGCACCCTCTCCTAAAAATGCACCTCCTAACAGACTCTTTAGCTATTCTGTAGACAGCGGCCTTGTCTATGATAAGATGAGTGCCGTTGGGTGTCTTTGCTTATTGATTTTATGCTGAATATTATTAAGTAGTATTGCTACTCGTGTTATCGATCACAATGATTAAGTGCAACAACATAATAGAAAAACAATCGTAAGATCACTTAGTACCGATATAAAGTAATGAAATGCAGTGCCTGTTGTTTATAGTCAGCTGTTTTTTGTGTCTTCGACGGACATTGGCATAAAACATAGGTTGATTTTGTCCTTTAGAACGGGTACCGAGATCGAAATTATCATCGAGAAGATAATCGAAAAAGACTGGTCTGGAAATAACTTACACCTGGGGGGGGGGGGTATTTACTTTCGGATCATCTATCTGATAAACGCGCGATTACCTGATGTAAGATACCTGACTTCGTAACTAGGAGTAATAATGTGTTGGTTATAAGTGGATTTTTTGTACTTTTACATGATAAAACTGTTACATACTCCACCATGCTTGAACGTTTTAGTTACGTTAAAAAACATGTTATGCATATACAAAACTCCTCCAATTTCCAGTGTATTTATTTGAAATCTCTTAAATCTAAATCTTAATTATCTTAATCTTTACTGCTTTTATCACAACAGGCTTGTTTATCGAACCTAGATGCGAGTACATATTACGTACACATACCTGACCCGACCTGACCCTTAAATGAACAGATAAAACACATTTCCTGGCTAAGGACAGGACTAAATTTGCTTTATAGCTATAACAATTAGTAATATTATAATGTCATTTTCAGTCTTAGACTGGTTCCCATAAAACTATCGTGCTAGCGTGATTGCTCTAACTCCGAGAGGATTCTCGCTAAATCGCATGCAGTTTAAGAGGCTTACACAGTGTACATGTCTTTCATGCCCACTGAAGCTGCTGGGGGGGGGGGGGGGAACGGAAAATTTTAGACCAAAATGACTGTCCATTTATCTGAAGACATACCTGTGAAAAATCAACCTGTCGCCCTGGTAGAGGGTAGGGGTAAATTACTTTCTTGCACTATTAAAAGGGAATGCAACTAAGCGAGAATCCCCTAGGTCTATCCTGATAGTTACAGTACGATAGTTTTATGGGAACGGTCCCTTAATCAGGTGTTATTCCGAACACTTGACCGTCGTATCGACTACCAAGATAAACGAGGGAAGTGCCGCTATTGTTTTGTGGTCGTAAATAGAGATGTGTTTCCTTTAACAATGGAGTTAAATGTATGTTATGCATCAACCATATGCTTGTATTTGTTGTCTGACATATACATGTGAAGATAACAAAATAACACCTGAAATAAATTTATTCATTTTCACTTAGTAATTATTCTCCAGCTTATGGCTGTTCTAAAAAATGAACTGACGCCCTGCTGATGGCTTTATCATAAAAGCGGCATTGTAGGATGAATCAAATTGTCAGAGACATGTGTGTGTGTGTGCGTGTGTGCGTGTGTGCGTGTGTGCGTACTGTGTACCTTGATAACCCTAGCTGTCTCCTCCATGTCTCCCAGGTCAATGTGTGTGTGTGTGTGTGTGTGTGTGTGTGTGTAATTTTTTCTGTATTTTTTTCCAGTGTCCAGCTGAAGATAATTTCACGCTGCCGTGGAGCACGGACGAGGTGGGCTGGGTGTTTACGGCCTACGGTATAGGCTACATCATCACACAGCTTCCGGGGGGAGTGCTCGCGGCTGCCCTACCAGCTCACAGGTACGACTTTCTCACTTGGTTTTAATATTTGTCTTTCATTTATTTATTTATTTATTTATTTATTTATTTATTTATTTGATACCAATTTGTTGTTTCATTTGCGAACTCTTTATTTCTCCTTTTATTTATCTATGTATTTAAATCTAATTTTATGTGCACTGACGTCTGACTTGAAATTGATTCCTCCCTCTCTCTCCCTCTCTCTCTCCTTGCGTTTAAACTGTCTCTATCTGTAACTGTCTTACACCCAACTACACTATTCTTGACGCATAGAACGCAATACATTTCTGTATACACTGCAGTAAAACAAAAATCTCGATAAAAGTTTGATGAAGCTTCATGTGCGTGTTGTTTTAGGGTGTTCTGTGCTGCCACTGTCATCAGCTTTGCGTTGTTCGCCACCATCCCCACCATGATGAAAATCGACTGGAGGCTGGTTGTCGTTATTCGGTTGTTGCAAGGGCTCTCGGAAGTAAGTGCTTGTGCACGCATAACCTCGTTAATTTCATTTAGGTCGTAGACTAAGTCTCTAGGTACTAAGTACTCCATTTTTATCCAATATATCAGTGATTCAATGACTCCCCCCCCCAAAAAAAAAAAAAAAATTGATTGCTATAGTGGATCGGAAAAATAGAGTGTGCAAATTTCTTGTTCATAGATACAACGTGGCGTACAAAATATCAAGACCTATTAAAAACAAACAAATTCCCATTATTTGACCAAACTGTTATTAAGAGCAGTTCTTGGTAAGGGGGTGGGGTGCTAAAATTGTCTGCTTTTGTTTCGTGTGTGTGATATATATATATATATATATATATATATATATATATATATATATATATATATATATCACTGCCCCATCCCCAAGCTCCACCCTCCCCCCCCCCCAAAACCGATATGCCGTTGAGAAATAACTGTTCATCACTGAATTGTACGTGAACTCCGCTCAAGTTAAACACCTGTGTATGTTATATATATATATATATATCACTGCCCCATCCCCAAGCTCCACCCCCCCCCCCCCCCCAAACCGATATGCCGTTGAGAAATAACTGTTCATCATTGAATTGTACTAAGTACGTGAACTCCGCTCAAGTTAAACACCTGTGTATGTTATGTGCGGCTCTGTGACTCATATCGTACCAGTACCAGTATATATCCTACTGCATTATACATACCAGCTGCGGTTCAGCTAGGAATTTGCTTCCAGGAACCTCAATCGAAACCGAAAGTTACTTGTGGAAAAACACACTAATGTATTTCACAGTCACGATTAGCAGTGGTTTATTTTCTTCACGCTGCCTGTACTATGGTGAGCTTGAAATTGTGCACAACCACAAATTAAGTACAATAAAACCGCAGTGCATATGAAACGGATATTACTCAAAACATGTTATATTGTCCTGTGAAGAAAATTAAACTCTGTGTGGAAGCTTAATCCTCAGAGGGTTATGTGAACGCTACAAAATAGATATTGGTCGTTTTTTAGTTTTCATTCTCAGTCGTTCAGACCAAATGAGAACAACGTGAGCTAAACTGTCCTCAGATATAATGCCATTTTCAAAGTTGGCACTCAACATATAGATCGCTATCGTCACACCCATGTGGTCTTAATATTAATAATTCACACGATTTGTGGTAAAACATATTTTTTTCGCGGATCAGTTGTCCTGAAAGCGCCCTTATGCAGAACACGTCCTCACGCGTCACCCTCTGCCTCCCTTCTACCAGGCCCCCGTAACTCGAAAGCATCGCGAATTGCGAATAGGGATATCACCTTTTATTTCGAGGCTATTATATGGGGCGAGTATGGGCGAGTTATGGAATCGAGACGTTTGTGCTCGGTCGCAATGCGCGATGCTTTCGAGTTACGGGGCCCAGGGCCACAGTGGGAAGTGTCTCACACGAGATATCCACAGGCATTCCTCTGTCTATTTACTGGCTGTTCATATTACTGCGCGGTTCATGACTTTTTTTACAGTTATGACGTCATCACGCAGGTGGTCTCTGGTAAAGTATGCTCATGTATAGAGGGGTAAAGAAAACGACTTATATCTCCACACGGAATTATTTGCACGCCCTGAACCCTGTACATCCGAGTGAACGATTACATTATACGTGCACTGGCTTAGTGCAGAAGCCTCAATATGTCGCACGTTGGTTCCAATTAATTCATGGCTCAAACGCAGGAGTGAAATGGAAAGCAAGTACAAAAATGCAACGTATCTTAGCCTAAAAAAAAAACACAGAGCTAGTAAGTGGGCCAATGGTAAGGATATGACGTTCAATAAATTGATTCAAGTACAAGCACGAATACTTGAGTTGTTTATTCATGGGGTATCCTGATTTCAAGGATATGGAGCCGAAAACGAAAGCAGACGACAGATGTAAAGAACAGTTTGCAAATTTAAGTCCCATGTCAGAAAAGCTCTCGAGTTACATTATATTTACGATTTTCATTATGTTCGATGCCTTGTTTAGATGTCCTGGAAGTGCTCGTGCAGTTACCACCCATCCCAGGCCCGTAGCAAGGGGGGTTCGGAGGGTTCGGAAGAACCCTTCCTTTGCTGTGAAAAGGTCCCCTCTGGGTAAAATTTTAATCTAGGCACAAGGAGGTTTCATCTTTAAGGTCCACTGTTTTAGAAATAGATCCCCTCCTTTTTAAATTGCTGGCTACGGGCCTGCATCCTCCATCCTTACTTCACTCTCGCACCCTTAATTTTTACACGCGATCACATCCCGCGTTTACCTTACACTATGGACATTTACTTTGGTATTTTCGACTGCGGTTAACGCCTGACCGCGGTCCTATCATGGTTAACTTTCCTTATGTGAACTTGGTTAATTTTCCAAGTGTGACTATAATAATACTTTCTCTTGACTGCGGTCCAAAATAAACCCAGATCAGAACTTGGGTTCTATCAGCGACTGCAAGTCAGAACGGTGACGGCTGTCCTTTCTCTTATAAGTTACAAATTATGTTTTAAATACAGAGTTAGTAAATATATTACTCTGTTTTTCAGGGTGTTCAAATCCCAGCCCAGCAGGGCATATGGAAGGAATGGGCCCCTGAACACGAGAAAAATAAGCTCTCATTGGTCGCTCTTTCAGGTGGGTGTGAGTGTGTCACGTCATTTCCAGTGCACTGCAATTTTTTTAATGTGGATTTCCGCATTGGAAGTTAGTCAATTTTTTTTTTTTTTTTTTTTGAAGTGACTGCATTTACACTTTGAATACTCTTTTTTACTGCCCTGCTGTTTCCAAATGACGGGATATACTGTTGGGCATTGTATTGCAAACATTTTTAATATTTTGAATACTTTTAAAGGCGCATGATTAGCGGTCAACAATGTTAAATCATTGCCACTAAACGCGCCCTATTGATTTTTCGTTTCTTTAAAAACTGGGGAAACGGGTAGATAAGTGATGTTTACGACCAGATATATGTTAAAGGTACAGTTTTAAAGCTTTTTCAAGCTTACCGACTTATTATTTTGGGTAATTTTCACTTTTTACTCGGCTTGTACGTTGTTTTTTTTTTTGTTTTTTTTTTTTTTTTTTTTT